ATACAGCTCTTCAGGCCCTTGAACATCTAAGGCTATATGAGTTGCAGCAGGTAGATAGACAGCCAGAGATTGTGAGCATTCTTGACAAGCAAGAGACTGTAATCAAAAGAAGGAAGGCTGAGATGCGAAAGCAGAGCGATATCACGTGTTTCTTTAGTTAGACTGGATAGTCCTATAACCTGCTTAGCAACATAGAATGAACTCAGGAATAAGTTATGTTCTTATCCAGGTTTGACTGTACGAAGAAGAAAACCGGACGCAATCAAACGGCGTGACGTGACGTCCAGCGCCATGCCACTCCCAAGCCGCCCAAGCCGTTCTCCATCCCGAACAAGCACGGGGGAAAGCTCATGCAAGACCGCTTCCCCATCCTTGTCTCATGCACAAGACCTCTTTCTACCCTTGTCCGAGCCCGCTTAGCTCATTGGGCATTCACACCTGGAACTTCCGCATCGGGGCAGCCATGTCGGAAGAGCATCCATTTGTCCCCCAATTATAGCACCTGAATCGCATTGTATGGACGTGCTTCACCACCTCGCTACCACGCCGCTCTCCTCGTACTGCAATGATGACCACCGGCCTCGACACTTCCCTGTCGAGGGATCATATCGTTTCCACGGTCTCGAGCGCCATGCCACGATGCCACGCTCCAGGCCAAGCCTGACAATACGATTCCGGTCATGGCTTGAGTCCTTGACGTCCGAGCTTGACGAGCACGTTGTTGCTGGGTACACGGCGTGGTTACTGGTATAAAGCTCCCATGCAGTCCCTTGCGCAACCCAGTCACCAACTTCTGTAGAAACCCCCTCCCTCCCTCACCTACCACAAGAAGCTCACAGCTCTTGAGAGACATCCACTCGCTACTCACCCTCTACATTCATTCTCTAGTCTCTTGAGCTTGTGCTTCACTCCGCCTCATCCTACTACCACACTACAACCAACAACCATGCGGTCCTTCACAACCATCCTCGCCTCCACCACCCTTCTCGCCGTTGGTGCTCTCGCTGCACCAGGCAACGAATGGGGCGGTAGCGGCTATGGCGGTTGGGGCAGTGGCAAGCGACCCAACTGGTGGCCAGGACGGCAATCAGCCTGCTTGAGCGACTCAGATGCCCAGACCGTCGCCGACAACTTCAAGGAATCAATTGCTGCATACAGCGATGCCCAGGCCGATGCCGACTTCACCACCGACTTTACGGACTACTCCGACTCCGTCATCGAACTGATCGACAACGGATGTCCCAACACCCCGGTAGCTGTATGTAACCTCCACCCCAACCCGTATCACCCCCAACTAACACTATCCTCCCAGCTCGGCACCGCGACTTTCGACTCCCTCGCCTCCTTCAAAGCCGGCCAAGGCTCGCAACCGCCCATCCCCTTCGAGATCCTCAACCTCTGGCACAATTGCGACACCATCACCATCCGCTGGAAGTCCGCCCAGACCCCTGCTCAGGTCACGGGCATCATCGTCATCGAGGCCGAGCAGCAGAACGGCAAGTGGATGATCCACACCGTGTACAGCGAGTTCAACAGCGGGGCGTGGTTGGTCAATTTGGGGATCTTCAAGCCGAGTAACTGTACCGCTTAGATTGGAGACGGGGAGGGAAGATGGGGAGGATCTCGTAATATTTGAGGGGTGGATTTTCGTATTTTCGTTGTATCTGAGGATTTGTCTCCAGTTTGAGGCATGGTTGTTGGCTATTTGGGAGGATGTCTGTATGTGTTTCGCAAAGCGATTCTTGCTTTGGATTTACATTTATCGAAAGCTTACGGCAGAGAGGAAAAGAAGACAGTCCGTTCCATCTGACGAATTCAATTCAATTACAACGCCAATACAGTTTGAAAAAGGAACATTGAACTACTGCAGTACTCCGGATGCAACGAAGCTCTTGGTGGGTGAGACGCTAAAGCTGTCTGCCAACGTTGTAAACACATCTCATTCTCTTGGGAAACTTCGATCAGAGACCGACTTGTAAGGGAAAGTGATGCAGGCTTGTCTATTTCACTGGTGTTGAAGTCGCTGGAGGTGTAAGTCACCACATGACCTTCAAGATGCCAGCATGGATCTTCTCAAGCGAAGCCAAGACGTCGCCATTGAATGCGGGAAGTGATGAACGAAGATGAAGGCATTTAAATCTGTAAATCGTGTCCTTTACATCATTATCGGAAGTGCTGTCGACGATGAAGCTCCAACCAAACTCCATTCCTCGACGCTCACAAAACGCCTTCAAGATCAACATCCACATAGCCCTAGACTCCCAACTTCCAGCAATCCCTCACAACTTTCAATCTAGTACCCAATATCCACCTTCGTAACATCCTCCAAAAAATGCTTCTCCCTCCCCGCCCGCGAAAACCAAAGATACCACGGCACAATGCACGTCTTGATGAAATGGCCCAACCACCCGGCATCGCTCACCGTCTTGACCACGGCGCCGCTCTCCTCGAAAGCCTCCTCAATGCGTTTCCGGCGGAGGTTTTCGTAGGCGTTGAAGGCTTCCTTCATAGGGCGTAAGGGGTCGGACTTGCGGAGTTGCAGCCAGCGGGTCAGGCAGCGGGAGAAGAGGACGGTGTCTTCGAAGACGATGCCGGTGGATTCGCCTTGGGGTGGCATGGCGTGCTAGTAAGATCGTCAGCTGTTGTGGAGGGCTAGGTAGGGAATGTGTTGGACTTACGGCTGCATCGCCCAGAAGCATCACTCGGTCCGTTGACCACTTGCCATGTTTGGAGAGGGTGTACACAGGCCAGAGGAAGAAATCCTGCGCCTGCTCGATCAATTGCTTGATGCAGGGGATCTTTGCATCGCCGAATCGTTCCATGAGCATTCCCCTCGTCTTCTCGGCATCTGCTCCCACGGCTTTCCACCCGTCTCGCGATCCCACGTCTTCAACTGTCATCAGAGCACCCACATAAACGGAATCTGCTGCCGAGGAGTGGTAGCTTGTCAGCAACATGCCCTTTTGAGCAAAGTTGATAGCGGTGCACTCGAAATGTGTCTTGAAGTCCTTGCCCACTGGAGCGAAGCCGAAAGCGTTGGAGATGCCGGTATACGATGCCTTTCGTTCAGGCTCGACGTGCTTCAGTCTGGTAACAGAGTGGATACCATCACAACCCATGAGAAGATCTCCAGTTGCCGACCCGCCATCTTCAAAATGAATCGTGACATTCTTCTCATTCTCCTCAATCTTGACGGTCCGCTTGCCGCAGGTCATGGAGATGTTTTCATGCTTCTCCACAGCGGCGAGCACACCCTTGAGGGAGTCTCCCCGGGTGATTCGCAATGCTTTGTACGGCGGTTCGCCAATGCCCTTGCCGTTTGGTCCTCGAAAGTCTGAAATGGCGATCCGGCCGGAGTAAATGTCGAAGATCTCGAGGTAGTCAATGTCCTTGCCGTAGTCTCGTTGTCGGTAGATTTCAAATGCACCAAGATGGTCGAGCATTCGCAGGGCATTGGGCGTGAGGTTGACGGCGCCGCCAATGACAGCAGGTTCTGGTCGGATCTCGAAGATGCGGATGCGAGGGACCTGGCCTTTGGGGGCGAATTTGGTCAGGGCGAGGGCGGTGGTGAGGCCTGAGATGCCGCCACCGAGGATGATGATATCCAGGCCATCGGGTGATGCAGGCGCCATTGTGTGTAGAAGATGTTGTGTGTATGAGATTGGGAAAGGTGTTGGAGGAGGGAGAAAGGCCAGGGCCAGTCGAGTATTTGTTTAATCACTCCGGGCAACCAGGATGTCTTCCGGGACGCATGCGGCTCCGCGTGTTGGTGTATCACAAGCACACGCACATGCAAGCACAGGCTTCATGGCACGACACTCGCCGAACCCCCGACTCCTCTCATCCTACTATGTTTTCAGCCGCGATTCATCAAATATTGAATAGGATCCTGTGGAGGTTTGAGGGGCGGCAAGACCAACACCGCAATCGCGAGGCTTTGCTTAGAACACCACTGCCAAAAGAAGGTACAACTCGTACACGCCCACACTAATCGTCTTATCCGAACAAACAAACACACGCCTCGCGTAGGCGAAGACTTGATGTTCACCCTCGAACTGAAAGCGGATGTCGTCGATTCAAAGTGTCCAGGGTCCGAATCTTAGCCCATCAATTCCGCCCAATCACTTTGATTGCCGTTGGGCTAAAAATACCGGGCGGATTTTGAGGGGCCGTTTTGCACGTTGGCTGCTGTTTCAACCACCATCGTCTTTTTGAGGAAGATGACATCCGTCGCACTCGCTGTCGGGTGAAGCAGACGTCGGTACCGAACGGCAGTTCAGATGGCTCCGATATGGTCGTCGACGAGGCGATTTGGCCTCAGGCATCATTGCTTGCCAACGACCTCACTCGGTGTCATTCACTCGAATCCAACATCAAATGCCCGGGACTGTGCACCATCGCCAGCTGCCTCGCTTGTTTATGTGGAAGAAGAAGACCGTCACGACCGTGAGTCTCTGGTGATCGAAAGCCTCTACTGGTAGCCTGGAGTGTGTTCTCCAAGCTCATATACACACCTGACGGTATCCTCCATCCACATTTGCCATGAAAATCGATGCCATCTAGTCGATGCCGCCGCACCATTCTACGCACGGCGACCTGTAAGGTCAAATGACGATGGAACTGGAAGTGCGCCCTCACGAGTTGGGCAGATCAGCTGGCGCGCTCCTGCTGCAGATGGTAAGACGAGCTGAACTATTACCGCGCGTTATGGACACTTTGCTCGCGCCTCACATCTTTCAGCCTCTGTAATTTCACGCAAGAGGCTGTACCTTCTGACGCTTCGAAATTGCCATCCGAAAACTTGCACGGGAATTGGACAGGATGGCCGACGAACGAGCACGACTTTCTGCTGCAGCTCTGGTCGACATAGTGACCCAACATGTAGACCGAGAAGAGACCTACTGCCCAAGCGAAGAGTTTAAGGATCTATTCGAAGAATGCTTTGCCGAGGCAGAAGGCCACGATGCGTTGCCATTCTTCCATCGCCAGGCAGTTCGGATCGCAGTTCAGAGCGACGACATCGAGCTAGTCCGGTACCTTCTCGAGAAAGACGCAACCAAGTCTCTGCTGGCTGAGGATTCCAATAGTGTCCAGACTATTCTGTGCGTGCACGACGACTCCACTACCAGGAACCAGGACCCGGTGCCCATGATAAAGCTGCTGCTAAAGTTTGGTGCTCAAGTCAACGGGTTGGATGAAGCAGGAAACACTGCGCTCTACTATGCAACTGCGTTTGGCTTGCCAGACACGTTCAGATTCTTGTTAGACAATGGCGCTGACTTCACGCCTAAGCACCATCTGCCGGCTAAGGTCAAGGGAGCATCCCGCCACAACCTACCTAAAGCATCTTCAAGGCCAACACTGCAGAGCCAGGCCGTAGATCTGATGCAAGTCGCTCTCCACTCTAGCGATAGCAGCACTCTGGTGCAGAACTCGGTCCTCGAAGCCTACAAGTGCTGGGCTCCGATCATCGTCTTCTTTATCGATGCACATTTCAGCCACCCTTTGCCAGAGAACATCTTCACGGAACTGACAGAAGCCGCATGCTCCGTTGCAGACATGGAAATCGTGAGCAAGCTGCTGTCTTATCAGTCGAACGTATCTGCGTCTGGTCTCCTTGCATCCTCATTGGCTCCGGGTCTCAAGTCTGCCACAAGAGAAGGCCATCTGGAAATCACAAGGCTTCTCCTGCGATTCGGAGCCGATCCTCGACTTGCGTGCGAAAGCACCAGACAGCCTGGAAGGCGGGCACGGTGCAAACAGCCCGAACAGTCTGGAGAAGAAATCCACAAAACGTGGAAGACTGCCATTGAAGACGTTTGCGAGCGGAATCTCAGGCCAGAAGTGCCATCAAAACCCCTCTCTGTCTTGGATGCCTGCGAAGTCCTGTTCTGGGAAGGAATTTCTGAAGCAGATCAGCATCTCCTACTTGCTGAAGCAGCGCTACAAGGTCGGATCGACATCGTGCAACGACTTTGGGCAGCAGGAGTGCGTCTCAAGCAAGCCCCAATCACAGGTTCAGTGCCAGTGTTGGAGTTTTTCATTGCGCAAGGTACATCGTTTAACTGGCCGGAATTACAGAAATACGCCATCCCGTCTTGTAGACTCCATACGATCGATTGGCTGGTAGGTCGAGCAGGACAGCATTTAAAAAGCAGGCAAGAACTTGAGCCTCTACTCAAAGTCCTCATGGGTCGTTACTCTACCTACCGCAGGGGCTGGCTTTCACCGGACATGATTCAACGGCGAAAATCGATGCTGGCATATCTGTTTACAAGCTATGCGCATCCGAAACGCACAACCGTCAAAGCTCACGCGGAAGTGAACATGCTGGTGCTTAGGGCCGTCATGGGCCGTCTTCACGATTTGAAACTCTTCCTGCAAGAAGGTACGAGATCACATTGTCCAGGGCTTCGATCTGCGGCCATGGTCGAGATCAAAGCCAAAGCACAGTCTGACGACAAATCCGGGTCTCTGAACTATGATGGACTCGAGACTGTGGTCAAAGAGTTGCAACTCTTGCTTCGATGTTACGATGGCGAACTTTCGGAAACACAGACGCTCGACAACAAAGATGATAGACTCTGGCTCACCCCAAGCATGCTAGATGCGTGGCTTGAGGATGGCGTCGCTCCAATTGAAGGATATCGCACGGAAGATGGCTGTCGCACTGAATCTCACTCATGCGACGTTCGGCAGAGGGTACAGTTACCGCACCGCTATCGAGATGCACCAGTGGACAAATCATGGCGTGGTCAGGCGCTGGAGGAAGGAGAGAATGGTGATATGCCCGAGGATGCCACACCGGCCAAAGCTTCGACGAGTCAAATTCCAGCAAATCCCATTACAGATGTGTGCAGCATCGAGGAGGTCGAGGCAAGCCTTGACCGGAACGAGGAAGGTTTGTTCCCAACCTATACTTACTGAAGATTGGACAACATTTACATGACAACACTGCTAACCCTAGAGCCATCAGAAGACTCGAATGCTCCAATTGAATGCACAATACGAGATATACATCTGGCGGAGAAACCGACGTACGAAGCACTATCATACGTGTGGGGCCATGGAAACGACTCTGCGGCCATCCAACTCAATAACAAGACCAGGCTTGTGCGAAGCAATCTGCGGGCAGCCTTGTTCCAGCTACGATTTCGCAAACACCCAAGAGTACTCTGGATCGATGCCCTGTGTATCAATCAAGGGGACGTCGACGAAAGGAACCACCAAGTCCGTATCATGTCAACCATTTACCAATCCGCGAAACGAGTCCTGATATGGGTCGGAGAGTCCGGCGACGGCTCGAAGTTGGTTTTTGACTATATGCGGAAGCTCAGAACGAAGCACAAGCAAGACCCATACCGTGACGAACCCGACGACGAAGGCGCAGAGCAACCACCATTCAACTTCTCCTACGCAAAAGGGAGACCGACACTGCAGGGCGAGCTAGGCGAAGCCTTCGAAAAATTCTGCCATCGGCCGTGGTTTTCCAAGACCTGGGTGATCCAAGAGTTCGCCTTGAGCAGTCCGGCAGTGGTGGTCTGCGGAGGTGACAAGGAGCAATGGAGCTTGCTGCAGGAAGTATACCCGGGCTCACGATTGGGGAAGCTTAACGCAATACGCACCGGCGTACGAGGAGATCCATTCTTGGGTGGGAGGAGGCGTGGCCACGCTGCAGAATCTGTGTTCGGGCCTTCCAAGGCCCAGAGCATCCTCGACTACAGCATCCAGTGTGAAGCCACGGAGCCTCGGGACAGAGTGTACGCTCTCCTCGGAATCCTGCCGTTTCCTTCGATCAAAGTGGACTACAAGTTGCCCGTCGAGGAGGTCTACCGATCATTCTCCCAGGCAATCTTCGAGCAGACACGAAAGATTGGGCTGCTGCACCGGTTCGGGTTTGAGAGGAATCTCGGCGATTTGCCGTCCTGGGTGCTTGACCTCAGTGCATCGACGCGCACGGGGATGCTCCCACAGAATCGAGGGGTACCAGCTGCTCGTGACGACGAAGTGCGCGACTTGCTCAGCCATGCGATGGATGGCTTCCGAACCGAGGGATCCGCCATGTTTATCAGAGGCAGCCTGATCGATCACATCCACGAAGTCGCCCAGGTCCTACCGCCACTGGACCATCCAGACGTTGTGGCCCCGACAGACTCCGAGTTAAAGAGCGTGATTCGAAGCTGGGAGTCTTGCGCCTGTCGTATCAAGACACCCAACTTCCTGGCTGCAGTCCCAGCCGTCTTCGTACAAACGCTCGAGGCGCACGACGGTACCCTGAACCGACATTTGGAACCCGTCAAATACCCCTGGTCCTTTTGGGATAGCTGTGCTTTCTTCGGCTTTACTGAGTTTAAAAGAACCTTCCCCAAAATACTTCCGAGATTTCGACCATTTGCTCTCCTGGGCGGAGAGGCTGCGCCCTCGCTTTTCACCTACTCGTAGTTCAATGTGGACTGGAGATCAAAGCCACCCACAGCTGCGACGAGACATGGAATACTGCCATGGGAGAAGATTCTTCACGACCAGAAACGGTACCATGGGTCTTTGCAACCCGCGCGCCAAGGCCGGAGACCTCATCGTGTTTCTCCCAGGCGGCATCTACCCCTTTACGCTTCGAGACCTTGGCGACGGTTCGTTCTCGATGACCGGAGACTGTTATCTGTATGGCATCGACATGTCTGAATGAGATGTCGATCGAGTGGAAAAGGAGTTCATTCAGTTTCAGATACGGTGATCGAGTGTCAAAACGTCGGGGTCAAGATTCTGTAGACAGCACTGTGTTTAATCGAATCTCCTGATTCTTGAAAATATCTGGAGAAATGCAGCTCTAATATAGAGCTCCCTCGTAGTCAGATCGTCACAGTAGAGGGAGTACAGATAAGACAATCTTATATTAACACATGCCTACAGAGGTATACACCCCAAAAAAAAAAAGAAGAGCAAAGACTCTATACAAAATGATGTGTACTAATTAGTATTACTGTTCCTCTAAACAAAGCAAAGGTTCGTCGTTCTAATTTGCGGTACACACCCTTGCGATTTAGCGAAGCGGCTAAGACGGTATGTCTTTCTTATCTGCAGAGGCTGTAGTTAGGCTGTAGTTAGTAGAGATGTTGTCGACGGTAGTAGTGTCGACAGTAGTAGGCTCTCGTGCACTGCGGTAATTCTAAAAGGGAGGGGACGGCTCGAAAGTAGAGATGTTATCGACCGATTGTAGTAGATCGTCTAGATAGCCGTAGCTACAGCTAAGGTGTGTTAGCGAAGGACGACTTGTTGTTTAGTCGTTAAGGATCCAATAGTCTATATAGGCGTAACTACAAATGTAGACGTGTCTCGTAGTACCTGCGGAAGAGGAATCTGTCTCGGTGTAGCAGCTAAGGAGGTAAGCTTTGCTTGTAACGAGGATAATGTTAAGTCGTAGGCGATGGCAATGTTGACTCGCAACGCAAGTAGAAGTGCGAGGGCTTGTAACCTGTTAATCGAATCTCTTAATCCTCAAAACTATCTGGAGGCATACAGCTCTAATATAGAACTCTCTCGTAGTAAGAAAGTGGAGGCAGTGCAGATAAGACGGTGTCACATCAACAGGCTCTCATCTTGCAAACTTGATTTATTGCTTTCGATTCGTTGGTTGTAGTAACTACAAGAGTGGAGTCAAAGTTAGACATCTTTACACATTTTCGAATGACCATCCCCATCATCATACACTTGATCAAACCCGGCATCGCTTTTGCTTCCATGCACCCTCGCCAGGAAATGCTGCTGTACAGTCGCAGATAATACACCATGTTCGAAGACGGAAAGCTGGAACGCTCGCTTGAAAAGGTTGGAAGAACGCCGCCCAGATGCACAGAAGCTGGTGGAGAGAGGTCGTGCTGGTATCGAAGGAGGCTGAGGTTAGGGCATGTTTGCCGACTGTGAGTGGATCTGTATTGTCCAGAGTGGCGTACGACCATAGATCCCGAGAGAGCCTCGCCAGACCCACCAGTGTACAGGAAGTGGAATAGAAAGAGGCAGAGTCATCGCTCAGACGTAGTCTCTGGCGCTCTTCTGCAGCTCAATCAACCTCCACCCTCGTGTCTCAGGGTTGCTGACCTCCTCAGGAATCCTCGTCACACCAATGGCGTAGGTGACTTGCTGCACCTTGTCCTCCATTCCAGCAGCAAGCTCACCCGTCTTGGCCTTCTTGTAGACGTGCACTTCTTGTGTGCGACACATCAGGACGAAGACGGGAATCTCGCCTGGATCCAGCATCCTCGCGCTCAGAATATCCACGCCACGAATGTCTAAGATCTTTCCATCTGATTTGAGACCTGCAGTGGTGTATTGTTGCATCAGGGCGTGGTAGACCTGGAATTGAGCTGCCGACAGCCAGAGCTTCAATACTTCGACATCGCCCTTGACGTATGCCTCGAGTACTTCGGGGAGGATGTATGTTCGCATCTCGTTGAGGAAGGGCTCGAGTTGGAAGGAGGGATCCATCTCGCGGAACTTCTTGATCACCATGGCTGTCTCGTTCTCAGCGAAGAAGCCTGCGATACGATCGCTGACACTTCTCGCCGTGCTGATCAGAGGGTTCTCGGACTCGCGATATGTGTTGCCCATGGTGAAAAGTCTCTGCATCACGGGGCTGTTCTCGCGGAAGTTCTTCCAGCTCTCTTTCCACGCGGCATCCTTGTGGACGGTGACGTTGGTGCCGGCATTGGGGTCTTCCTCGAAGTTTTCGGGTTGTTTGAAGCCCAGCTTGGCTTCACGCTCTGCTCGCCTCTTTCTCCTCTCTTCCTTCTCAGTCCAGCCACCATATCTCTGTGACGCACCGTCATCGATCGTCTCCTTGACGCTCTTGTAAGCTTCCGTTTGCCGCACTGGACGGGTGGCCTTCTCCACCCCAGATCCAACCGCTGCAGCTCCCTTCCTCAAAACCTTTGCCACTGGCGTATCCCAGGTCCACGCAGCGCTCTTGCCAATTGCACCAGCCGTGCCCATCAACACCTTCCCCGTGGTCGTGCTGGCAGCTTCCGCCGCCTTGGAGTATGCGCTCCTCGCCCGCTGCACGTTGGGATTTTGGGTGAAGTCGTTGATGCTGCCACTGAGCTGCTTCGTGCTCTCGTTCCACTCTTTGCTGGCTTTGAACTCGGTCTGCAGCGTCTCGGTGAAGACTTGCCAAGGGGTTTTGCTGCCATGGGGAGGTGGAGCGGCTTCCTCTTTCTTCTCCTTCTTCTCCTCGCCAGCACTTTCCTCTTCTTCCGCCTTCTTCTCTTGCTCCTCCTGCTTCTTCTGTTCCTCTTGCGCCTTGGAATATGTTGATTCGGCCTCGGCCTGGAACGAAGCAAAAGCGTCGTCCGCAGCAGATCTCTCTGGCTCCGACTTTGCGGGCTCTGGTTCAGGCGCGGGCTTTGACTTGGATTCCGACGGTTTTGCCTGTCCCGCCGCCGCATTCTCCTTCGCCCGCTGTTCTCTCAACTCCTTGAAACTTACATGTCTGACTGATGCTGGCGTTGATGCGGAGATGGAGGGCGGGAGGAAGTGTGATCGCAGGGCGAATGGGGGAAGGATCGATGCATCTCGTCGCTGCCCTAGTGATACTTCGCTGTATTGCCGGAGATTGGCGGCTATCCGTCGATATGCGGCTGTTCGGCCATATGAGAAGGAGGAAGTCGCAGAGGGCAGATTTCGCGCGCCTCCTGCCCGCGCTGTGAGGCTGCGGAGGGCGGACGTGCTCATGCTCTGGCGGTGATGATGGAAGGAGCGACCTGTTCGGAGGGGGTGAAATGGCAGAAACGGGTCGGTGAGGGCAGGTGGCGAGTGAAAGATGTGGATTTGGTGGTTCGAGTTGCGCATGTGATGGCCCTTCTTCGCTGCAAAAACAAGCCGCGGCTGTTCCCGACGAGGATTGGACTAGCGGCTTTCCCGACTCCCTCCGCAATCGACGAGACCGCTCTCCTTGACTTTCGCTAATACACCACCACCCATTGAATCGAAGACAACATCACTTCGAGATGGCCACAGTCAAAGCGCCTCGCACCTTCTCGTCCTTCATCTGCCACGCCTGCCGTCAACGCCTGCTCCCCGCCCGTCGCGCCTTCTCGACTTCACCAATCACCAAAGCCGAAAACGATGCACCTTCTCCCATCGCCGGAGGTTTGGGGGCAGCTGCCTCGCAGATGACCCAAGCACAATCGACCGCTCGCCCTCGCACCAGCGCCGTGAACCCCGCCAGCTTCACGGGCATCCTCGACTCCAGCCCAGAAAGCCTCCTCAGTCCTGAATATATGGACAGCCTCGCAGATTTCCACCGCGCCGATCTGCCTCATCGACTGCACGTGTACGCGACCAAACATAACACGCACATCACTTTTGTACAGCCTGCCAAGTCGGCGGCGCAGACGGTGTCTTCAGGAATCAGCGGGACGAGCTCGTCATCAGCAGACCAGAAGAAGCAGATCGATGTCCTGCTCTCACTTTCAACGGGTAACATTGGTTTCAGAAAAGCTGGAAGAGGAAGCTACGATGCAGCGTATCAGCTGGCTGCATTTGTGCTGAAGCAGATTCAGGATAAGGGAATGACGAGAGACATCCAGAAATTGGAGGTGGTGTTGAGAGGGTTTGGCGCGGGGAGAGAAGCCGTGAGCAAGGTCCTGCTGGGGACTGAGGGAAGGCACATCAGAGGAAGGATAACGAGCGTGGTGGATGCCACGAGACTGAAGCAAGGTGGGCCAAGGAGCAAGAAGCCAAGAAGACTGGGATAGGAAGAGGTGGAGGCGGTCTTGTTGAGGAGATCCAGGCCGGACCATGTACAATACATCGATCAAATGAATGTCTTCGGGCGAGACGCTTCTTGCGAATGCTGCTTCACACATGCGCGCCACTTCACTTCCCACACATAGACGTTTTGGCAACTTGCTCATGCGTTCAACTGTCAGAAGCCACTGGCTGTCCCGCCTGGTCATCCGCCCTGGATGGATGGTTCGGTGCATGTTGCACGTCTTCGAGTATATCGACCGCCCGGCGCCTGCCACTGATGATGCGGCCAGGATCCAACACTCGCGAAGACTATCCGTTGAGGAAAGACACTCGCTCAACAAGTCCAGTGAAAGAGACGCCCTGTGCCAACTGGATGGCGACATCGATCAGTGTCGTGACGAAATCTTGAAAACAAACATAGTTGGAGGGTCTTCGTGGCCCATCTCGAGAGAATCCCATGTCATCGCCAACGCTGGGCATCCAGATCGCCTCGCCTGCATTACGACCAGGCTTGTGGAAGATCGATCGAAGGCGTTCGAGCTGGGATATGAGAATGCTGCCAGTCTACTGCAGATCTCAGAGTCGATCGCCGACGGGTTGAACGAGATTGCGACGACTCGTCCATCACCTAGTCCTCGTCAGACGTAGGCCTGGCTGGTAAATGGAGGAAGGAGATGACCATCAGTTGCGACGTCTGCTGCACACATTTGCCGGATAGTCCATCGCTCGGGCCAGAGAGCACCCAGTATGAAGACAATAGAAGGCAATGAGTCCCCTCGACGTACCGAGGAGATGTCTGTTATCCAGCCTTGCAGTCATCACTCGGTCTGGCCCCTCGTACCTTACAGTCGGATAAAATCGCTCCTCAGTACTCGGTCTTTGCCTACGCCACAGACAAAGGATGCCATCCTATGCTAGACTGCTGCATGGTGGCGGCCAATCCTCCTGAAGTTTGAACGGTCGAGCCAAGGCAGTGCAACAGCCATGCGATCCCACACACCCGGCGTCGATTGCCGTGTGGTGATGATGGCTACACTCTAGTAGTGCCAATAGGCTGTAGTGATGAGAATGAGTATCATCGCGGCGGTCATGGGTCCGGCTTGCTCGCCCACCAACGCCTCCATTGTCAGAACAAAGCCATCACTTGCTCTTTGTTCGACGTCAACCTCGGCCCACGATGATGCCGTCTATTCTTCCGTGATCATGTTGCACGAAGTCGCAATACAGTTGATTTGGAGAAGGAATTTGGATTGTCTATTGTTCTGCCATGCCCAGACGCTCGCGGCTATGCTACGGACCCATGGAAGGCTGACTTTTCCCTTGGCATCAGATTGCGCCATCGCAAGCACTTCTTGCAACATGGAGCCAAGGCTGCTGGGCGCTGCACCTGGATAGGCGTTGGCCATCATACCAAGATGGCCGAGCCTGATCGGTGGAAGAACAGTGCAAAACAGCACGAGAAGCGCCGACGTGACCACGCTTCTCCGGGGGCATTTGCTGCGCAAGACGCCTCTGCCCAGGCTCTCGACCGAAATGCTTTTCACCTGGCACCACACACAACCACGCGACACGCGAGCCATGGCGTGGGCCGTCTCTCTTTGTGCGTTCCAGATGCGCCAATTCCCATCGCAAGATGGTGCAATGCCACTTGGCGGGCCATGAGAGATCTTGTCATAAAGAAGGCTCTTCCAGCGCCATGGAAACACAGAAGAGGGTAGGTCTTGTCTTGTTATCAAACTTTCATTCCGGTCGGGCGTCTTCTGCTACACCTGCTCAAGATGTCGTCCCCTGATCGCAAGGTCGTCTTGGCCGAGTCGCAGTCCTACGGCAGCGATGAGGAGTCTGCCGTGGAGAGAGATTGGACGGTCGAGGAGGAGGCCAAGGCGAAGCGCAAGTAAGCAGAGCATGGACAGGTGATGTAGTATAGCGGTCGTGCTGACTTGGTTGCAGGCTGGATCTGATCATCATGCCCATCCTGACCCTGGGCTTCTTCTGCTTGCGTGGGTACATATCGTAAGGCTGGCTTCGACAGTGCTGACTCTTCCCAGAGCTCGATCGTGGAAACATCGCGAACGCCCTCACCGATGACTTCCTCGAAGATGTCAACATCACCCAGGACCAGTTCAACGTCGGCCAACAAATGCTGTCCCTCGGCATCGTCCTCACTGAAATCCCATCCAACATGATCCTCTACCGCGTCGGCCCAGGCAAATGGTTGACCCTCCAGCTCTTCCTCTTCGGTCTCGTCAGCACCTTCCAGGCATGGCAGACCAACTACGCTTCCTTCATTGCTACTCGTTTCCTGCTCGGTATCACCGAATCTGGCTTCATTCCTGGTGGTCTTTGGACTTTATCCACATGGTACACTCGCCGCGAAACCGCAAAGCGAGTCATGATCTTCTACTTTGGCAACCAGTTCGGCCAGGCCTCTGCGAAGTTGCTTGCCTACGGTATTCTGCACATGCGTGGTGTATCTGGCAAACCCGGATGGTTCTGGCTGTTCGTCCTCATGGGCGCCTTCACCATGGCTTCTGGCTTCGTCTTTGGCTTCTTCTTGCCCGACTCGTTCAAGAACCCGCACAGCACGTTTGCTCCGAAGTGGAAGATCTTCAGCGAGCGAGAGCTCTACATCCTCAATCGAAGAATTCTGATCGACGACCCAGCGAAGGGGAAGAAGAAGAAGCGCATTGGGTTGTCGGCGTTCAAGAAAGCCGTTAGTTCCCTGCTTCCGATACTGATATGCTACCAGTGCTAACAAAATCACAGTTCTCCAGCTGGCGCATGTGGGTTCACTTCCTCATTACCCTCTGCAACAACGGTCCCCAACGTGGCTTCGATACCTACGCTCCATCGCTCGTCAAAGAGATGGGCTTCGACGGCTTGAAAGCCAACGCGATGGCCGCTGTTGGTCTCTTCATCCAGATTCCCGTCTCCTATTCATTCAGCTGGGTTTCAGATCACTTGTAAGCATGACCAGCGTTTCTCTGAAGAGAATGCCAAGCTAATCGTGATGATAGCAACCGACGAGGTGAAACCGTCATCGCCGGCCTCAGCATGGCCACTCTCGCCTACGTCTTCAACCGCAGCTTCACCGAAGTCAACAACCAAGGTCTGCGATACTTTGGCGTCGTCTGGACTCAAGTCTTCGGCACTTTCTCCCACCCTCTCAACATCACCTGGATGTCGCTTACCTGCACCGACTCGGAAGAACGAGCCCTCGCCATGGCCATGGTTATCATGGGAGCCAACATTGCCGGCATTTACGGAGCCCAGATCTTCCGCTCAGACGACAAGCCTCGATACCGAAGAGCGTTCGTTATTGGTATTGCTGTGTTGGCATTTGGCACGATTCTTGCCATTATCAGAAAGGTCGATGAAAAGATCAACGGACGGAAGGGCAAGCAAGACGATGACGCGAGCGAGGAGGCTTACGACGATCTGAAGCGCAACGGGTCCGTCCCTCCGAGTGACGTGCAGCCGCAGCCTGCCATGATTGGGAGTGACTTGAAGCCTGTGGTGTCTTTGACGACGAGATGATGAGGACTTTCGCATATTTCGGATAGAGTAAGAGAGGGTTGGACAGAAGGCGTGGAAAGGTTGGTATGAGATTTCGGGCACAGTCGTGAACTCTCGCTCAAGGTTCCAGTACACTCAGAACTAAATCTTACCGTACACAGTGCCAGCGACTTTGTCTCTTCTCATTAAGGTCGCTCGTTGTCGTTCCTCATGTTTGTATCCATCGTGACAATCATCCCATCATCATACTTGCGATCACTTCTCCAGAAATGCGTCAGTCTCCTCGTCCCCGTGCACAGGCTGGTACTGCTCCCTCTTCAACCACTCAGCATATCTCCTCCGAGACCTCAAGCCCGCACGAACTCCAGCAAAACCAGCTACCAGCAGCAACAGAAGGACGAAGCCCAACGGAATCCACACCTTCCAGTCAATCTCCCGCTTCACAGGAGGCCCATCATCTTTCACAACATACGCCACCGCAACCCCCATGATCGGCTCCAAAGACCCATCATTATTCACCATGGGCGCGTACTCGAACGTATCAAACGTCGCCGTGAGATTGAACTGATCGCCCGGCTGCACTCTCCCAGCATCGAGACACACAGGCATGGCTACGATATGCAACGCCCCATCTGCCGACTCGCCTTTACTTTCACCGTAAACGGGCTTGACCCCACAAAGCACCTCCCCATTCTTGAAGACCTCCACCAGAGTCCCTCCATCATGAAGATGGCTGCCGATGAACACGATCCGTCCGTGGAAGTCGGGCGTCAGCGTGGGAGAACTATACGTAAACCGTGAGTTATTCGCCGCTGGACGATCCGAGTCCCCGAACCCGCCTATATTGAGCCAGTACGGCGTGGCGAGGGCGTAGTCGGTGTAGGGAGCTATGACGTACTCCCACAGGACGGAGAGGACGACGGTCTGTTCTTCGTAGAGCATATTCATCAGCTCGCCGTAGAACGTCAGGCGGTCCGTGGAGCGGAAGTGGTATCCTACGGGGTCCTGGCTATAGTCATCCTCGTCAGCAATCCATTCGTCCAGTTGAGATGTAATCAAACTCACCCACCCCCCGTCAAATCCAACGCCGTCCTCTCATTCCCACTCGCAAAGAACGGATGCCCCTCCGTCTCGCCCTCATACGTCGTCTCCCGATCATTCACAAACACGAAATGGTGCATCCACATCCCGGTATCGGCGTCCGCGTCGCTGCCGTCGGCGTACTCTAACGCCACTTGCATGAATGTGATGAGGCAGTCTTTGCATGGCGGATCGATCTGGTCCGTGATTTCGAGCATGCCGTTGTTGGAGGCCCGGGAGGGGACGGTGTAGCGGCCATATTCGAGTTTGTGGGTTGAGGGGGTGGCGTGGGCGGTGGAGAAGGGGGTGAGGAAGAGGAGGGGGAGGAGGATGTTGGGGAGCGAAAGCATTGTGAGGAGAATGAGCGGTTATACTAGAGAGGAAGGAGATGGATTTACATCCCTGGGCGAGGAGTGCCGGTGTTATACTTATACCAGCCCTGGTTCCTTCCAGGCTTAAATCCCGGTGGACGACCGAGGATGTGTTGCGTAAGTTGTGCATGCAGCCATGAAGAAGCAGGACATCGTCTTGACCCTTTTACGCGGGTAAGGCAGAGTTTCGTCAAAAGAGGAAGATCTTGCGGGCGACTTCTTACGACGTGTGTTGGTGTATGTTGATCTGGCGTATAAAGCTGAGGAGCTGAATGCTGACTGTCGAGTTTCTGCAGCGCTTATGAAGCCTACGTCTCGCACGTTGGTGGTGTTTGTCTTGTTGTTCGTTTCCACTGCACCTGGTTGCAAGCAGAGCTTGCCTGGCTGCGAGCAACCTGACGATGGATCATGCACGATGCGTTGGAAAGCAGTCAATTGAAGCAGAATGGATACTGATATCTGCGAAAAGATAGGCACTAAGTTGCACTAGTATCTCACCAGCAGCATGGTCATCTCTGAAATCCGCGGAGCATCCTCTCTTTTGCACTCATGTCCAGTTGCAGTAGCACCACTCAAACACCGCTTTTGGTTAGAAGTGCGCGCTGAAAGAACTCACAGCTGATCGCCAGCGTACCTCTTGATTACGACTTGGACGGCACATATGCCCGAAACCACTCATGACGCTTGCTGTTAGGATGGTAGCTGCTGAAATAGTCTTCGTAGTCCTGCATCGTGTCCTGCGTCGTCTTCCACACGGCCAGTCCCCGCGGAAACCTGCGAAAGAGAGTACCGAGAGTGATGTATAGCTCAGCGTATGCAAGCGGCATTCCCACACACTGTCGAGAGCCACGGCCGAAAGGCACCATGTTGCGATCGAGACGACGAAACTCTTCAGCACCCTTCATCCAGCGTTCGGGGTCGAATTTCATGGGGTCGGGAAAGACTTCAGGGTCTCGATGCATCATCCAGCCTGACATGCTGATGGCGGTGCCGGCTGGCAGGAAGTGGTCGTAGAACGTTGAACCTGGACTCGGAACAACTCGAGGCAGGCGAGACATGACGCCGAAGGAGAGGCGAAGGCCTTCTTTGATGACGGCAGTCTGGAAATGGTCAGTAGAAGCTTCAGCAAAACTTTGGACACTACCTACCAGGTATGGCAGTCTTTCGAGGGTGATGAAGGACAGATCTTTGGTTGGGTCTGGAAAGATCTCCTCCAGCTCAGCCACCAACTTTCGATATATGCTCTGATCTCGCAGGACATTGAAGGCGGCGACTGTCATGGCGTTTCCCGTAGTATCAGCTGCTGCTACCAGCACACTGTATGCTTCGTCCTTGATTTGCCACGATGTGGGTACTTCGTATCCATCTGGCTTGTCTTCGGGAGAAAGTAGAGTCGTGAAGATGGTCTGCCTCCCAAGAACTTCGCTTCGGCTCATTCGCTCCTTGAGATCGTCTACCTGTCTCACGCATTCCATTTGCAAGCCAGTCACATATCCCAGTGGCTGAGATAGGTACGGTGCCATCCATGGCGGCGTCTTCAACGCAAGGCTCTGAAACGAAGGGAATTGCTGAAACACATAAAGCGCAGGTCCAATACCGCGAGCCATCTCACAGAATTTGGCCCCATTATCGTCGGCCTCCAGAAAGTCGTAACATCGATCAAAGGCATACTCTGAAGCAACATCCACCGACACGGCCCGAAAGATCTGATGCAGATTGACCGGCTGCCCGCTTTCGATGCCAATCTGCATGCTACGACATACTTTCCCGGCTTTTTCCTGCACGATGGATTCCAAGTCGAGCACTTTTTGCCGCGAGAACATGGGGTTCATGGCACCTCTTCGTAGACGGTGGACCTCATTCGACAAGGCGCCGAAACTGGAATACGGAGCACATAACGCATTGTAGAAGTTCGGGGACTTGGAGTACTTGCTGCCCACGTGGTATATCCGGTCATAGCTGTCGGCGTCGGCGGCGATGTGGACTTCCTCGGGCGTGATGCGAACTATGGGACCATATTGTTTGTGCAGCTTTTCAATCTGGAGGTAGAAGCGGCAATGGTAGCTCGTCTGGTACAGCTTGGTGACAGCCGGGAGGAATGGTCCGGGAATCCGGGCGAGTGGGTGGAAGAAGCGTCGGTAGATGCAGATGGAGGCGATGTAGGATGAGATGGCCGCTACCAGCACATGCCACTTGTAGGCTAGCAGGAGGCCGGTGAATGACTGATCCGTCGCTGACATCCTGGACCCAGCGCTGTGGTCGTCGACGAGGGCTCACAGTGGTGACCAGGGCATGCTCGTCTATGGATAGATAGATGCTGGGGAGAAGGAAAGAAACATCCTGACCTCCCCGCCACCCACCATTTGCTGTATTGCTATCTGCTGCTATGCACTAGTGCCCAGGCTAGAAGGTGCTAGCCGTTTGAGTTAAGCTCACGGGCCGCGCGCCCCATCCCGTCGCCTATCACATGCAAAGATCGGCATCGGTGCTGTCATTAGCGCCGGATCTGCTCGACCTGGCCCGGTTTATCGAACTCACTTCACCTCTTCCCACCTCAACACCAACACTCAACCGCGCATGGTCCAGAACGGAAATATCAGCATTCACTCACTCCCGGGTCCATCGGCGGCGTTCGTCATCTCATGGCTGACGCAGCGTCCAGCGGCGGGATAGGAGCTGCCAAAGCGCAAAATGCCTCCCAGATAGATCCATCCGTACTGACGACCGCAGAGGCTTCTGCAACACTGCCTCAAGACCTCCATGACATAGAAGATGACCCAGATGTCGACTCTGCTCTTGGTGCCGACCCGTTAGTCCTTACATGCCTCAATTTGTCCAGGGCCTCCAATGCTGACTCTGTCTCCTCCACTCCAGCGAGTCCGACACTACGTCGTTAGCTTCTACGATTCTCCGTCATAGGGAAGGTAAGCCATCATAATGATGTGACATAACTACGATTTTGAGGGTACTCCGGTAGCTTACTTACCATCTGTCTAGAATTTGGCCGGACGTATCACAAGTTTCGCGGTGAAGATAATCCATATTGGGGGCCTAACGATGAGCAGCAGAACGACCAGCTCGATATTGGCCATCATATGTTCTTGCTCCTCTTGAAGAACAAACTTTACCTGGCCCCGATCGACCCAGAAAGCTGTCGTTACGTCCTTGATCTCGGAACAGGCACTGGTATCTGGGCCATTGACTTCGCTGATGCCTACCCCAATGCAGACGTTACAGGAGTCGACTTGAGTCCCATACAGCCAAGCTGGCTCCCGCCGAATTGCCACTTTGTCATCGACGACATCACCAAGCCATGGGAAGAGCCCGAAAACCACTTCGATTTCATCCATTTGCGATGTTTGTACGGCAGCGTTGCAGACTGGCCGGGACTGTACAAACAGGCTTTCGAACATGCTGCCCCTGGAGGGTGGATTCAGTCGATGGAGATTGATATTCAATTTGCCAGCGACGATGGCACCCTTGGGCCGGATCACACGATGCTGCAGTGGTCCGATGTCTTCTTCGAAGCGGGCCAGAAAATGGGCAAGACGTTCAAGGTCGCACACAATACCGTTGCTTGGGTAGAAGATGCTGGGTTTCAAGACATACATTCTCGGTGGTTTAAAGTCCCTGTGGGAAGGTGGCCTAAAGACAAGGTAAGTCCATCGTTTTGAATATCCATCTTCAGTAGCTGACTTTTATCAATTTCTAGTCCATGAAGGAGCTCGGGATGTGGAATTTCCACTACTGCTTTGAAGGCTGTGAAGGCTGGGCGCTGTACCTGCTGACAAAAGTGCTTGGTTGGAGCATCGATGAGTGTCGGGTATTTGTTGCCAAGTTTCGCAATGCACTGAAGGACAACAAGACTCACGCCTATTACCTTGTGTAAGTGGATCGAGGAAAGTGTCAAACGCTACAAGTTCAATACCTGATTCTAAGCAGAAACGTAACCTGGGCAAGGAAACCTACGTTGCGGCAGCTCTGAGCTCGGCCAGGGTTGCGTAGCGTATGTCGACAGGATGGCCATACAACGGGCGAGCTACAAATGGACCTCTTTGGCGTCCCAATATCGATTGAAGACTCTTGGATTGTGCATTTGATCTCCTCTTGGCGCCCGCCAACAGGGTTCGGGGACATCGTGTAATATTGATAGCGTTGAGCAGCGGGCCAGCTTTTTGAAGACGCCGACGTTGCTGAAGTCTTTTCGCTTGTGCTTCATGGCTTCTGGCATAATCGTATCGTCACACCGCTTTGGAATCCTTCTTACGAAAAGACGATGACGACAGAAGAATACAGGGCATTGAGATGCCCAAGAATATCTGCAAACTAGCATGAGTAGCTAAACTTGCAGCAATCCAAATGGGATGTGAGGACTCCTCTACTGAGCCGCAATGCAAACACTGGCTTCTCCTTTCTCTGCATCTTTTCCTCCGCTGGGTCGTAAATCTATTGCTTCTTGGCTTTGACGGCCGCATTCCTTAGTCGAAATCACTCACTGCTAACTTTCACGCCAGGCTCTCCAACTCCTGGCTTTCTAGCATCGTCGGTATAACCTTTACTCTTGGTGCCTCGCAGCCGACTGTCCAATGGAGAAAATCACTATCTTGGCTCATTTCTTTTGACCGGTATGCTCCACGTGGAATGCATCGTCCGCCTCCAAAGCCTTTTGGCCAACGATCGCATCATCGATCACATCCTCTGTGCTTGGATAAGCCACCTTCCAGACGGTATGCAGAGGCCGCTCGAATAGTAAGTCCAGAGATTCCAATGATCTCCCTGCTGTCTCGGGCATGCACAAGAATGCAAACACCAGCGACAACGCACAGATGCTGGCGAAGAATATGAATGCCCCATAGCGGTCAGTCGCAGCAAGCAAGCTCGGCATGGCTCGCGAGCATCCGAAGTAGTACGCCCAATGCAGGGCCATGAAGATTGATACATTGAAGGAGCGGATCCGAGTCGGGAAGATCTCAGAGTTGATGAGGTACGGCAAGGAGAACCAGCCAATCGACCATGCCACAGCGTGAAGGTAGATTGCAACAATGGCCGCTGTGCTCGCTCGTACGAGATTTCCGTCGTCTTCAATCTCCGCTGCCGTCATTCCTGTCGTGGCTCCGAGATACCCGGCGATGAAGATTAGGGTGGCGGTTTGGAGGATGATACCAGTAAGCAAGGATCGTCGACGACCGACAAAGTCCACCACAAAGACACTGAAGATCAGAACGGAAGCGAACTTGACAACACCGTAGAGCCCAGTAGCCAGGAACGTCGTGTCGCCGCTTGCCACTCCGAGCTAGACAACTGTCAGCCTGCCGCTCTCGTGGAGCATCGAGAAGGGTCGTGGAAACTTACATAGCCAAAGATGGTCGGTGAGTACTGAGTGATGGCGTTAGCACCTGACCATTGCCCAAATGTGTGAGCCAGGAACATCAGGCTGAAGCGGCGTCTGTTCTCTGGCGTAGCCAACGTCTCCTTGAGGAGATCGAGCTGGCTGGCTCCGGCAACAGACTCAATCTCATTCTCCAGCTGGACGTCCATCGCACCGAGCTCGCCAACTAGGAGAGGATGTTCTCTTGGAAGATGGCGGATCCGCTCTAAGCTGCGAATAGCATCGCTGCGTTTGTTTACGGAGAGGAGCCATCGAGGAGATTCTGCCACGAAGAATGTTCCGACTCCCCAGATTACCGCAGGCACAATTTGAAGCGCTGTTGGGAGCTGCCATTGAGTTTGAGTCCCTGCAAAGCTCTTGGTGATGCCATAATTGAAGAAGAATCCGAAGACAACACCCAGCTGCTGGCAGGAAGCGTACTGGATCGTGATGAGGCCTCGAATGGACTTGGGGGCGATCTGAAGCAGTCAGCTACATTCCATTACTTTCCAGCTTGGATGAAGATCATGCCTCTGCAAGATAAACGCTGGGCACAATCGTCGTCCCTCCAATCCCGAAACCACTGATGATGCGGCTGACATAGAGAGCAGCAAGAGAGCCGCCGCTGAATGTCTGGCCAAAGATCCCGGCAATGTAGATCACTGTGTATATCTGTAGCGTGATCTTACGACCGAAGTGGGAGTTACACCACGTGCACTTTGATATCCATCAGCTTCACTCAAATCTCGAAGCCTGATTTTGCTTCTCACCGAAAGACACCCAAACACTGCTCCTGCCGTAGCAATTGACACGATCCAGCCTTTGGTGTCGGCGTACTCGGCCTCGGACTGGTGAGCTATGTGGAATCGCTCTTTGAATGCCGGCATCACCACGATGCTGGCGATGTTGCTTGCAGTGCTACTGGTTAGTCATTTTGCAGAGACAACAATGGTGTAGCCTGACCCTCATCAAACCCTTTCGCGACGCCGCTAAAACTGATGATTGCACAGCAAAAGAATAGGTACCAGTTGAATATTTCTTTTGGGCTTTCTTTGATCGCTTGTCTCGCGGTAGAGATCAGGTGCGTCTTTGCCATGATGCCGACAGAGCAAGGGGTTGGTCTTGTGAATACCTGCGACCTGGCGGTCCCCGACACACTTTTTTATGTGGAAATGCCCCGTGCCGCTGTGCTCCTTCTCCACAGCCTCTTGTGGAGAAAATGGGGAGCTTGGGGTGAGAATGGATTCGAGTAAGCGACCAAAGGGGGTTGATCGGACAGCTGCCGTCGGACAGAGTCCGAACAGCTTTTATACAGGCATGGCGTGGTGGGTAGAACGCTCATGGACTTTCAAAAACCCGTTCAATGATGCTGTCCATCGGCCGCAGACGAACGTTTGTTGTCTCGAAACTGCCGAATTATCGTTGACATCGACATGGGACTCATCTCACTGCCATACCTCTCCACTCTACCCACTATTGTTACTCTGACGCTGCGGTCTTCCATTGCCTCACTCCAGCACAGTGCCATTCCACTTTTTGTATGTTACCCTTCAAGCTGTCGGTAATGAAGATGGTCTTACCATCAGGGCCACCGAATGTACAATTCGTAAGATTCATCCCGTCTGCGCTCGCAATCCGAGCCTTAGGCATCCCATGCTTGTCGACCACGAAAACGGAAGCAAGACTCGGATGACAGACAAACAGACTGCCTTCCTCGTCCACAGCCAAGCCGTCCGGCCCCGCATTGCCAAATGATCTGAAGAAGACACCAACTTTAGAAGTTGACCCATCTTTGTGAAGCGGCAGTCTCCAGACCTCGTTCGAGCGAGTCATGGCGACGTAAAGGAATTGCTCATCAGGCGACAGGACCAGGCCATTGGGTGAGATGCCGTTCGATACGAGTACATCGAGCTTTCCGTCGGAACAGAGACGGTACACCTTGCCAGTCTGATCAACCATCGACGTTTGTCCTTGGTCGGTGAAGTAGATATTATCCTTGGAGTCGACAATGACATCGTTGGGGCCTTTGAATCTCTCGAGATTTCTTCGGGTTAGAAGCGGAGATATCTCATTCGCGGCGGGATTGAACAGCAACATTCCCCGGTGCGAATATCAGCCAAGTCTTTCCCCTGCCTTCTTATGGAGAAACAGCATACCTGCTTATAATCTGCGACGACGAATTTGCCGTCCCGCCTAATGGCCATGCCGTTTGGCTCGCCATCGTACTTGACACATTCAGTCCCCTGACGGTTGGAGTCGAATCTCAGAATGCGACCATGAGGAATGTCAGTGACCCAGACATTGCCTTTGTCATCGGCTGTTGGGCCTTCGAGGAAAATGTTCTCATAGCCTCCTGCAAAACCGCCTCTCCACTCGCTTTCGTCGCTGCATCGAAGATTTTTGGGCACAGTCAGATACAACTCTGCCTTGATCGTGGGTGGTGGATGAAAGAAGTTCATGTTTGGTGCTTGAGTGGCGGCTGTAACAATAGAGTCGCTTCTGCTTGATAGCGTAGACTGCGAAAAGATTGGTTGGAAAGGGGAGTCCGCCGGATCGGACCCGATGCGCTTCCTGAGTCCGAGCATTGCGCCCTGTGGGGAGTGCAAAAGATGGAACACGACGGTATAAGTCTGGGGCTTGAAGTAGTGAGTAGGGCTGGCGAACTGAACTGGAGTCCTAACTCTGGCCGTTCGGACATTCGGAACAGTTTCAATGCGCCTGAGGCGTAGTGGTTCACGACATACGGAACACACAGCCTGATTACCCTAGAAGCCGGCTCGAGAGCTTCCAAGTCCGCAGTTGGCCTGCTGTAACAGTTTCTCTGGATCAAAAAGGAGTTTGAGCACTTGCTAAGCATTCTCGAAGAACTATGCAACGCTCGAGGTTTCAATATTGCATGTACGGAATCGCCAAACCAGATCCATAATCAAGCTCGAAAACTTCACATGATACGAGTATCGAGATTGATGAGCCCATCCCAGCAGTGTGGATCGAGGAACAAATCGTCGACAAGATTCTGTGGCCAAAGCAATTCAAACTCTGAGAAGTCGAATACGGGATCGGTTGATCTCCCCGTCATCGGCCTGCATTCGCTGATAGAGTCGTTTGGAATAGATTGTGTGCCTTCTTGGCGAGTTTGGTGAGGCGTAATGACATTGCTGTTATTTTCGACGGGCAAGCTGATTCCATGTCTCGAGAGCACATCGCGCAGTGCATGGAGGAAGTGCCAGGCAGTCTGATTCGTGCTTTTCGTCTCGGCTACGATCTGCATAGCGTCGCGGACTTCAACCAGCCGCGTGCGATCGTTGGGGTTGTTGATGCAGAGATCCATGACCAACACCATAGCGGCGTAGAACACAAAGCGGTACAAGCCCAACAATGGCAAGGTCGAGGAGATCTGCCAGCTACTATCATCCAGAAACACTCGCCGGACTTCCAGCAGTTTCTGAGCGGACTCAAGGCAGGCATATCGTGAGAAAGCATAGCGTGGGTTGATTTTGTGTCGTATTAAGAAAGGCAAGTGAAACTTGCATCGTCGAACGGATATCATGAGGTTGGCGAGAGCTCGCTGAAGGCCGATTTGACTGCCACCCCTGTCGCCAAATTCGCGCTTGATGGTCTCAGGACCGACGTCGAGCTGCAAAAACCGTGGGAGGCTGGTAGTAAGAGCACAAAATTTGCCATCGAGCTCATAGACTTTGTCGTAAGGCACCGCCTCTGGCTGTTGCATGATCATACTATCGACTGCTTCTCGGCAGACCTCTGCGAGCCTGATGCGGAGAAAGTAGTACGCCATGGGGGTGGCTGCATCATTCGACCGTTCAAAGTCGAGATCGCGGGTAAAGAAGTCGTCCGTGTTCAGATTCCGTGGCTTCTTTACTCGCATTTGTTGTGGGATGACCGAGTATACACCCTGAGTTGGACCACTGTCGAAGGCCAGAAGCCAGTCTGTGCAAGCAATGTACCACCAGAGCTTTCTGCCTGTCTCGATCTCGATGACAGCCGCTTGGTCGAGGTCAATTGGTTTAGACTGGACAGCGTCGATCATGTGCAAGCGGAGCTCACGAGCCATGGCCAGTGCAGTCGATTGTAGTAGTCGCAGTCGCATGGAGAAACCTTCCATGTGATATTCAAGAAAGACTAGCAAGGTGGCAGCTTGAACGGCTTCCATCGTAGCCGTGGTTGAATCTCGCGCATAGTTCATTGCGTCCATTGCTTGTTGGGCAAGGACAGTGGAGACTTTCGCAGCAAGTTCGACATCTTGAAATAACCCATTTCGCTGATAAGTATCCCAGAACCCGATATGGGCACTCATTGCCAGTAGCAATGCAATGAGTCCTTGTTGTGAGCCTGGTCGAGGACCTCGGCTTTGCTCGTAGAGAAGCTGCACTTTTGCACGCACCGTTGGAATGTGCATAACCTGCTGTGCCGACTCCAGTTTCTCCTCGTACAGATCAATCACTCGAAGAGCAAAGTCTCGAGGGGGAAGTAAAATGCGCTTCGTGTTCTTCGGCTGATGATATTGCGGCACATCTGGCAAGAGACGGCATCCTGTCTTCCAACGTACTCGCATCCAGCGTCGGGATGTGCAGCTCGAACACGGCTTTCGTTGGTCGCATTTCAGCTTTCGGGCACGGCACATGTGGCAAGCCACTTGATTCTGCCGTCGTCGCTCGTTTCGTTCTGGAGCCATCGTGATACTCAGATGTTGAGCTTTAGCCACGGCGGCCAACAGGAAAGCGATTCAAGGAAACGAGGAGTGAGCTGAAGAGCTGAGGAAGGTTGGGTCGAATGTGTGGAAAGCGTTCCGGAGAGCTCCACGGACACTCCCCGAAGGAAGCATCCATTGGCGGACTGCCCGCAGCCTTGCCACATCGCTGGAATTGGGCGATGATGATCTACAATCGAGGTTCTGTTCCAATCAGCAAGCCGGTATAATTGTCGACCAATGTTGTGGCGTATTCAACGCTTCGCGGACAGTCCGCTGTGGCCGCGCAGTCTTTGCCTCCAATACTTATATGCTACCAGCAAGCAAAGCTCTTACTCTCTCCTATGCCAGTTTCCCATCTACCACCGACATAAACAACTCAACGCAGACCCTTAGCATGGAGTCGAAAGAAAGACGACTACAAGATACACATCCGGAAGGGCCACATTCCGAGTGGACATAAGTTGATTTGATACTTTCTATGTACATATCGATATCATCAAGAGACACTCACACAGCGCAGGTCTCGCGGGATAATTGTCGTATGCGGCTCGGCCATGGCCTATTTAACTACGGCATCATCAAGCTCCCTCGAACCAAGCAGGCTGTCAAGCTAATAGTATGATCAGGTCGGCTTCATCAACGCTTTCGGCGTGTTACAAGGGTATTACCAATCTGATATCCTACGAAACGAATCACCATTTCGAATCTCGTGGATTGGCTCCTTCAACACGTTCGCCATCTTCCTCTTCGCTGCCCCAGTCGGCATTCTGGCTGACAAGATTGGCCCAACAGTATGTTGTATTGTCACGCTGGACTGGTATTCTTTTCGTACGACTAACTGACCTTTGGCATAGATCCCAATGATCCTCGGATCGGTCTTCTTACTTCTGGCTCTCTTCATGATCGCATTATGCAAGCAGTACTGGCAATTCTTCCTTGCACAGGGTCTCCTCCTGGGTATGGGCATGTCATTCATCGCAGTTCCAGCCTAGGGTGCGGTGCCCAGATTCTTTACTCGAAACCTGGCAGTTGCGAGCGGTATCTTTGTCGCAGGATCTTCCCTTGGGGTGTCATCTGGCCAATCGTCATGGACCAGTTCTTCCTCAAGACCTCACTTGGATTCGGTTGGTCCATACGAATAGTTGCTTTTATGATGATTCCTCTTCGTGCCATTGCCGTCTTGGCCACCAGGCTCCCGGCTACATCCACCAAGTTGAAAGAAGGAACTCAAATGGAAACCAGCGAGGAAGGACCTATGATGGATAGGTCATTCCTGAAGCAGCCGCCCTTTATACTCTTGTGTGTCGGCCTGGCCCTGTGTTCCTTCGGATTCTTTACGTCATTCTTTTACACTTCCAGCTACGCCATTACCCGTGGCATGTCACAGGGGTTGTCGTTTTATACGTTGGCTACTATCAATGCGGGGTCCGCATTCGGTAAAGTATTGCCTGGGTTCGTTGCTGATCGCTGGGGAAAGTTCAACATTCTGAGCTGCTCAGCTGCCGCAGCAAGTATCGTCGCTTTCTGCTGGACATCTGCTACTTCAACGGCAGGTATCTTTGTTTGGGCAGGCATTTATGGATTTGCTTCTGGAGTACATGAAACCCCGTCTTTTGTAATGTGCGAACTGACATATCGTCGACAGGGCATTTTGAGCTTGGAGATTGCTGCTGCCACCTCTCTGGCGCCGAAAGATAAGGTCTCAACAGCTCTCGGCGTGTGTTTTGGCTCCACGGCATTGGCGTAAGTTTGACTGGGCAGAAGAAGACCTCAACATGGGGACGTGCTGACTTTGACGGCATCAGGCAATTATTCGGTCCCCCAATTAGCGGCCAAATCTTGACACATGGCTACACTCCAGTTTCCATCTGGTGTGGGGCAGTGCTAATTGCTGGATTTGTCGCTCTCTTGGCAGCCCGACTGTGTCTGGACCACAGAGTTACGGCTAGGGACTAGATGGCAATGTCTCTCAAGGTCCACCTGCAGCAGAGACGCTCTACTGATTAGCAACTCCAATATGGGCAGTGCAGGCAAGAAGGGCCGATCTTGAAAAGAAATTTGCCGCTACTTGGTCCAACCGAGAGGCATGCGGCCGCATAAAAGTTGCAGCCTTGTCAAGCGGAAGGTGCGGCCGCAATTCGACGCGCGCATTTCACTTTCGCACATCAGAACTTCATTCACCTCAGTTTCCGCCTCTACTTTCACATCATCGAGACTTGCAAAACTTTATCTTCACATTCCTGACACCTCAGACAACATGGAAACATCGAAACGTACCGTCCTTATCACAGGTTGTTCGGCCGGCGGCATGGGGGCTGCGCTGGCTAAAGAGTTCCACGCAGCTGGACTTTCCGTGATTGCGACTGCAAGGGACACGACGAAAATGGCAGAACTCAAAGCTCTGGGCATCGCTACCTTACAACTGGATGTTCAGTCTGCGACTTCTATCGCAGCCTGTGTCGAGAAAGTGCCTCGACTGGATATCCTCATCAACAATGCTGGAGCCTCGTACACCATGCCAGTCTCCGACATTGACATTGCAGAAGCAAGAAGGCTATTCGACACAAATGTTTGGGGATGCATCGCAGTCACCCAAGCGTTTCTGCCGCTGCTCATGAAATCATCACAAGCTGTGATCGTTAATCATACGTCTGTCGGAGTGGGAATGAGCATTCCATTCCAAGGCGTGTACAACGCTTCGAAGGCGGCCATGTCCATGTTTTCAAAAACTATGCGCCTAGAGCTGGAAGGATTCGGAATAGCAGCCGTCAATCTGAAGACCGGCGGGGTGCAGACCAACATCGTGAAGAACATACAAGCACGAAGCCCACAATTGCCCAAAGACTCGATATACTCGCCGGCTCGAGAAGCTGTGGAGGCAGCCTTGCGAAGTGAGTGGGTGGAGAAGCGTGGAATGGGGATCACGGCCGAGCAATGGGCCAAGCAAGTCGTAGCGGAGCTCTTGAAGGAGTCGCCGCCGGCGGTTGTATGGAAGGGCGAGTCAGCTTGGATGGCTAGCCTTTTGAGTTGGTTGCCAGCACGATGGTTTGATGGTATGGTGAAGAAGATGACAGGTCTTGTGGAGATTGAGAAGATATTGAAACGATAATATGTAGCTTTTAAAGATGTTTGCGGCGAAAACATTGCTTGTGCATAGTAATTGAATTAGGCCTGCGTATGTTCGTCAGTCTCATCATCGAATAGAGTAATGGTGTCTCATACATCACGGCAAAAGTACTCCGCAATGCAAGCCGAGTCCAACTGCCTCTTGCTATCACGGAAACAGTTGAAAGGCCTCCCGTTGTTTCCAGTGCCCGCAAATGCTCCAACAGCAAGGCCGTTGGCGCCAGCGTTGATGTTACTTTGAAAAGTGACGCCAGTCTGTTGAAAGACCCGGCTGTTCTGGCCTTCGAAATTGAATGGACTTCCATTGGTAATGTGGGCTACAGAGCCGGAGTCTGGGTTCTGTCCATTTTGCGAGTTGGCAATCTCCTTGTAGTACTCTGCTTGACCGCCGGTCGAGCCAGCAGCGAAGTGGCAATTGGCAAGGTAGACGACTTCATCGGCGAAGGCAGCACTGGCCAGGATTGGTATGGCGAGGAGGGCGGTGGAGAAGTGCATCTTGGTGTAAGCTTGGAGATGTGGATTTGAAAGGGTTTTGGGCTTGAGTTGGGCAATGCATTCTTATATCCTGTGCTGAAGACACGACGTAGTATTGAAAGCCGGTTACATTAATAGATATATTGAGTACTTCCAAGGCTATTGGCATGTAGCATGGCGCTAATTTCTGATGGCGTCGGGCAAAGCTGCTCGTAAAGATCAAAGAAGCTCCGTAGTCGTACACACCAAATCCGACGCTGTTGGACATTCACAGAATCACGAAAAGCCCACATCCAACCAAAGACCAAGTGTGGGCACAGTTGGTCATTATATCGCCGGATATCACGGTAGCCTATGCGCCGCTGAACGTCAGCCGCCGCAAATCCAGCAAGAAACCCATGACCTACACGCATTGTCGTACGTGACATCCGACACGCTTACGTGGGGAGAGTGAGCGCTCAACATGGAAAGCAAGACCGGGGCTCCCATTTTTGATGACCTTCTAAACGACACCGAGTGAGCGTCCTCAGCGTGATGAAATTCGCCGCGATGCAGTCTCATTGAGGTAAAGCAAATTGAGGTGTAGGTTAGGTCCGAGGCCGACTGAAGACAAAAGCTTAAGATTCTGAGAGGATGTAGCTGCAAAGGAAGACTCCTCGAAAGGTAATCGATTCCTCTTGCTTCACCCATCTCTCGCTTCATTGGCTCCTCGCGACAAGTTTACGACCGATCTGGGCTCGCCCATGCTGTTGTTAATGAGTACCGTATTGTCGTTGGTCAGAGGTATCTCAGACGCCACCAGAAGCTGCCAAAGTGTAGGGGGCCCAATTTGAAAAGCAACAACCCAGAGCACAGACTCAGTGCAGTGTACGATCAGTGTCGAGGCAGGGCACCGAGTATTAGCCGCTGCTATTGCTGTTGTCAAATCTGGCGTTTTGCATCGTGGACTCAGTGTACTCCGCTCGCACCAAAGGAGTCGTTGGGTACAACAACATTCTCGATACACAGTGCGGCTCTGGAGTCCACGCAAGATAGTGCGTAGAGAGTACTGGCATCTGTCGAAGATCGAGGAACTCCCGGTATTCAATTTCAAGAAACAGGTCTGAGACTGCCCTAGGTCTTGACCAGGCATGTACGAGTCGGTGAAAAGCCGGCTGAAGTGCTAATCAGACTGTTACGGTCGTCTCAAGAGCTTGATATCTTCCAACAGTAGACGAACGTCGATCAGTTGATACTCGTCATAGATGGACCAGCGGAGCAACGGTCCTCTTTGCATTTGTTCAAAGAAATCTGCCAATGGGGATTGCTCTCCGTGGATGTTCCAAACTCGATGCCGCTCACGAGCAGCAACATCCATCGAGCATTCGACGTTGTCTCAAAGTAGTCAAATTGGTCTGATCTTTTCTCAATCAGGATATGGGCCACACGTCATGAGGAAAGGAGAATCTTATTTGCAGGAGGTGAAGTTGGAAATCGATCCATGTCGTCAGGATCTCGCTGATTGGTGGAAGAGATATTCACGCTAGTGAAAGTCTAAACACCAGACCAGTAGCTCCCCCTGGTCCTCGTCGTCGGGTCTTCTTCCTAACACAAATGCAGCTTTCACCACGAAGACGCTCATGCCTGGACCGACGAAGCCAGTACGATCATAACCGGCCTCAGTACTTCTATCCAGATACCAGTCGTACAGAGTGATCCAATACCAGGGCTGGAATTGCTCATTGGTTGACAGACGCTGTTGAAAAAACAAAGAGTCGTCTATTTCACTCTTATCACGGGCCGGAACATACGATCGAGCAGCGCCTTGCCTCAGTTCAATCATGACTTGAGCTTTCGCTGCCCATGAGCTTTTCTCTTCCCTTCACCACATGAAGACTCGACCGCTGATGACATAGCCTGCCTTGCGTCGGCCGTCAGCGGGAGTGCTTACTCTTGCCTTTCTGGTTTGCAATTGCCAAAGACTCACGAAGCACCTGCTGTCCAAGTGCGAAGTGCACATGCCGAGAAACGCCAGTAGCTCAGCATCAGCCAAGCCGTCAAGAAGATCGCTTCTGCCAGCTGCAGCTGAAAGAGCGAGTACGACGCCAAGAGGCTGCCGAGAAACCGCTGCGAACTCGAAACTTATAACAAGATCTATCCCGTGAGAGTATTGCTGCTCAATCCTCATCAGACTTCAACATGGGATTGGACATTGTCATTGTCGGTTCAGGTCTGGCAGGTCTGGCCGCTGGTGCCTTTCTCAGGAAGCAGCACACCATTACCATACTCGAGAAGAGCAAGCTCGACTTCCAACAAAATGACTACGGTATCTCAGTCATCGCAAATGCATACAGTCTACTGCAAAAAGCCGGTATAGATGATACACAGCTGGACATGGCAGTCATGACGAAGCTCTGGCAGAGGACCGCCGGTAATGAGGAAATCGTGACTGCAGATTTCGATACGAGGAAGACCTTCGGCGCACCCAGTGTTCTGACTAAACGGAGCCACTTACAAAGGGAGCTGTACAGATTGGCAACGAGTGCCGCACTGAAGGGCCAGCCGGCAGAGATTATTGAGAACATCAAAGTCAAGAGCGTTGACGCAAACACTGGAATGGTAAACACTTCGGACGGGAGGTCCTTTTCTGGCGACTTGCTCATAGGAGCCGACGGTATCAACTCGGTCGTTCGTGCTGCTGTGTTGTCCTCAGACGGCAAGTCTGCCTGCGAAGCACTGGCGACATCCCATGATCTTCTGGCCTACATGGCACAAATTCCTCTATCCGCCTTGGCTTCTTCTCCATCCCTGAGCTTCCTTGCTGACCCCGAAACTTCGGCTGGACTAGTGAATTTCTCATCTCCAAGAGGCAGAACTGACAAACTTCGGATTCTTGGCTACCATACCTCTCCGAGAGAGTTCCAACTTGTCGGATATGCCTCAGAAGAAGAGTTTGCTGCACAGTTTGACCAGTTTGGCACAAGCATCATCAAAGGCGTCCCTGCCTCGCGGGCAAAACATGCTCTCTCTGAGTTCGACTCGGCAATCACGGACCTGTACGACCATCATCGCTCTGGTGATGGCACTGTCGAGGTTTGGGGGATCCGAGATCTCGATCCTCTTCCTCGCTGGTCGCTCGGCAAGACTCTGCTCATTGGCGATTCTTGTCATGCAGTAACGCCTCACGCCGGGCAGGGATGCAATATTGCTTTTGAAGATGCCGAGGCGCTAGGCGTCGTATTGGAAGATGTCAACAGCGATATGGAGATCGAAAGCGCTTTGGAAAAATTCCTCAAGATTCGAAAGGAACGGGCAGAGTTCGTGGCCAATGGTTCCAGACACATGGGTGCTCTGCTTGGGCCAGAGGCGGGACCTTTTGATGAGTCTAGAAGGAGGGAATTTGGCATGAAGACCTATGGGTACAGGGGAGCGAAGCAGGCTCTAGAGCAGCTCGAAGGTACCGCATAGTACAACCACTTTTCATGTGCGAGGCTTGGGTGAGAATTGGATGGGGAGCTGTCGCTGTTGCTCCTGCGGCCATTCTGTCATGATGTCGAGTACCCAACGCCCTCAGTGTTGCAGCCATCTTGGCGGATCACTTTCGACGCATGATGAAATGATGTTTGCGAGATCAGTCGTAAATCGATGGCTCTATTTGCCCCGCGTATACCGGGCTCAGAGTACCAGTCCCGCTTGGAATATCTGCGCTGTGTTTGAGACTCTCTTGTATAGTCACGATGTGGAGTTTGGATAAAACAACATGTCCGTCAGATCGAACGTCGCCATCCCAATTCCGAGATCGAGATCAGTACAGCGATACTCCTCGAGAGCTATCCCTCCCTTGCTACCTGCCGGTTGTCGAGTACAGCTGATGTACACAACATTTTCGCCATCAGCTGTATGGAGAACTACATCACGAAGCCTAGCGGTGTCCGGGATATCCTGTGAAGCCGGCTCCGACGAGGATGAAGGCGAATCCAGCTCCGAATCGCAAAGGGCCAGTTGATCTTCCAGTGCAATGATTATCTTGGCAAACAGTCCAAGTCTTTTGCCTGAGTGATGGCCCTCCATACGATTTGATGATATCAAGAGATCGGCTGTTCGGCGACGCAGGGTAGCATCTCGGCACTTGCAGGCTACAGTGAACAGTGTTGAGAAAACACCTTGCCCGAAGACTCCAGCTGGGTGCGGGAGATAATCAGATCTCGGCGGAGGAGGACCAAATGGTGGCGATTGGGAGTCCCATTCAGATGATGCAGAGACATCATTGTTCTGAGCATGGTCCTCAGCAATGCTCAGCCTACTCATAAGATTCTCGGCGACTGGAAAGTCCGAGTATTGCCATTGTACAAGGAGTTCCGCCGCTGTGAATCCAGCAGAGAACTCTTCGAAGTATGCATCAGCCCATCGCTCGCTTGTGGACCGACATGCGAGCATCGTCGATCTGGCCACAAACGACCGCACCAAAAGCCTGACGGCGTTCCGAGACGGATACTCGCCAGCCGCCAGAAGCTGGGCACAAGCCTTTTTCCATTGCAGATGGCCGTTCTGGATGCCGTCAAATTGAGCCTGGCGTGCAGCTGACAGGGGCATGGTTTTACTGAGACTGTTGACCAAGCAGAAGCGGCTGGCAGGGTTCTGTGAAAGAAGGCTTGACCACTGTGTATCTACCAAATCTTCCGCGACTCGAAGCAGCTCGGCCTGAAGCTCCTGGCCAGCACTTGTGAGAGCCTCTAGATGGTGAAGAGCCTCCTCAAGCGAATTGAAGACAACGGTGTAACCCAATTCGGACGGTGTTCCACCAGACTGCGGGAGCAAGGGTTGGAAGTTGTTTGAAAAGTCTGCCACATCCTCCACAAGACCCAATCGCTCATTCAATATCCTGTTGCCAGTACGGGCATGCCGGGCGGCGCACAAAGGATTGCCTCTGGTGACCTCAAAGACCAGAAAAACAACGCAGCCGACAATGACAGGTGCCAACGATGTCTCGCCTTGTTGTATCGATTTGGCCAGGTGTGCAATTGCCCTTGAGTACAGCCTCAATGCCAGATCCATCTGATCTGGTCGAGAAGGACGCGACAAAGAGCTGTGCACCATGTCCAGCACAGAATTATCCAGAGCGCCTAGTGCAGCTACCGCGAAAAACACTGCCGGTGCTGTCTCACTCGCTGCCAGAGCCTGCATTGCCCACGATGTTGGGTAACCTCGTGATGCATACCCGGTGCAGCTACGGTGGCGGAAGTATTCAAAAGCCTGCCACACTTCGGGTCTGGCGTCCAGATCGAGCAGGGGTTTTCGTGGAGCCGCAGGGACACTTATACTGTCTTGTGAGATTTGTCTTATTGTGGCGGTGGGATCTGTCTGTTCTTGTTCGCTGGGGCGTACTGCAACCTCCCAGCTGTCGTAACCTTTGCACTCTCGACCAGATCGAAGACATTGCTGGCAGGACGGACGCTCGTTTCCGCATCGGATCTTGCGAGCCCTTGCGGTAAGTCTGTCAGCTACTAATTCATGCCCTGCATACTCGCTTCTCAGAAACTGACCGGCATGTCCGACAGTGCATGAGCGCGAGGCTGCCGGCGCCTGCTTTGCGTCTGGCCATGGCCTTGAATCAGCATGGGGCGACGAGTATCTGATGAAGAGAAGCCAGAATTGATTTGCCACTGCTGATTCACTTGATCAAGAAGAGGTGGAGGTGTTGTCGCATGACTAACCGAGGGCACCGGAGCACTTTTGCAACGCCGGTATTTGCGGGTTTTGGGGCGGGCAGAGCTTACATCATTTCTTAGCAAATTCGTGGACCTAAAATGTACACATCCGGCCGAAGCCTTGCCTGAAGAAGAGATCTATACGACAGTGACTTCAACCGCAGCCGTGTCAAGAGTCCTGCAATGTCGACCACACGCAGCGAAATGGAATCACATTGTCATGATCATGGGTGAGCTGCAGATCAACAGGCCATTCTACCCTCGATATTCAGCTCAAAGTGGAACATTCGTCTCCATTACTCCCACGCCGTCTAACCAGCTTGGAGTGCAATTAGCAGCGCTGTCGCTTATAAAAAGCTGGAGAGGTAGTAGTTCGACTCGTTCTCCACGGACCGGGACCAGGAGGGTAGATCGTCCTGTAGCTACCCTCTCGAAAGTGTCTGCGCTACCAGCGGACGTAGCGTGCGATCGACTGGGAACTCGATGACGACTGGCCCCTGGGTCGTCAAAGCTGTACGGAAATGGCGTTGCAGTTCATCCCGATTCAGAGCTTTGAACGTCGAGCAACCCCACGAGCGAGCGCTCGCAGAGATGTCCAGACCCGGTATGTCCAGATGTGGAACCCTCGGCGTCTCCTCGAGTACCGCAAACTCCTTCAGCACGGCGTACTCTTCATTCACGGGTACAAGGACAATCAGTCTCAGCTGATTCTGCACTGCAGTATATAAGCATTGCAGTGAGTACTGGAAAGAGCCGTCGCCGACAACTAGGACTGTGAGTCGACCGCTCGAGATCGTCTTCTGAGCCACTGCAACGCCAACAGCTGCAGGCATGTTCCAGCCCAAGCCACCGCTTGCGAACGTGAAGCAGGTCTCGGGTTCTGTACTAGGCCAAGCTTGCACAAGATCAGCGGTGCTCGAAGGCGTTTCATGGACCAGAAGGGTGTCTGAGGGACGGATCTCAGCCACTGCGCTGAAAGCTTCGAGGGGTGTCATCAGAGAGCCAGATGATGTGTTCTGCTTGGACTTGCTCAGGACATTTTCGTGGTGCGAGTAGTGCTTTGTCAACTGTTTCGACGTTCCCAAGGACTTAAGCAGACTGTGCAGTCCGTTCAGGGCCAACCCAGCGTCAGAAAGGAGACTGTCGCAGATAAGAGCCTTCGCAGCATCGTTTGGATCGTTCGTTATGTGGAGAAGCTCTGTTCCATCCACCAGCACAGGACCAGCAACCCATGGATAGTACCGAAAGACTTCAGCGCCGATGACGATGACAAGGTCAAATCCGTCCAAATATTGTGCGAGCGGTCCTCGAGCGGTAGGTAACGGCCCGTGGTGCTGTTCATGCGTCTCTGGAAACACAGCTCTTTCGCACATGGGGGCCTGGAAGACTGGGCACGCGAGCAATTCTGCGACCGCGACAGCCGTATCCCAGGCCAACGCTTTGTCCACTTCCGCTCCCAGCACCAAAGCTGGTCTTTGTGCTTTGTGAATTCGCTCTGCAAATTGCTTCAGACGTTCTGGGTCAGGTCCGAAGCGTGTGCTGACTGATCTTGGAATGACAGGTCTCGTGTACGGCACGTCCCAATCATCAAGTGGCACCGAGATGTACACCGGGCCCATTGGTGGGCTGCAATGCGGTCGAGATGCCTCGTATGAGAGCAGCCGGCACGTCTACTGCTCGAACAGGCTCGTATGACCATTTGATATACGGCCTCGGGAGGGTTGCTGCCTCTCGATTTGCAAGCATTGGCTCGCCGATAAGCATTTCTCGTGTTTGCTGCCCTGCAACGATGACGAGCGGGATCTTGGTCAAGAAGGCTGTCACAATGGTGCCCTTGCCATTCAGTCAGTGTGTTACGAGCGAACCCAGCATTTAATCAATGCCGGAAGATCCTGCCGTACATACCATCGCGTTTCCAGTGCCAGCGGACGTGTGCAAGCTGACCAGTGCGGGCTTATTCTGCCTGGCTTCAGAGTACCCGCCTGCCATGCCCACTACTGAGGCTTCTTGCAAACCGAAGACATACTCGAAGCCTTCGGGAAAGCATTTCAGCATGGGTTGCTCTGTTGATCCGGGATTGCCGAAGACGACTTTCATGTCGTATGCGCGGAGTACATCGTAGAATGCGTGCCAGACTGTCCGGCTGCGGCATAATCTGACATCGTTATGGTGATTGTCTGGCAGCTCTCAAACGCGCAAACACTGCCTAGACTTGTGAACTCGGGCTAGCAGACATAAGTACACTCACATCGCGCAGTCGGACTTCAGACAGACCGACGACACCTTCGTCATACAACGGGTCCTGCGCAAAGAAGGCGCACTATTCGACGAGACTCCGGAATTGACATGAAGCTTCAAACAGTAGCCTCTACCTGGCGCTTCCGCTGCTGCCCGAATCGCTGAACAGGCTCACTGCGAGTACTTGACGGTGAGAGGATTGAGGCTTTCGTCCCAGCCTTGTTAAAACTCACGACGTCGCTGAAAAATATCAAGAAGCATAGTATACATGATTGTCTACGAAATCGAGGCAGGGTGGCCACCAAGTATTACATTCAGATACCAAATCACTATCAACCGACGCAATAACACGACTCCCCATTGCCACCACTGCGACCGCCTCCTGGGACCTCACAGCCTCTTGCCCGTCAAATGTCCGATTCCCGCCTTGAAGATATCTTCAATGACAGCCACTTCCTCCATGTTTCGTGGTGCATAAAGGAATGTCCAACCCGCGTTCACCATTCCCAGCGATGCGAGAGGAAATCGCTCTCCCCAACCCGCAGACACCACTTTGTAGGTATCCGTCTCGGTGAGCCACACATGCAACGAGTTCTCTGCAGGATGGACGTGTGCGATCTCGTCGCCAAGCACTTTGTCGTGTGCGCCATGCCGATGTGCTGGTAATGCGTAGATTGCGTCGGTGGTGCGTCCTTCGGTGACAGATTTGTCCAACTTCAGCGCGTCACTCAACTGGTCCGCGTACTTCTTCGGCAGAGCATGCAGGCGATCGTACGCGGCTTTGTCCAAGGGTGTCTTTGCCGGGTACTGTCGCTGTGGTAGTGTGCGCTCAATGATTCGAGGTGGCTGCCCTTCGCGGCGCGGAAGCGTCTTGGGTAAGTACGAGGACCGGTTTGAGACAGTGTTGGGGCGTCCTTGAGGTCGTCGCCGGGGAAAGCGCGCAAGACTCGAAATTTGGAGATTCTGACATAGCCAGAGACGTTCGCCGGAGTGCCTCCTGTTCCAAAGTCGATCCACGCGGTATAGTCACGATAGAGCCATGTCGCGAACCCGAGTATGCCAGTGAGTGCTGCCGCGCCTGCACCCAAGATCAGGCGATTATCGAAAGCTTGCTGCTGCAGCGAATCCATCTCTTTTTTCAAACTCTCGTAAAGGTAGCTGGTAAGTGTCGAAGTCGTAAGCCACTTGATGTTGCTGTCTTGCTCCTGCCAAAGTGCGGCAAATATGAGGGCATTGCTGGCAAGCTTGAGGTCATCGACGACCTCACAGCGGCCATGGCTCAACCGTCGGATTCTGGTGTCTCCCCGTGCGAAAGCCGTATTCGATGCTGTCGCTCGGCATGTCTATCATGCTGACGTGGATATTAATCACGGCCACAAATCGACCACTACACCGCTACTATATCTGTTCAAATTGACTGGCTCGTATTTTGCATTAGTGCAGATGAGTAGCTCCGGTACCCATGGAAACAAGGCTGGGGCCCCGCGGCGAAGCGGGCATGCACGGGATGCTCTATTCCGACTGGCTCGCTGCGTGCATAAATCACGCGCACGAGCTAGCAACAGGCGCAATCTAAGCTTTGACTAGCGTATGATCCCATCACTTACGATAATTCCTTTTTGGGCATCTGCCAAGAAGCATGTGCGTTTGGTCAACTGGAGAACGCCAGCATCCGTGTGGCTCGCTCCTTGCGCTATAGTCATCAAAATCAAGAGATAAGATGAGAAACAACGTTCCGCTTTGCCCCTGCTCTTGACTGCACTCTCGCCGAAAGTGAAACGCAGGGAGACGCCATCACTCCAACTGGCAAGCAGTGGCCGACAGCCGTGCCCTTGATGATAGTTCAGATTCTTAGACAACTCGCAAGCCATGGGGATGGCAGCTTGACTTCGAGTGGAAGCAGGGTAGTATTCACACAGCAGTGCGCACAGTGTCGAGATGTAATAGAGATTACACGGTTACTAGATGCCTCTCTACTAGTATCACACTCGGCCATCTTCCAACAGTGCCGTGAAAACTCCCAAAGCTTCGGCGCGTTCGCCTGCAATGTCCCTGTGCCACATCCAGTCCATTCTCCAAGTGATGTTCTGTTCAAACATCTTTGGATCATCGTTCACGCCTTTCAGACGCAAGGCACACAGCACTCCCGCCTCGCGACTTGTCTCGCAAACGCGCTGGCTCCTGGGTCGCCGTATCTTGTCATACGCTTGGAAGGCGAGGGTTACCTTCTCCAGCGTATCCACTACGCCAAACAAGCTGCTCAAAACGTATGCATCTTCAATGGCCTGGCCTGCACCTTGCCCTTGGAATGGAGTGGAAGCGTGCGCGGCATCTCCGAGCATGGCGACTCTGCCTCTGCAGTAGGTTGGCGCTCGGGGATGATCCCACATTGACCAAGCCGCCGTGTCTGGGTTATCGAGCAATTTGAGGAGCTTCTGAGCTTGTGAACCACATGCAGAGAACTCTTTTGCAATCTTTCTATACTCAGCCTTCTGAACTGTCGGACCCTCCCAATTCTTGTAGGAGCTATTGATGGCCACGACATTCATCGTCGCCCCGAAGTCGATCGGGTAGGTCATGATGCATGCACCGTCTCCGACGAGGATGGTTGAGTTTTTCGCAAATCGCTCGCCCAATGCGGCTTCGGCATCTTTCATTGGTATCAGACCTGTACCCATTGCCGATTAGGCATTATCAAAGCTCTGTTATAGTCAAACAGACTAATCTCTGTACGCAACACTCCCTGTGAAGACCGCGTCGAGGGCAGGGTGATCGTCTCCGAGTAGGTGTCTACGAATCACACTGTGAATACCATCCGCTCCAACCACGCAGTCCGCCTCAGCCGTGGTGCTATCTTTGAAATGAAGCTTGAGGGGAAACCCCGGCTCGTCTTCGACGCGTTCAAGACGCTTGCCGAAATGTGCGATCTCCTTCGGTACCAGACGCATGAACTCATCCAAGAACTTTGCCCGATGAACCGTGCTCTGACCGGTCTCATTCTTCGGCGTGGCAATGAGCTCTCCTTCCCTTTCTCCCATCCCATAGACGTATTCAAACCACACGTTCCTCTCCTCATGCCATTGGTTGTGTGTGACCTGTCGGAGATATGCTTCTTCTGTCTCTTTCCCGAGGAGGCGCAAAGCTCGCTGGGCGCTGGGACCGAATGCTACGCCAGCACCGATTTCAGAGAACTTGTGGGCAGCTTCGTACACTTGGACTTCCAGATGAGCATGCTTCAATAGTCCAATCGCAACACAAAGGCCTCCCATGCCACCCTCAACGACCGCGACCTTAATCTTTTGACCTTGTTCGGGCATTTCGAGTGACGGGGTAGCAGAGCGGCTTCAAAGTTCGATGAAGGAAAGGGCAAGACGATGTGTGACGAAATCGAAGATCAAATGTCGTTGCAACGAGTGCAGACATCTTCTGAATACATGTACTAGCATCGCATTGATGTGTTAGTTGTCCTCGACATCACTTTGCGTCACCAGCTTTGGGGGAGGCAGGAGATCCCCTGAGTTCGCCATTGGCGCTTCTCCGAAAGATCGACAGCCCGAGACGACGACGCTCACGATTTTCCGATTTTTCAACATCTCCACATTCTCGCAACCCACATTTCGCGCATTTGCTGCACGAATCTCACGAGCTCCGAGACAGCATTTGACTACAAGAGATCTCAGGTTTAATAATGCATGTCTCCGGGTGATCCCGCTCGCCAATCTGATGCGTCAGTCAAAGCCTACTCCTTCGTAAACGATCCTGAGGCGAGGTTGAAGGTCTCGCCGCGGGAGGCCGTGAGTCGGGACGTAATGCCACACGTCATTGGCGTGGTGAGTTGCCAACATACGGGAGCAAGTTGATAAAGCTCAATCAGACATGTGTAGGTAGGGCCCAGGGACCGGTCTAAGCTGCATCATCAAGGTTGAAGACATGGCTTGTAAAGGTTTACAAAATGTGCGTTTCGTCGACTTTCTCTTCTGTTTCTGCAAACACTAACACTCTCAGATCCTGCATCAGTTGGTCAAAGCCAACCACATCCTCCACTACCATGGCGCCGTTGACGGCTTTGGCCACATATCTGTGAGGCACCCAGAGAAGCCAAATGTCTACATCATGTGCGGCTACATGCCTCCAGCCTTGGTCCAAAGCCAAGAAGACTTGATTGAGTACTACGTCGATGGAAGCGCCCCCGTCGACCCAAACGCCAAGAAAGGGTATTCTGAGCGCTTCATACATGGCGAGCTCTTCAAGAAGTATCCCAGCATTCAGTGCGTCGTGCACTCTCATGCGGAAGGAGTCCTACCGTATGTCAGCACCGCAGTGCCTTTGAAGCCGATGTTCCACATGGGAGGGTTCCTGGGCCCACAAGTCCCTGTGTGGGACATCGCGCCAGTGTACGACGAGGACTATCAGCAAGACATGCTGGTCAACAATGCGAAACTTGGCAATTCCCTGGCTTTAGCTTTTGCGCCAACATCTGCCAAGCCCGAAGATTTGGAGCACAATGTGATTCTGATGAAGCGCCACGGATATACAACTTGGGGCAAAGACATTCCCACGGCCGTATATCGCGCCATACACACTCTGATCAATGCTGGATTGCAGACCAATGCCGCCGTACTACAAGCAACTCTTCATGACGGTCCACTGGAAGGATTGTCCGAGCGACACTGTAGAGACTGTCAAATGATGAATGAGGCGACTCAGGACAAGTCATGGAGGTTGTGGAGCCGAGAGGTGGAGGTTAATCCTCTTTACAGGAACAGCATTCCAGCGTGAGGGCTGCATTTGATTATCGAGCTACGAATGACTGACGGGGCAAGACAAGGGGGTGTGGGCTGTGAGCATGATTTTCGAAGTAGCAGAGCGGTGTTTAATGTGTATCTATACTCCAAGAGCCTTTTCCATCGACTCCACGAGATCTTCCTTTCCAAGACCCAGTCGTTCATTCCAGAGCCCCGGACTCTTTGAGTACTGGTTGAGATCGCCCTGCCCATAAACAGACGCCGTGATAAGGTCGCCGACAGGCTTCCAATCCTCTGGATCATCCTCGAGAGCCTTCAGAGCACGTTTCCTGAAAGCAGCCGTGGTGTCGTGTTCGACTTCCAATCTCCTCTTGGTGATATTTTGAAGAGCTGCCACAATCTCATTTTGGGTAGTCGTGAAGCTGTTGACGAAGACTACCTGGTTGGCCGTGTCGCTCAAGTGGCCAGGGGAGAGTGCTGCAGCGATGGCTTCACCGATCCGCGATAGGGTCGACGCCTCGAATTCCACGTTCCCTCCATCAAAGATTGTGACTTTGTTTGCGGCCATGTCGAACCCAAAGATCTCAGGGCCTTGAAATTTGAGATCGAAGAAACTGCCGACGACAAACGTCGTCCAGCTCATCTGATTCTGAAACTGTCGGAGGTAGTTCAAGTTTTCGACCTTTGGTTTGATCACGGGGAACCAGTCGATGGCGTCAGGACCAGTATAGTCGAGACCGTACTCGCTGGGTATGAAGCGTGCGACTCCAGCCTTCAGCGCCGTATCAACGATGTCTCTTTGTTGTTCGACGGCGAAAGTTGCAAGGCAAGAGACGACGGCGTCTTGGTTACGAAACAGGGACTGCAAAGACGACTTGGACAGGTCCGATTCGACAACAAGAACTTTTGAGGGAAACTTTGCTTTCGACTTGTCCCGAGTGACGGCTGTGATTGTGAAGTCTGCCGGATGGGCTGCGAGAGCATTCACGGCAGCCACGCCGACGTTTCCCGTAGAGCCTAGGACGATGATCTTGTTGACGGGTCGAGAGTGGTCTGCCATGACTTCCCTTGCACTGTCAAGAAGCTTCAAATTCAGCTGCTCAATGGCGGCGTCACTTGACAGATATTAGATATCAGATGTCAACTTCTTTTCATTGGGCTTGCTATTGTAATCCACACTATTTGAAGTTGAAGGTCCGGCTTTGAAATGCTGACTAGGAAGCTGTATATCCGGCGTTTTGCGAAGGAGAATCCTTTTCCGAACAAGGAAGCGCTGGTACGCTTGGCTTCCAGATAATCATACCCGGCTCGCCTAGTGAACATATCTGGTTTTGGGTATGTCAGCGATTGATCTACTCCAACTGATCTCTTCTTTGGAGCGGATTGGTCGTTCCAAGTGTCGTACATTCAGTGTATTCGCTTCCCCTTTCTTACTGACAGCGGGGAAATGGTCCATTCGCATTGGGAGCCTCAAATATCGTGTCTTGCATTCTTGCTCCTCATACGAAGATCCTCGCCATGTCTCCAGATGTAGAAGATGATCGGAATGAATATGATCGAGAGGAAGCCAAGGAGACTGTTCCCCCAGTTGATGCCAAGGGTGTGGAACATCTGATTAGCAAAGAGTGGAAAGGCGGCTCCAAGACAAGATCGCATGAAGTCATTCCCGGCGGAGATCGAAGCGAACGAGGTTGGATATGCATCGCCAAGATAATTGAAAACGCCTGCGAACTGGAAAGCCGTTAGTCGTCAAAAGGTGCTCCTCTTCCGTCTTACTTACAGATAGGAATCCGCCGACGGTGAAGAAGCTGGTCGCAATCACAGGGACGATCCATACGACACTGGCGTACTGTGCAGTCCAACCGAAGAAGAAAAGACAGACCGGGAGACAAAATGATCCAACCAGGGCAGTTTCTAGCCGGATCTCCGGTTTCAAGTCGCCTTGACTGTTGAAGCGAGGTTCCACATAGTAGTAGTTGTAGTATACGTAGGGTGGAGCCACAACGAAAGCCCCAGCCGCGATCCCTATGAAGCAGAGGCCTGTAATCCCGGAGCTGAAACCACGGATCTCCTGGAAGGCAATGGGTAGTGATTCGAGCCAGCAGTACAGCACAGCGTAGATCAATGCCAGGTACAAATTCAGGACCAACACAATGGGCTCGTAGATCATAAGCGTGAATGGCCGTACAAACGTGGTGCTTAGGATGTCGGTGATCTTCAACTCCGCGGCTTCGATCTCTGCTTCGCATTTTAATTTTGGCGCGACATTTGACCTCCTCAGACGGAGGGTTCTCTTGTACAGGATGTTCTCGGCCATGGTCTCCGGGAGGAAAAAGAACAGGAATACGAATGTGAATCCAGATATCCATATAAGTTCCCAGATCGGCCATTTCTAGCCCTTGAGCTGAGCGGCCCAGTTGCCAACAATAGGTCCAACCGTCGGTCCACAAATGTTGGCCAGAGCAAAAGCAGTGATCGGGTAGGCGCGCTTTTGGGGACGAAACATGTCAGCGAGGGAGGCGCCTCCTGTGCCCAAAACGGGCGATCCGAGCCAACCTGTCAGGAAACGGAACGCAAGCAACTGTCGGGCATCGTCAACTCTGGGCGTAGCCTTTCTAGCGTGAACGACTCACCATGCCCGTGTTCTTCGCATACACAACGCCGAAGTTCAAGAAGACGAAGGTCAGCAAGGTAATGAGGTAGATCGGGCTTCTCCCAATCAACGGCATCTCTGCTAATGGAGACCAAATCATTGGCCCAATCCCATATCCCAGGACGTAAAGTGTTAATCCCAGGATAGCCACTGGCTGACTGATGTGGAAGTGTTCCGTAATGCCATCCAGGCCAGATGAGTATATGGCTGCGCCGATGTAGATAGCAAAGCACAGCAGGCAGATCTGTCCAGTTACAAAACATTTCGTCCCCAAAGGCCAGTTGCGAGGATGGTAAGGGTCGTTCTCGATCCAGTCAATCAAGACATAGTCCTCTGCGGCATTCTTCTCAAAGTCTTCGGCCGTCGCTTGTCTGCGCTCTGCCTGTTTCTCTTTCGAAGACTCGACATACTCCTTTCTCAGCGCCTCGTCAAGTTCGTCATCGTATGGTAAGAGTCGTAATCCCGGAACGGATCGAACGAGGAAGCCAAACAGAGTACCTTGGAAATAGCCTGGCATTGTTGAGAAGTTGCCTCAGCGCCGGCGGCACCTGTGCATCTGTCATGACATCTGCATGGAGGATATGTACGCCAGGCGCATTGGCCATACTCGTCTGACAAACAACGAGGAGATGGAAAGGAGCGGCCATCTGCGCACAACCAACCGTTGAATCCGCGAGCAATGTGCCTTGCGGCATCTACGGTGACGGTGGAGGCACATGTGCTTCGATCCTGCGCATGGGTCGCTCAGAACTGCGTGAAGCTTAGCGCGAGTGAAGTTGAGTCAATTGGAACAAAGGCATATGCCCAAAGCACAGACAGAGCCAAAGTCCGGCAAGAAGTATGTTGTTTACTGTAAACAACACGCGTCAAATTTGATCTGCATCTTGGCCGTTGCCATATCGAATACATAAGTACCTGGTGTTCTACCGCGCCGATACCGTATCGGCACCGACGAGATAATGGCGATATGCCCGAAGCGAGTAAGCGCCAAAGTCAACCGTGCGGAAGCTACATTTGTGTCTCAAAACCTCGAGTTTAACTTCCCGTCGCATCTGTGCCTCATCACTGCCTCGCATTCAGTTCGAGGGGCCGAAGCAGCGAGCCGGCCCAACTCCAGCCTCACAGCCCCGTGTCTGTCTATTCAAACTTCTTCGTGGGCACAAACAAACATCGGCTTGGTCATCAATACTATACGGTATCAACATACGGAATTCCATCAGATCTATGGCGTCGTGTTCTTTAAGGCGAGCCTGCTGGGCCATGATCTCACGGTGCTCCTCCACAGCTCTCATGCATGTCAACTTCGCTGCAAAGAGCGAATGGCGTCTATACCATTGCGTTACTTCCCGCTCTACCTCTCTTTCATGCAAGCCTCTGAGCTAAGCATGCTTTTATTAGAGTTCTGAACAGCAGTCATCTGATCGAGAGCCCTGACTTTGCCTTGCCGCATATTTGGCCGAAAAGCTGCTGCTTCCCTCTCTTACACCATCGCCCAGTAACCGGACCCGTTGATCAGCAGCCATCTTGTAACCCATCGACGTGTCCGAGTTCCCACCTCGCATGAAATCGGCCATGCTAAGCCAGGGGCATTTGCAAGATATCGGCCAAGGCGTGCCGTACGAGACGCCCCATAGCCCACCTACTACGCTCGGCGAGATCCTTGGCCACATGCACTCTCAGGCTCACGCATCTCGGCCGCGTCAGTTAAGGCCTTCGATCGCAGGGACTAAGCGTACAGGCACGAAAAGAACGCCCATCAGGCCAGCCCCACGAGATCTCGGCTCGACATCCGGCGATCAGACGACGAATGAACTGTCACGACAGGGATCAACGAATGTCCCATCTCTGCAATCGCCCCGATCTTCCACACGTGGCGAGATTCAAAGTCAAGTCGTTACTCGACGGCTCCCACAGCCAGCCAAGACAGGTGGCTTCGATCCTTTCGACGCCTTTCCGGTACAGATTGATGGCGGATTCATAAACCTGTTCGACAGGTACTATCGCGGCTACCGGTGGGAAGACCCAAAGCAGAAATTGCTTGCCGAGACCGCCAGTGATGCTCTCCTTTGCCACAGCTTTCTTGCTATAGCTCACAACGTCTACCATCCCAATGAGGTTGAAGCTTTGAAGCATGAGACGCAGACCATCCAAGTCATCTCGCAGGCGCTCAAATCCACAAAGATCACTTCACCGACTTCGACGGCTTCTGCTAATGTCCCTCTAACTTGGGCGATCTCGCGCCTGGCCATGATCCGTGCCCAACAAGGAGACTGGGAGACCGCGCTGAGGCACATGAACGCGTGTGTGATGACATGCGGGCCGATACCAAGTGTGGTAAATCATAAGTTTGGCTCTCACTTGCTCTGCACATTCATGGTTGTGCTGCTGTCGAATTTTTATCGTCACCCGAGCTGTCGTACCGAATCTTTGGCAGCCCTATGGGAGCACTCCACGATCTATACTGGCCGAAGTCGAGGCATTGGGATTCAAGCTCCCTCTGGCATCTCTCGTGTCCCTACGACGTCAAGACATCGAGCCTGAGCTCCGAGACATCCTTTGTGCACTCAGTGCATTATGCTTCCCGGTGCCGTGTGCAGCCGAATCTCACGCGACACACCTGGTCAGGCAGGGTATTGAGATGCTCAAAATTGGCCTCTGGCTAGCAGAGCTCTCGCCTTTAAACCACGACGCTCTTGGCGATTCACCCGCCCCAGAATGGCATGATGAGCTACAAGAATGCCTGAGGCTGGCGGCTTCCTTGTTTGTGCTGAGTCCGTCGCCCATGTCAAGGGACGCAACTCGCCAATTACGCAAGAAGCTGACGCCGGATCTGCTCTGTGCAGCGACCGGAGCCCAAGGACAAGCAAAAACAGCTCAGGCTGCCTTGCCTTTCTGGATTTTGCTGGTATGCGGTGCGACAGCCCACGACACTGCGGATCAGATGCATTTTGCCAAGCTGATCATGATCAGCTTTCCAGGCTTTATGGACCATAACATCAATGGACCAGAAATCCCCTTTTCCCGATTAAGCGGTAAATTTCTTCCACCGACATTGGACTGCTTGATCGCTGGTATACACTACCTGAACAGTGCCAATGGCTGGACGTTTGGTCCGGAAGAATCGAAGCAATGGCGACAACCAGTCGAGCCGACGCTGTCCACGGCCGTGGAGTCTGGCCACGGAGATTCCAGTCCAAGAGAGATGCAAAAGTGGCGGAAGTCTTCCTTCGGCGCGGCGACGGAATCATCGGCAAAGTATTTTCTAGACCTGTACATCAAGATCACGGGATGTAGACCGGACAAACAGGCAGCAGAGGAGAAACACTCGGTTGAAGTATCCGTGAAGGCGGTGCAAGATCAGGATTCCGGAGAAATTGATTGCGAGGTCGAGTTTGAGAGTTTTAGCATCGACGATGAGTTCTTGTCTTTTTGAGATTGCGGCGGGTGTCCGGCGTGCAAGGCTGTGAAGGCCTTTGTACGGCCCCGTTGATAGAGTTGCCAAAGTGTCGAGCATTTCTCTGAAATCATCCTTGACTTCCGTATCGACTTTGAACCAGAGGTGTTGACGATCAGTCCTCGATACGTGTAGCTATTGATGCAAGGAATCATATGCACATGTTACCCAGACTACTTGCTGGGCGTTGAGAGCGTTGCATGTGCATTTTTGGATGCTGTAATGTAACTTCGGCCGATACTCGGAATTTGAAATGGGGATATATGCGACTGTCTTCAACTCCTTTCAGACCACCTGATTCGCAATTCGCGCGCATCTATCACGCCCCCACTCACTAGACCCTGATGTGATGCGTGTGTGTCTGCAAGGACACTGTTTGGTGCGGCCGCGCACCTTAACAAAACCTCATCGAGATCATGATCCTGACACCTTCGACTTGTTGAAGCAATCATAAGCGATCCGTCTCGGCCACGGTGCGACTCAGACGGTCTAATCTCAGTGCTCAGAAGAACATCATCCTACACACCATCATGCCTGTCTCTCAAAGTCAGCCATCGATGTTTTCTCACTCAGTGATCTCCATTGAAACTCACCATTGTCCGCAGCCTCCAGGCTTGCGTTCATTGGATGGGTCGTCCAGACCGGCCCATTGCTCAGGAGAATCCTACACTTCAAGACCCCTGCTCTCAGCTCCACTCCATGCTTCGACATCTCCTCCTTCAGGTCTCTCATCTTCGTCTCCTGCTCCAGTCCAGGCAATCCTCTGAACGCTGTCCTCCACGATGTGCCTTGTTCGCATGTCTCGGTGGTGTCGTATTGCAACTCCGGAATCAAGGCTACATACTCTGAAGGTATAGAGGTGAGGCGACGAACACAGGTCTGAGGGTCAGAGAAATGAAGCTTATTGTTGCTGTAGAAGATGCCAATTGCCTCGAGTCGGACTTGGCGATTGGCGCAGAGGAGGCTTGGTTCCATGTGGTCGTTGGTCAGACGAAACGAATCGTCTGATTGCGGTAGGAGGATTTCATGCCAGATGCGATTTCGCAGCTCAGCGGGTAGGCTCAAAAGTAGGGACGAAGGTGTTGATTCCATTGTTGTTCCTTGTGTTGCTGAGTTTGTGAGCGAATTGACTTGTCAAGGTGTTTAAATCTTCGCTGAGTTGTGAAAGACATCCAGTGATGTCAAAGGGTCTTTGTAGCCAGGAGTGAACAAAGCAGACCCAGGCCATGTACGAGTTAAAGTCATCCGAAGAGACCGGAGGGCATGACGTGCCACGAAGGCTTCCGTCGGAGAGGGAAAGTGGCGAGCGTATGTTGACAGCTTTGCTCGAGCTCCAGGCGTGAGCCTTGAAAGGGAAAGTTTCCATATCAACAAACTACTTGTGGGCCAGAAATGTTCCAAAATGCTGTGACTGTTTGACGGCAGTCATGATTGGCTTCCCGGTATGGAGTCTTGACACCGTCGTTGCTGCAGCTCTCGAGTAGCTTGGTCAGCTCCAAGCTACTCTTTAGCAAGTGCTATGATCCTAGAAGTGGTCAGGGCCTCCCAACTCAGCACCGAGGAAAGGCTTCTGCAGTAGACAGGGGAAAGGACGACTTGATGCTCTCACCGGCGCTCATAGTCGACCGAGACCAAAGCAAGAGTGTCTTGTAGTAGAATCTTCTGTCTTCCCCGATTTGTTCGCAACCCGCATGTCACTAGTCCCAATGTGTTAAAAATCCTGAAGGAAAAGTCGGCTTCTAGAAAAGCCCGAGGCGAGGCTGCATGCGTGGCTTCTCGAGCAAGGTTCACGCTACAAAAGAACGTCCACGTCATTGCTCCTACAACTGCCGAAGCTCTTTTAGTTCTGTTTCTCAAGCTGTGCAGGCGCTCTTGTTAACAAGAATGGTGATCGAAGTGACGCAGACGCTATATGCTTCAAGTCACACCAGGCTACACCATTTTCTTACGTCCTATATGATTAAGGAAGCCGATACACTAAGCAGTCTGCCGTCCCTTCTTAAGCTGTGCGAAGTCTCAATGGGAAGACGATCATTTCTTGCAGGTAATTTAATAGTGGGGCTCCCGATCCGTGTCGTACTGATCAGCTGGCTTATATGGCAGGACTTCTGCAGCAACAATGTTGAATCCGGATCCCTTGAGCAGCTTCGCCCAGCCTGCCTTGGTCAGATTCAGAGTCTTTACCCGCTTGCCCATGTGCTTGGGCTCAGCAATTCCAGTACCGGTCTCCGTGTCTTTGAAGGGCTCGAAGTGGACATCCTCCTTTTCCCAGTCCTCGCCAGCTATAGTCCCAACAAACAGCCATCCGCCCGGTTTGATCCACTCCGCCCATTCAGGAACAATCTGCTCGACTTCCTCCAGCTTCATGTCAAACGTGGAAAAGATGGCAAATGCGGCGTCGAATTGGAAAGAAGGCTGGTATCCGAGCATCCCGACGGTGGCAAAGTTCCCTTCAGGCACCTGTTGACCAGCAATATTTGTCATCTCCTCAGAAACGTCGATACCATAAAGCTTGCAACCGGTCTGTGCGATCATTGCGGATGTCGGCTTTCCTGTGCCTTGTCCGATGTCCAATATTGTGGTATGGAGCGAGATCGAGAGTCGGTCTAATGACTGCCGTACGAACTTTGTTTGGTTCGGGTTCTCGCCATAGGCATCCTGGTAAGACTTGCCCATGTCGTTGTAAGTCTGTCTTGCTTCTTCATCGGATTGCTTCATACTTGTGATACCTTTTCGGTCAAATGGAGTCGATGGAGAGAAGTAATGAACAGCTTTCGTTGTGGCAAGACTAACATGACGATCTCTACTCCATATCTCCGGTAAGATCGCTTGGTCTCATGTAATCATAATGAGGAGCTTGTAAACTCTAAGACCCTAGAAGCATTGCTTCCTTCCACTCCTTCATAGCTTTATTAGAACATCATCTGCATACGTAAAGAAGTAGTTCGTTGTGTTCAAATGTTACTGGGAACAGTGCAATTATGGTGATTACGCTAAGCTCGATTAGGAAGTTATGGGGATTCGTCCTCCTTCGGCTTTTTGAAACGATAGCACCTTTCCACATGTGCGAAAGAATTTGATGGACTGTAGCTTTCAATCTTTTTTCCAAGTCACTGCCGATCGATCGATTCCTATTCAACACTTCCTTGGCTCGATGTAGCAGTAGTACTTCTGCCAAACGAACCAAGTCGAAAACAGCTCCCAGGGCTTGTCATCCACAAAGACCAGATCAAATTGTCTTACAATTTGAGGAAGCACCTTGCTCATCTCAAGCAAGCTGATGTTCTTTCCGATGCAGGTACGGCTCCCCGCTCCGAACTTGTACAATGGAGTTAGCAAGCTTGCACGACGTACATCATGAAACACTTCTAACTCACCGCAAACGACCCTCCAAGCTGCGTGGCGGGGTTCTTGGAGCTACTGTTGTCGAGGAAGCGCTCGGGACGGAACTCTTCTGCATCTTCCCCGTAGACTTCCGGGTTACGGTGAAGAGCCCAAGCAGACACACCGACTTCAGTCTGCGAACCGGAGCCAGTCAGCTAGATGAAGAAGAAACACCTGTAATCATGGACTTACACCTGCCGGGAACCATCTACCACTCAACTGCACGCCGCCTTTTGGCACTGTTCTCGGATAGATATAGCCCACAGCAGAGTGCAGACGAAGCGTCTCCATGATGACTGCCTGCAGATATGGCATACTCTGCGCCTCCTTGAACGAGATCGGGTCGGACACCTTTCCCTCTGAAGCAAAATCGTCGACTTCTTTTCTCAATGTCTCAAGGATGAGTGGATTGCGGTACAAGTAGTACAAAGCAGCGGAGAGCGTGATGGCGGTGGTGTCAGATCTGGACAACGTACGTCAGTGGGTGTGCGAATTGAAAGCAATGCCTGCAGCCGTCTCACCCAGCGGCGATGTTCGATCCCATCGAATCCAACATGTGCTCGTACTTCACCTTTCCAGCTGACTCAAGCTTGAGCAACTTGGTCACGAATGGATCACTCCGAGCGTTCTCTTTCTCGATGATGTTCCCACGATGCTTGTCAATCTGGCTTTTCGCAATTGTCTCCATGATATTGACGCCCTTCGACCCCATCAAACGCCCGAGTTTGTAGATTGGAAGATGGAATTCTGGCATAATGCCGACGACGCCTTGATAGCGTATGAGGAAATGCACCAATTTCATCAGACCGTCGACATCGCCTTCGTTCTCCATCATGCCGAAGTTCTTGTCCAGCTGGTCTGTGGGTCAGCACTGAAGTTCATGTAAGCCACAGCAACGACTTTACTGTGATCTCGCCAATAACATCAAAGGCGTAGCACTGCATGAACTCTGGGATCAAAACCTTCTTCTTCCTTTCCGCCATCTCGTTGAGCTTCCGTATGCATACTGCATTCATTCGATCGACGGCGTCCTCGTAGCTGACTAGCGAACTCATGCTGTACAAGTTTGACAGCTTCTTTCTCCTATCAGCATGAACGGTTTCATCCGTCAGGCTGAACATGTTGGGACGGCTTGGGTCTTCTGCCGCGTTGTAGTAATTGGTCTTGTTGAAATCGCCGCCATGGGCATAGATCTTCTTTTGGGCCTCGAGAGTGTTCAACGAGTACCGGTTGGGAGCAAGCCTGATGATTGGACCTGACAACATAATTAGACCAAGCCAGGCGTTCGTCATTGGTGTTATGCCTGCCATGCTGCTTGTGAAGATTGACGATGGTCTCATGCGAGTCTCCGCGGATCATTTGTCTTAGCTCCCATAGCCTTGTGAACCTGGCCAGGAGCGGGCCGGGAATGTCTTTGTGGGGAGAGATAAATAACGCATAGAAAATGCGAACGATGGCCCAGAATGGTAGGAATGCAGTGACGGCGAGAACGATTTTTGTTGGACTGAGGTCGATAGCATCGACGCTAAACGCCCCAATCAATACCATCGTAGCTTGAAAGGTGTGCGGTCAGGTGGGAGATGGGGTAGGATTTCAGATGATGGGATTGAAGAAGAGGTCCCCAGTCTCAATATAAGTCTTATAAGAAGCAGATACTGTCGCCCACTTTCTTCCGTTTCCTGCACAGCGACTTCACCGACTCGCCACAAGACCATCTTGTCGGCTGCTTCTAACATCAGCGCTCCGAGAAATATAGCCGGACTCCACTGAAAAATGTATTTGCCAGCAACTCCAAGCAAGGTCCCTGCGAATGCCGAAACATACTTGATGTCGAATGGTCATGTGGTGAGGGAAGCTAAGTCATCTAGTGCAACTAGCTCCTCAATGTTGGCGGCTTTCTGCTTCTTTCGGATCTTGAAGGAGCCGGTCCCGGTCTGTGCCAAGGCCGTCTTGAAACAATTTCCATAACGAGTACTACTCTTACCTCGAGCTGAACCCAACCGAGACTTAGGCTTAGAACGAAAGCATGATGTGTCTCCAAGCCTATGAGGTTGTGATGATCGTCGCGTGACGGTGTAGCTCATTGGACGTCTACTACCAAACGACTTGGTATCTGTCAAGTTCCATTATTCGCGCTATGCTTAGACCCATCAAGGCTCCAGCCGGGAACGCTACTCGAATAATCCTTTGCATGTCTGGATGTAAGTAGCTGTTATAGGTTACTATAGACAGACAAAATATACTCTAGATTTACAATAAGGTACGTGCCGTGCCTTTACACTTTCGAGGAAGCCCCTGAACTTTGTCCATCATCGCTTACAACAGTTAGATTCAGGACTTCAAAATACGAGGTGTGAAAACCTTGTTCCTGTCTTTAAACGGGGTCGTTGCATGCACCTTGCCTTCGTATCCTAGACAGATACACTGTTAGTAGACGAATTTCGTACGCTCGCGATCCTGCTGGCCAACGATGCCGCGCCGCAGACAGCATACGAAATCTCACGAAGGATGCGTACAGTGCAAAGCCCGGCGAATGAAGGTCCGTTCCTTTCGGATGCACGGCTGTCGTATTTTCGAGAAAAGCCACCACATGGATATAGTTGAGGTCTTTAAGGATGTTGCGCTCCCGTTGGCCATTTTGCGTTCGCTTCTGTTTCTTACGCTTGGAGCCTTGGAGCTGCTTAACAGCTACTCGATCACCAAAACCATGGACAGCCTCAACTGTCTCCCAGATGAAGACCCTGCAATTCGTGGTATTGCCGATGCCACCAAGTCCATCTCAGGGATACTTGCGACTTCCCTGGAAATCAAAGTGATCACTATCGCGTCCAGGCCAGTGGAAGCGGACTCCTCATCTCATGTATTCGCTCATGGATATGCTTGACAATAGGTCATCGTCGTCAATCTGGCCGCTGAAGGTTCTAGAACTGTCTTTGACTTTGTGGCCTTTCACGTTCGGTACAGATATTGTGCTGGCAGAACCTGGGGCTTCGGAGCAGGGCTAATTTGCGGTTCATGAAAGGCCAATGGGGCTCGCGCCGACGCCGGCGCTGGGGCATGGCCATTCAGGCCAGTTTTGGAAAGCTCGTCTTGCTGAACTGTCCTTTGCTCAATGGATATTTGACTGCTCCTTCTCTCCTAATTCTCCAGTACTTTCTGCCTCATGGGTCTTCTCATCTTTGGCTTCGCGGATTCCACCGAGGTTCCAAATCAGATCAGCATCCATGCCTTGGAAATCAATGTAGAAAGTAAGGCATGCCCTGAACGCTGTGGCAGCGATCAGCTGAGAGGTTCTCGTCCATCGGATCAGGCTATTTGCCGTGAGCCCATGGTTACACAAGAGGCCGTCAGGCCCACGCAAAGAATATGCGGCCTCGGATGTGGCAAGTGCATCGGAAGCGCCAGATTGAGTCTTCAGGTAAGCCAACATTGAAGCGCGATTCTTTCGTTAGAATCTGTGCGTAGGCGAGGTTGCACAACAGCAAGTGGCGGGCGTCCAAGCCTCAATTCTGCATCGAGAGGGTGTAGAGGACATGATTCAACGAGGGCTGGCCCGCACATATGCACAATTTGTAGGCATCCATCCCGCAGCCTCTCGGTCGTCCGGGCGTAGATTCAGCTCACCAACACGCCTGAGCCACAGCTGCGCCATATTCATGGGTCTGATGTATTCTGTTATTCCTTGGAGATTCCCGTCTTCCTGAATCTTACGCATCCTCCATCTCATCGATTGCAACCATGGCAAACGCAATATCTTTGACCATCGAGTTATACGGGTGCGAGATTTTCATGGATGCGGCCAACATGCTTGAAGATCTGGAATTGCTGCGACTTCAGCGGGTGTGGCGCTATCGCCGTCTCGTGGACTGGGCGGATGTTGTTGAATTTGCTATTCTTGTGGCGGTCTCATTGTCCACTCGCTGACATCGGATCGTCTGTAAAAGACGATGGCGGTCTTCCGCTACCTCAACGACCCTACAGTCGTGACCAACATTGACGTAGTGGCAGCCGATGTCCGGAATGAGCTTCGCGATTGGGAGCGACTCACTCCTGGCGTAAGGGGCATTGTGGCACACTGGGACGAGAATTATCCGGCATACTTTGAACAGGTGTCATTGTTTGCCAGAAACTGGGTGACAGATCGTCTGAATGAGATCCGCCGGGCCTGGCAACCGGCGAATGCTCCCGCACGCGATAGTGTACTAGCAGAGGTCGGACGACTTGAGGATCTAATCAATGACATGCGGTACGCGTTCGAGGATCGTGATTAAGGGTGTGGAAAAGTGGAGGAAAGGCGACTGGAACAGTATATACGTCTTCTGAATTCAAGTCCAAAAGGCTATCTTCGGAGGGCGCTCGTAGAGTATGTACCAGCTGTCGGGGTTCACGAATCTTGAATACATTTGAAATCCGATTTCTTCGGCCGGTACCTTCATCCAGCCAACGTCTTGCTCCCTGCAGTCCTCGACTGGATTGAACGTAAGATCAGGCTGGTCGTACTCATCGTCCGGATCGACATGATCTAGCTCGGACTCCCATTCACCACTAATCAAGTGAACCCAGCCAGCGTCCGCCCAAGGTGCCGCAAAGCGTACGTTGTTGCGATCGAGGACACTATCTAAGGCTTCCCGGTCCACCCGTATGAAAAGCCGATAGCGAGGGCTGCCGGGACAGGTGCCGCGGGGCTGCTCGAGTTGCCAGTTGTCCCTAATCCACGCAGTGAAGTGCTGACGGAGATTTGCGACAGAAGCATTGTCGGAAGCCTCTTGATCATCGAAGAATTTCCAGTCCAGGCTGTCAAGCAAGTATGGGCCAGTTGATGCCAGTAGCTGCTCGCGGGCGCGCTCCTTGACGATTTTTTTGAGCTGTTCCCAGGCGTCGTCGTCGCCGTAGGTGGTTCTGTACATGACGAAGCCCCAGCGATCGTGACTGTAGTCCTCGAGGTCAAGTCTGATTTTTCTCGTCTCCGAATATGGTTTGGTGTCTCCATTGGGATCTGTCGCCATGGCTCGTGTGGAGATGTAAAAGAGTGGCGGCGATGATGTTGTGCGGACGACTTGTGGTGAAAGTGGCAAGCTCGGCCTGTGGGAATTGCTGAAATGCTTCCTTGAGTAGACACAGCGTTGGAGCGCAAGTCGTCTTTTCAAGGCAAAGGCTGGTCGCATATGAAACTGGGGCAGAAATGGGCGAAAGCGAATGCACGTTGAGTGTGAATATGTCGATGATAACGATGTCACTGGCAAAGAAGCCGAAGTCGCCGGCAATGTAGACTGGCGCACAGGCTCACGTGACGCTCAAAATTCCAAACTTTCCTTTAACTTCATAAGCAGACTCTGTACAATACTAAGATCCTACGACTAAACCTAAGACCGTATTAGACTCTTATGTAAGGACGCCAGAAGCAGGCCCTTAGCGTCTAAGTCGGATTCCTCGCTCGGCAGCGACACATACCTTGAGAAAGTCCCGTGAAGGACGCTATATTCTCCCCCTTCTATGCTGCAGCAATGAGTACAGTCGAGCAGGTTCCTTCGCAATGTTCGCAAAAGCGGTGCTTGAATTCTCTACAAGCCTCTTGTCTCGAATTGGCCTAAGGCAGGACGGATTATCCAGCGTATAGACCTAATAACAGCAAACGCCGGCCTCAATGGAGAGCCTGCAACTTCTTTCACCTATACGGTGTCAGCTGTTCTGCAGAATTCAAATGTCTTAGTGAGCTGTCCAAAGATCATGGCTATAACAATACAATTGATTTGAACGTGTACTAATAGAGGACGGAAGATCAGTTCACAGTACGCGATTTCTTGTGCTAAAACGAACATGCATAGGTGAGCTCATTCGCAGACATCACCCCAGTCCGGTAGAATGTCTCATTGAGCTTGATCGAAGCCCTAGCAATACGTGACAACGACTATCCGACTCATTACAGCAGGCAAGTGGTGCGCTCCGATTGCGGCCCTTTGGCCGTGCATGGAGGCTCTTAGCTAGTATCAAACGGTGACGTGATGGCCGCATGATCGGGGAACGGGTCCGTGTACGGCAATCAAGTCGGTAAGGGAAGCTGACGCGTGTACTGTAACAACCTGTGGCTGGAGTAAATGCACTTGGCAGAAATGGATAGGAAACACCTCGAAACGGGGTCGCTTTACAGCCTTATTAGGCTTGACATTCGCTTGCTCCGATCTCGGTCGATCGTTGATAGCGCAGAATGATTCCCTTTTAGAGCATTTGAACGCATGCGCACCAATTGGGAAAGCATTGCGAATCCAAAATGCTGTAGCCTACCTCCGCAAATTGCTTGCATTCGCTATATCCTATTCTGTGAACTCCTTTCAACCAAGTCGTCGCAGAATGAAGTCACTTTCAGACATCAGCCACGAATGCCAACATCGATGGCGCGAGACTACAGCATTCAGCCAGACCAGCGACGTAATTCGCAGCACAGATTGGTGCATGCATCGTTCATACGCACGGAGGACGTATGACGAGGCTACCACCTCACCGTGTTCTGGTCTTGGCCACATAAGTTGGAAGATCCGGCGCAGTTGACTAGATAGTCTCTCTCGAGGTACTTCCAGCAGCTTCACGAGATTTACACCATGCATGCCTCTATCTTAGGTCTCGTTTTGGCCTCCATCTGTTCCTCGGCCGCCACTCCCTGTTGCTGCGCAGCGACGCTCTAGATATCAACAGCTCTACAAATGTTCCGTCCGCACTTGCTCCAGTTCCAGCCAACTCCAGCACTGGGCCTGCGAATACCGTTGTGAATACGGCAGCCTTGAGCTCAGACTCGAACTTTCAATTCATCATGCTGCTGGTAGCTGGGCTCGCCGCTGGGCACGGCGCAGACCTCAACGATGTGCTCAAAACGGCACTCTACATCGAACCTGGAAATTTTGAAAGCTTTGCCGAAGCCTTCAAAGACTTAGCGGATCAGACAAAGGCGAAGGCAGATGACACACTCCTGCAGTCGGATGCTGTCAACGCTCGGGACACGTACTTTGCGGCTGCTACCTATTATCGTGCTGCCGACTTATTTCTCCACGGCAACTGCAGCGATCCGAGGATCAACGAATTCTGGGACTTGCAGACCGATTGTTTTAACAAAGGTATATCCGCTTTGCCGGTTCCTGGAGAACGCATCACTCTGAAAGCGAACGGTTTCAAGATCCCAGCGATATACTACGGTCCATCGCAGCCGGTTCCAAATGTAAAGCGTCCAACATTACTCCTTTGCGAAGGATATGACGCCGCCCAGGAGGAGCTACTACACTTCAACGTCTTTTTCCCCCTGAGTCGAGGTTGGAACGCCATTACATTCGAGGGGCCTGGACAGCCAACTGTGCGCCGGAACCAAGACATTGGCTTCATCCCCGACTGGGAGCGAGTAGTGACTCCGGTCGTTGACTACTTGTACACCCGTTCAGACATCGACTTCGAAAGGCTCGCTCTTCTAGGTAATTCTTTCGGTGGTTACCTCACCGCCCGCGCTGCAGCATTTGAGCCGCGTCTCAAGGCACTCATCTTAAACGGTGGCATTTATGACTCTCATCAGGCCTTTGTCGGTCAACTCCCAGCGAACTTACAGGCACTCTACGACGCTGGAGACAAGGACCAATTCGACGACCTCATCGGCGAGGCTCTGCACAGCGAGAACGCACCCAGCCAATTCCGGTGGGATGTAGAGCAAGGACTCTGGGCCTTCAAGATCCAGTCACCGTATGACTTCCTGTAAGTAACTAGGGCTTACACGATTGCCAACATCACAGATCGAATCCGGATGCCCACCTTCATCGCCAATGCAACAGATGACCAATTCTTCGCTGGCCAGCCTCAGCTTGTGAAGAATGCACTCGGCGATCGAGCAACTTTGTATTCTTTCGACGGAGCCGCGGGATACCATACGCAGGTTGGTGCGTCTGTCGAGTCGAACAGAGTCATTCATATGTGGCTGGACTCCGTGTTCAATATGACTTCACAGGCTGTTGCGGTGTATTGAGATCTCACGCAAGAAGGATGGATGTTGCTGGGGGGTTCGATAATCTGCTGGTGAAGGGAATTCAGTTCCAGTGTAATATCACGTTTTCACATAGAAGTTGGTAGTCTGTCTTGTATACCGGTCCTGTTCAAGTCCAACAACCTTGTTCATCTGAAGAGACGTGACGGGGAACATACTGCCTTGCGTCAAAGGCCGAAGTTCGGCAATTGGTCTTGGCAACCGCCAGACGCCGACGCTACCTTGGAGAAGGTACATGCGCCTGCAACTGGAATATTTCCCAACCAGAGTCGCCCGTGTATGCAATAGGTATGGCCTCGCCATGGATCTTCGTCGGTCCAGCGTCTTCGTTCCCAGATATCGCACCCGACTCGTCCAAGACCAAACTCTCCTCCCCCTCCTGCTCCGACCCGGAGAAGCGCGAGTCGTACTGCCGCGTGTACGACATCACCGAGGACACGGCTCAGGAGCAGAGTATCGAAGACGCAGAATTGAGTGTCGGATTGAAGCAACAAGCGCTCGTCTTTCGATATCGCGGCAAGGTCCACGCGGTGCCGGCGTCGTGCCCGCACCGATCGTACCCTCTCTCGCGGGGCTCGCTGTACGACATTGAGGACTTTGGAATCAGGCTTTCTGCTGGAATTGTCTGTCCCAGGCATGGCTGGTCGTTTGATCTCTTCACCGGGGAGAGTGATCGCGGAGCATATAAGCTAGCGGTATGGGAGGTAGAGTTGAGAAAGAGCGAGCAGGGAGATGAGCAGGTGTGGATTCGGAAGAAGAGCTAGGTTGTGAATGGAGTACTGCGCATACTGGATATACATGGTCTCTTCAGCACTGCTACTCCAGCGTCGGCCGAGCGCCATGCCGTTGGCAAATATTCGCCCATCGAGGGATATCAATATTATTTCGCTCGTGACAGTAGTCACACCAGCTGGCATTGGGCCTGAGGACGACTGGAGAAGGTGGAGTGCAGCACAAGGTGGACAATGCTCAGAGTCTTCTGCACGAAGGACCTCGGATGGCTTTCGGGTGCTGGAGGTTGTGCTCGTGCACTATCCAGGAGGTCCATTCTGCTGCAAGCCAACTCCATGTCGACCAAGTTCCGCCGACTTGGCATCTATTGCCTCCACTGCTGTTAGATTTTGCCGTCTCGAACTGTAGAGTGCTCGAAGCAAGCGAGGATCAAGATTGGTGGAACACAAATACTCCTCCAACACGGCACGCAAACCCCGCAAAGAAGAGGTCTCGAGATCAGCAGGAATCGATAGCTTGACAGTAGCGCGGACCTTCATTGCACTACCCCGTGGGGCCGAGGTATGCTAATGTTCACAATGATATAAGCATGAGTATGGATATGGCTGACATTGGTGGGATCAGTTATCCCGTTTGAAGACTGTGGAGCTTATTTGGACAACACGTTCGTCTCCCCCGTGCTTACCGTTTTCAGGGCATGCATGCGTTTGCAGGACGCTGGTTGAAGATCATAAGAAGCATGGAGGCCATGCAATTGGCATTGCTTGGTCGTCAAGCTTTCATCAGGATCTCCAGCGATCGAGCATGCCTTCTTCACGATCGACCCTCCGACCAATCGTGGCCCTTGCTGCCACTGCGGCCTCTGTTGCTGCTGGACCGTGCGATATCTATGCCAGTGGCAACACCCCTTGCGTGGCCGCGCATAGCACAACTCGATCCCTTTATAACGCATACAGCGGCCCTCTGTATCAAGTGAAGCGTACCTCGGACGGTTCCACTACAGACATCCAAGCACTCTCCGCTGGAGGGGTGGCCAACGCTGCTGCTCAGGACTCGTTTTGCGGTAACACGACCTGTTTGATCTCCATCATCTACGACCAGTCTGGCCGCAAGAATCATCTCACTCAGGCGCCTCCCGGAGGCGCAGCCAGCGGACCGCAGCCGGGGGGCTACGATGATCTTGCTGGAGCGACCGGAGCACCAGTGACCTTGAACGGGCAGAAGGCTTACGGTGTCTTCGTTTCTCCAGGCACTGGCTATCGAAATGATGGCACAAACGGCATTGCTACAGGAGATCAGCCGGAAGGCATGTACGCAGTACTTGATGGCACGCACTACAACGGCGCATGTTGCTTCGACTACGGCAATGCCGAGACGAATAACCTGGACACCGGCAACGGGCACATGGAGTCCATCTATTACGGAACCTGCACAATCTGGGGCACTGGCGCTGGCAATGGTCCTTGGCTGATGGCTGACCTGGAGAACGGCCTCTTCTCTGGCTCAAACCCAGGCCAGAATACTGCCGATCCAAACCTTACCAACCGATTCCAGACTGCCATCGTGAAAGGAGAGCCGCATCAGTGGGCGCTCCGTGGCGCCAATTCAGCTTCTGGGTCGCTCTCGACGTACTACTCAGGTGCTCGACCGAGTGCCTCCGGGTATGATCCCATGAGCAAGGAGGGAGCTATTATCCTGGGAATCGGTGGCGATAACAGCAATAGCGCTCAAGGCACCTTCTATGAAGGCGTGATGACATCTGGCTATCCATCAGATGCTACGGAGAACTCGGTGCAGGCAAATATCGTTGCCGCCAAGTACGCCGTCTCTTCCTTGACCAGCGGTCCAGCGGTAAGTCTCCAAGGCTCTGAGTCCAGTATCGAGTTCTGTTGCATTTGCTAACGATGTCTCTCAGGTCACCGTTGGCTCCTCCATCTCATTCCGTGCTACTACTCCAGGATACGATACCAGATACCTCTCACACAACGGCTCTGCGGTCAACACCCAGGTTGTGTCTTCCTCCAGCAGCACTGCGTTGAAGAAGGCCGCCAGCTGGACCGTCCGCACTGGCCTCGGTAACAGCGGATGCGTCTCCTTCGAATCAAACGACACCCCAGGCAGCTACATCCGTCACAACAACTTTGTCCTCTACGTTCAGGCCGGCGATGGCTCGAAGCAGTTCAATGAGGATGCCACCTTCTGCCCACAAGCTGGTCTGACCCAAGGCAACTCGATTCGGTCGTGGAACTATCCGACCCGCTTCTTCCGGCACTTTGCCAACAATGGATACATTGCCAGCGATGGCGGTCCTCATGACTTTGACAATGCGAATTCGTTCAACAATGATGTGAGCTGGGTCATTGGCAAGAGCTTTGCATGAGCATGAACATTTGCTTGGAGAGACGGCCTGTCACCGAAAAGGGGGTGCCATGGAACAGATCGGTCCTGAAAGTTCAGCATTACAGCATTATGAAGATGGAAGCGTACAGCATGTTTGTAGACGCATTGATGCATTACATGTTCGCGCAATTGAGGTTTATTATATCCATTCCATATCAAATACAAATCCGCAAATACTTCTTCACCCCGATAAGATTGAATATAAAGTTTCAAGCTAAGCCCAGCCTCCGGCTGATCTTCCAATCCCTCCACTTGCCGGGACCACCTTTCGTTTCCTCCGACCTCACCTCATGCAAGGAATACTTTTGCCCCAAATCTAGAATGTCAACACCTCTCCTCCCTCTTGGCCAAGGACCTCGTGTCATTGTATACCATCAGACGCACCATGGGCCAAATAACGGACCTCCTGTCAGCCTCCTTCCGCTGATCACAAACGGCACTGGAGTGACACATGTCGTTGTCGCGGCAATTCATCTGAACGACCCACCGGGAAACATCACATTGAATGACCATCCACCGGATCATGAACGCTTCAACACACTATGGGGAGAAGTTGCCTGGCTTCAAGCCAGCGGCGTGAAAGTGCTGGGCCTATTGGGAGGTGCCGCGAAAGGATCTTACGAACGACTCGATGGCGATGACACTGCCCGCTTCGAATCATATTACGTCCCACTCAGGGACATGATTCGAAGATATCGGTTCGATGGGTTGGATCTTGATATCGAGGAGCCGACTTCGTTGCCCGGTACGGTGCGACTCATAGACCGGTTACGGGCGGATTTTGGGCCGGAGTTCATCATCACGCTTGCGCCTGTTGCAACTGCTTTGCTGCCGAATCAGCCGCATTTATCGGGGCCAGCATTTGATTATAGGTTGTTGGAGCAGATGCGTGGACATGAGATTGCGTGGTATAATGTGAGTTAAGGAGTCTTCTCGACTTGGCTGATGTGCGACTAACTTGCAAGCAGGCACAATTCTACTGCGGCTGGGGAGATGCTAGCTCTATGGCGTGGTACGATGCGATCATGAGCATGGGCTGGAATCCAAACAAAGTCGTCTTCGGACTCATAACCAACCCCGCCAACGGACCAGGCCATGTAGAATGGGCAAGACAGGAAGGCGTACTTCGAGCACTTCGCCAAAAATACCCCAACTTCGGAGGTGTGATGGGTTGGGAGTACTTCAACTCACTACCAGGAGATTCAGCACGACCGTGGGAATGGGCAGCCAACATGGCTCGGACGATAAGGACTCCTCTGCCGACACCACCTCCGATCCCAATACGACCATATGGACAGCCGGCGCAGTTACCACAGCCTCCTCATTCGTTTCCAGCAGAAAGTGTGCAGACTTTGAAGGATCTTGGGTTCACGGATCAACAGGCTGTTGCTGCGCTGAATTCGACGGGAGGAAATGTGGAGTATGCTGCTGCCTTTCTCTTTGAGAATTGATCAGGGCTCGCGCAGGGATTGCGTACGTCGAGATAATGGATATCTGCATGCGCAGAGCCTTTCAGCGACTGGTTGAAGCCGCCTCGCAGATTCCAGAAAGAACATAGATTCTGCATATTCCAGAAAGATCATAGGTTGCTGCAAGCACTACAAATAGCTCCTCCATCCGTGCAGAGGATGCACTATCTTCAACTCTCAGTCACAAATCACCGTATCATGGCAGACCAAGTTGGCACATTCTCTTGCCTAGCTGAGGGTCAAGGCGGAACGTTTCGCTTCGATCCTCGTATTTCACCACCTCACATCGGCACCGCTGAACTCAAGACATCGGTCGGCGTCTACTTCCCCCTTGCCGACAACCGCTGCTTCGTAGTACACATCTACGTTACCTCGAAGGGCGACCCCAATCCCGAAACTGGACTGACCCGCGCCTTCACTGCCGCCGAGAACCAGGCCGTGAGAACGCTGATCTCAGGAAGATTCACTAAGCATGCAAGCGCCAACGAATGGACACCACAAGACGTCTTCGACAGCATCCAAGGCGGCAAGAGATCATACGTGATGTGTCCGATCTATTCTCGCCCCGTCGAGAGTCCCGGTCTCCCGAGCACGGCAGTCGTCAAAGGCATCGAGGACTTTCTGGGGCCGGGCAGTCGTCTGGTTAGATACATCAACAACGACCGTGTGCAGGGCTTTGCGGTGGAGATTCAGACGGGAATTATCAAGACGATCGAGCAGAAGTGGGAGGACAAGGGAGGGGAGCGTGTGAGAGTCAATGATCTGCCGAAGGGGTTTTCGTCGGTTAGGGCGCTGGGAGCAAGGCAGGATTGGTATTTCAATGTTGAGACGGAGTGAGCAGCTTCAGTCTGAGAGCGCTGTTCTGGTTTGCGCTCGTGACTGATTCGGTAGATGTGAGTTGCGTGGGGATGGCTATGCAGTGTCTGAAATCATGTTTCCAACCAACAAACATCTTAACTTTCTCTCCCCAATTTACACCTTCTTTCGTTTCCGGAATGACAACGAAGAGAACGAATCCCCCTTGCGCATATCTGAAAGGCGGGCAAACCCAGTTTGCTTGCAACATGTATATGCTAAGATGAAAAAAAGACAAAGATGAGCCAAGTTGGACATAAGGTGATTCTTCCGCCATTCTCACAGGTATACCACAGCAAGACAAGCAATGCAGAACACATCGAACTCTCCTATCAAGTACCGCCTCAAAGAGGGCTACGGCCGAACATTCCATTTCCCACGTCAAAGGCCCGGGCAGCAACACCTCACACACGTCGGCACGGCCGACTGCACTACGACCATGGGAATCTACCTGCCCATCGACGATACCCGCTATTTCGTCGCCCACATCAACGCCTTCGTCAAAATCCGCAACCCCAACGCCGATGGAGGTTGGCAGAATCAGGAGCAGAATATCCGCCCAGAAGAAGGCATCCTCATCCAAAATCAAGTCGTCCAAAAATTGAAAGACTGCTCCACGCGAGACGGATGGACTGCTCGTGACGTGCTGGATTACTCTCGTCGCACCAGTGTCAACCCCGTCATCATCTGCGCTGAGGTCTTCACAGCTCCAGCGCGACCCGCGAGATTCGTTGCAGGGGGAATCAGCACATTCTTGGGGATTGAGGCGTGTGATATTCTGGGGCAGCAGTCGAAGAGGTTCGTGGTGGAGCATGCGACGGGGCGGATGCAGTATGTGTTCAAGTGTGTTGAGGAGAGAGATGAGCGCAGGATCTTTGACAAGGTGGAGGAGGAGATTGTGGCGGAGGAGGAGATTGTGGCGAAGGAGTGGGATGTCGGGGTTTGGAGGCAAGAGATCGCTTGGAGATAGTGAGGGCTGGCAGGCTTGGTCGATACGGGATTGGTTTTGAATGTGCAGTAGTGTGTTAGATTGATGGCTGCGTAGGTTTGCGCAGTAACGTCCGCGCATTGCTCTAGAAGTCAAGTTCCTTCACATACTCTTGCACACTTCTCAAAGCACCATACTCCCGATCTATCGAAGGTTGTACTAACTCTTCCATATTTGGACCAAAGCATCCAAACTCTTGGTAGTACCCAAGCATTTCCATCGAGTCTTCCGCAAAAGTCGGATTCATATCTTCCATAAACGTCCTGAAGGCCGTCGCTGGGAGCTGTCGGTACCTCGTAGTCTTGCCCGTCGCCAGGCTAACCGTTTGAGCCAACTCATCAAGACTCCTTAGCTCTGCTGCTGCGTGAATTATCTTCCCCTGACAAGCGTCCGGCTCTCGCAGGATAGCAGCAACAAAAACCGAGATATCAGTTGCATCGATCATGAGCAGTTTCGTGTCTGGCGGCATACTCGTAGCAATTTCAAGCGTCCCGTCGCCCACTGGCCTTGGCTTCAACGCATTCGTCAGGTTTTGCATAAAGCAGCCCATGGCGATGAAAGCGCTCGAGATGGGGAGGCCCCGGATGTACTGCTCAATCTCGTACTTGACGTCGAATTGCCAGACCTTTGTATAGCGATTGGAAGAAAGTTTGCGTACTGATGGAAGAGTGCTGAATATCAGGTACTTCAGGCCTGCCTCGACGGCTACATCCGCTGCGGCTTGGCCTTGGGCGTACTCTCGTTCGTAGAGATGTTCATCAAAGATGCTGTTAGTGACCAGGAAAGCCGAGTGTGCGCCTTCAAATGCCCGATACAATGAAACCTTGTCGTCAAGATCTGCTTGGACGATCTCACAGCCTGGTAAGTTCTTGAGGGCCACGGCGGCAGGCTTGGACGGGTCCCTGACAACGGCTCGAACGGAGTATTCTTGGCTCAGGACGGGATCGCTGGTTAGCAGCTTGACAACAGCTCCTCCTTGTTGGCCAGTAGCACCGAAGACGACAAAGACCTTGGACGGCATTATTTGTTGAAAAAGTGGTCAATCTTGACGGCATTGTTCTGCATTCTATATCTCCGTACTGTTGCGCAAGGCTTTCCGAGAAAACTCCGGCTGACAAATAGGGGTAAGACGGCTGCAACGATTATTGGAGAACCGTCAGGACCATTGACAAAGCCCCATGGCTATTTGCGGCACTGGGAAAGGATAGAGCTGGCTCTCTTCTCGCTTTCGCAGAGGGCAGGAGGAGCATTGAGCCGACTCACGAAGTATCCACGATTGGGAAAGACCTGGCTTCGCGTCGATTTTCTAGTTGAATGTCTGTTCTTACATACATCTCACATTAATAGCTGGAGATTTTATATTCTGTACGACGAATCGGGACGCATGAAAGCTCGTAATCAATTCCGTACCATCGAACGGACATATCGGGCTATTATTGGCTTCAAGGCTCAACCTACTTCATAAAGACGAGGATACAACTCGACTCAAGTCAATGAAAGCATGTAAACATCATTCATGATCGTATACAAGTCCATTTCAATTCGCATTCCTATCATCAAAAGCGTTCCAGTACCTCCTTTCCAATCAATTGAGAGCTGGACCAGGTTCCAGCGCGTACTTAAACGCCCCGAATCATCCAACAAGCCTTTCATGCACTCCTTTCATATCTTCATTCCATCATTGTTCTCGTTTCTTTCGTCCAAATGTCATCACCAAGCGCCTGATCCCTCTTACGCAACACCGCCATCTCCCCTCGCATAGCCCTCGCCCACCTTCTTGTAGGCGTACTCCAACAAAGTCTCCGTCGACCTCTTGTCCAAATTCCCAATCACCAATAGCTCATCACAGTCCAAGCTCCGGGTACAGATCTCTGTGAAGCGAGCGACCATGGTCAGCCGGCTCAAGGCATACCGACTAGTGGTCTTCTCGATGTTCAGAACGGGGTTGGCTGGGCTCTCGTTTCTGAAGTCCTTGGCCGCGACACCAACTGGCTTGATCGAAAGGTACTCGCAATGAAGTTCAGACGGCTTCATTTCGAGTCCCCTGTTGCCGAATGTGTAGATTGGAATCTCCGCAACGGTCTCGCCGAACTGACGGAGAATGAGGAAGTACCGCCACTTCTTGATCCATGGACGGCCGTCCGGGCCCTCAAAGACACCTTGATCGCCGAGTTTTACGTTTGGGTCTTTGAAGCGGCAGTGGTGCAGACGTCGCACGATGATGCCAGAGATTTGCTCGGACCAAAGCACACCGTAGAGTTTGGTCTTTCGGCTTCGAGGAGGAACTACGCCTGAGCCACGCCGGACGGGAGCTTGAGTCGTGGTGAGGGGGATGGCGTTCGCTGCTCGCTGATGGTTGCTGGCTAAGACATTGGAAAAGACAGTGGAAGCTATGTTTTTCTCTCGGAGAGTCTTCGGCTTGCTGTGTTGCACCACTTTGAAGCCGTCTTCGTCGACTTCGGGCTTGGCCTCTCTCGACGCGACTGTTGATGGCAATGCGGTGGTGTTTGAGCGGTGAGGAGAACCTATGACTGCGACACGCTCGAATCGACGTCTCCTGGGACTGGCGGGAGCTGAATTCGAGATTTCTGCCAGGGGCGTTCGTCTAGCCGCATTGCGACGTCGATTGCGGCTTTCAGAATCGCTGGTCGGTGGTCGGTTCTCTTGGTTGTTGTTCGTGTTGTTGGCGGACGCCCTCCTCCAAGGCTGGCTCATTTGGCTCGCCTTCTCTTGGGTTGGCTCCTTCTTGCCGTAGTTCCCAAAGTACGACGCCATCTTGAACTATGCAGACAGAGGTGGTGACCATGTGGTTGAATGGGTGATGCGATGAATGGCGTAAGAAGCGGCAGAAAACTTCGAAGATGGGCGTGGTACGCGTTATGCGTGTCGAGTATTCACTGCGCGTCAAGTCACTCGCCGAAGTGACTCGCTCTGCGCGCCTGTTACTGGAGGTGAACAAAGGTGTTGCATGTCTCCATGGCGACGTAGCAATCACCTCCATCTCCTTTTCAAGCCCGTCCGCTCACGCATCTTGGAAAACAACCTTCCCTTCAATCAGCACTGACAGCTTCCGACCAGTTGTACATTCTCGTGTTCACACATCACAAACTCACACATCATTAACTCGCACATCATCAACACACACATCATCAACATGCCGAGCTTTAAGGACCTCTTCAAGCAATGCACAAAGCGGCTTCGGCGCTTTGGCAACCGAATCGACATATCTGACAAGTGCGATGCCGCCACCGGTGGCGCTGGAAACACTGATGAGAACCGAAACCAGGAGAGCGAAAGCCAGCCAATATCCACCGCAGCAGAGCCTGATCCCTCAGATGCCCAAGACCAAGAACTTGAATACATGAATTTGCCCCTAGGTGTTCATGAGGAGCTTCAGAAGTCCATCCGTCTTCACAGACAGCTTATAGCTTTCGAGGAAGACCACACCAAGACCATCAACACTCTTCAAGCCAGATTCCGCTATGTCAAGAGGGAGATCAAGGAGTTGCAAGAAGGTATTGCGAAGCTCGAGGCTGAGGATCCTGGAGCTAACGAGAACGATATCGAGATCAAAAAGTTTGATCTTGAGCCATTGCTTCGAGAGAAGGAGGAGCTCTTGGACCAGCGCGACGAGGCCAATGATGAGCTGGATGCGAAGTGCCGGAGTTTCAGGAGCGAGACCTTCCACCTATTGGAGCTGTGGCGGCAGGTTATTGGTGATTGCGAAGAGGCTCGTGAGGGAGAAGACGAGAGTGTTGATCCAACTGGTCACCATATTGATGAACACTGGCCAATCGAGGCCACTGCTGACCTGTCGAGCGCTGAAGAGCAACGATCCAAGGACGAGGAACCCGCCAGCTCAAATACGCCAGGCCCCCTGAGCGAACAAGCTCGACCCCCGACCCCAGAACCACAGTCTCAAGACCCTCCTCCCAATGCCGAAGAGCTTCTCGAAGACTACAAGCGGTGTTGGAGAGAGCTCGAATCCGCCGAATGGTGTCTGGACAACCGCGACCTGCGCTTCGACGCTGACATGGAATGCTGTTATAGACTGTATCAAGCCAAAGCCCCGGGCTTTGAGACCAAGAGCCAAGTCGAGCGACGTCACTTCCGCGAGACTCAAGAGATCACTCAGCGGATCATCACGGCAGAGGAAGAGCTTGAGAAGGCTGAGCAGGCTTTGACCGCTGCGGGGATCCATCCACCTGGCTCGGAGTATGGCCTGGGAATGGTGAAGGATGTTGAGGATGGGTATCGAGTGAGTGAGGAAGTTGAGGATATTGAGACCGGGCAAGATAGTCGGGTTCAGAAGTGGCTGAAGAATGTTCCGAGCTCGATCGAGGGTGACGATGCTTCTGAGCCGGAAGTATGGGACAGCTTGAGCATGGTTGCGGAAGGTCGCCAGAAGAAGAAGATCGTCCAGTGGAGAGAACAAGCCGAAGCTGCTGCTCCGGCTATAGTGGAAGCTCAGCCTCTTCCTGTACCTGAGCGTACTTCGCCGAAGGGCTGGAAGTCGAAGACGTGGAAGGTTCTCAAGGATCTGGCGAAGAGTTATCCGGCAGTGCCGCTGTTGCTATGAGATGTTTTGCTGGTGATATAGAAGGGCTTTGGGTTTTCTGCATATACGGAGTTGGAGTTAAGGTGTTATGTCTTTCTTTCTTCAGAAACTATGACGGGAGAAGTGTGAAATGCAACTTCCTCATGTTCGACATGGCGGCACTCCACTCGGTGGCAGTAGCTACACATACGAAAAATGAAGGTCTCAGATTGCTATACCATTACCTTTACTTGCAGACAAAGAACGATATCTGCAATTTCAAGTCTTTGTGCCAAAAGCGTGAGTGATGAAACGTTGAAACGATTTCCTTGTATTAAAAGCTTCGACATCAGCCTGCCCCATCCGCCGAGCGTTCGTAACACCCGCAAGTACACGCTTCCTTGGGAATCACACGATCTACGAAATCGCCCAAAATCTCCGTACTCCGTGCATCAAACTCTCCAACCCGCCTCAACTCATCGCAGTCCATCGGTCGCTTGAAAAGCTCCGTGTACTTCACCACGATCGTAGTCTTGTTCAATCCAACACCATGATGCACCCTCAAGACCGGGTTATCCGGACTCTGGTTCTTGAAGTCCCTCTCGTCCATGCCTTTCGGTATCACTGATAGATACTGCCACCACGAACTCTCAGGCTTCTCGGCGAGACCCTTGTCATCGAAAGTGTACAAGGGAGACTCCTCAACCAGCTGCCGCTCCTCATCGGTGTCGACGATTGCAAAAAGGCGCTCTTTCTTGGATACCAGCCTCCCATCGGAGCCCTCAATAATGTAAGGATCTCCCAGCTTGACGTTCGGATCTGTGGCGTAGCGGATATCCCAGCGGCAGAAGATCACGCCAGGCTTCTGCTCTGAGAAACGGATCCCATGGTCGCGCGTTCTGAGTTCGCTGCTGTGAAGTGGATTGCGCGTTAAGTTGGCAGATCGGGCGGCCTGGTGGTCGCGCCAATTTCCAGGTGGGATCGTCGAACATCTTGTCGATCTCTCTCCAGAGGTTGCGGTTGGCTGTGCCGTCGATGCCACTGACTGAAAGCTGGTGGAACCATTGTATAGCGGAGAAGGGGAGTTCTGTGTTGCTTCAGGAGTAGATGTGAGCTCCACCAGCTCCCGGGCGTGGCTGGTAGGAAGTGGCGAGGGTGACGCCGGCGCGTTTGTGTGAGAGCTGTGTACAGGGGCTGGAGTAGAAAGGCCAGGAGCGTGATCCTGGCACGGCTTGGGTTGCTCGTTGGTCGCTCCTGGTGCCGTTTGCCTTCGCGCTGGCCTGCTCTCAGGGGTGAAGCGTCCTCTCGGACGCAGCACCAGTTTTGCGCCCTTCTCACCCTCAGCAGAGCCCCGAACTGAAGTCCCAGTATCGTCGACAACAGCTTGGTTTGCCTTGTCTCCAGTGAGAGCCTGCGCGTAAGATGGCGTGTCTTGCTCATCTTTCATGGCCTGTCGGCCGCCAGAAGAGCGCGGTGAAGGGATCTCTTGTGTGAGCCTGTCAGCGTGTCAGACAGTGCGCTGGTAGAGCCAATGCGGTCGTTGAAAATAACATGGCTTGAGATGCAAAGTGCGCGTTCTTGAAGCGGGCGGCGCACGGACGCCAAGGCCACATGCTGGTGAGGGTCCCTTCCATTTTGGGGCTAGTGAGGAACCGAAGATAGAATTGGAAGGAATATCGTTATAGAAAGTAGAAGAGTACAATATACAGGATAGAGGATAGAATAATTCCACATTCCGCTACAGGGAAGACAGACATATACTTATAATCCAAGCGCTCTTTGAAGCAGATATGTTTGCCTACCTTGCCATTCACTCTTAGTCCACACGAAGAATTTCAAAGATGCAAATGTCTCCAACATATCTAAGACATCCAAGGCATCGTCCACCTGGCGCCAGAATTCCGTCGTCGAAGGCTCGAGAGATCTTTCGATTTGGCCCTCGAGAGCATCCGGCAGATCTTCTGGCACGCTAGCCTCTCACTCGGATCCTGTAAAGCTGTAGCAAGGGGTTATGAGCCGTCGGGAAAGAGGTCGAAGTCCCACGAGGCTGCGGTTACGTAGCATAGCCCAATTTGACCGGACACGACTTGGAGCAGTCTCTGGCCATCATGCTCAACAAGAACGAGGACGGTTTACTCCAATGTAGCGATTGACGGGTTAGAGTGCAATATATTAGGCCTGCAGCATCGATTGAGAGAGCGTGAAAGCTGGAGAATTGAAGGAGGTGAAGTCAGTTGAGGTTGCCCCGCTTGCGTCACCGGATTTCACATGCCCAGCCCCCACGTTGCCGCAGCTTTGAAGCTTTGATTGACCGCTCCATCAACCACCCAACGACTTTCCGCGACCTTTAACCTTCATCCCGACCAAACAACACAATCGCTGAAGAAACCAGACAACATGGGTGAGCCTACCAGCTAACAATGCTCCCGCCCAGAAGACTGACACTCTCCAGATCGTGCAAACAAGCCTCAGCCCATCTCCTCGCCAACGACAACCGGTCCTCAACCTCAGGTCAATACCCACAAGGACCGCGTCTCAGCGACTCTCCCGACCGGTGACAGCGTCGAGATTCTCCTCTACGGAGCTACGGTTATCTCGTGGAAGAGCAATGGCAAGGAGCGACTGTGGGTTAGCGAGGCGGCGAAGCTCGATGGAAGCAAGCCTGTGAGAGGTGGGATTCCGCTGGTGTTTCCGGTGAGTCGTCTATGCCTCGTAAACAAGAAAGAGCGTCGTCGTATGTTGGGACATGTGTTGACGGATATCAACGTAGTGCTTCGGCCCACCACCCAAGGACCACGCAACTGGCGCCCTCCCACAACACGGCTTCGCACGCAACTCACACTGGGAGTACCTTGGCTCCAGCTCGAGTGAGAGTGGACCATTGAGCAAAGGCGGCGACGACAGCGTCAAGCTCGACTTTGGCCTGAGCAGTGCTAACCTCTCTGCTGAGGCGAAGAAGGCTTGGGGATACGATTTCGGCTTGGTGTACAGCGTGACGCTTGGTAAGACATCATATTCCTTCCGACTGAAACATTATGCTGACTGAGGGTGATCATAACAGGCAAAGATGGCCTCCAAACGATGCTCAACGTCCGCAACTCCGGCAGCACCGCCTTCGACTTCCAGATCCTCCTCCACTCCTACTTCTCCACGCCCTCCATCACCCGCACCGCCATCACCGGCCTCGCGGGCACCTCGTACGTCGACAAAGTCCTCAACGCCACCGAACACACCGAGTCCAACACCTCCATCTCCATCACGGGCGAAGTCGACCGCGTGTACAAGTCCATTCCACAAGATACGACCTCAGTACTCGTCGATGGCAAGCCGATTCTCGATGTGCAGAGAGATAATGTGCGGGATTCGGTGCTGTGGAACCCGTGGATCGAGAAGGCGAAGGGTATGGGTGACTTTGAGCCCAAGGACGGCTACCAGAAGATGGTCTGCGTGGAGGTCGGCGCGGTCGATGGCTGGCAGAAGCTGGAGCCAGGTGAGACATACGAGGGCGGACAGATTCTGAGGGCGTATTGAATCGAGCAGCAAGCGTCTCGGTTGTGATGACGTGAAGGATGGAACGAAGGAATGAATGAATGGCATGAAATACGAAGATAGAGCCTTGCAGATTGCTGGGTACCTTTAACGACGATGAACCACTTTCGGGAAAGCGATAGACAGTCAGTCACGAAAAGAAAAAGCGGATAAGGTTGTTTTTGAAATCACATGCATTGCGTTCTTCAATACTCTGCTTGAAGCCATATCGAAGAAAAGGTCAAAACTCGATATCCTGCCAGGGAAAGCAGTATCCATCTCCAAACGCCAGTCGTTCGTACAGAGCCCGATCCCTTTCCCGTGCCTTGTCCCATAGCGCATGCTGAACTGACAAAAGAGACATACAATCGAGAATCCTTACCCTGAATCCATCCCTTGGTATCTTCACCAACCATCATCCGTGCTTCGTTCTCATCTCATCTCATCTCATCATCTCTTCTTCAGCGGAATCCATTCGTCACGATCTTCCCTCCAGGTCCCTCAGTGAAGTAGGGATGATGCACCGCCTGCTTGGCACTCATCCGGCCCGCGGGATCGTACACCAACAACGCATCCAGCAAGTTCAGACCCTCGTCGCCCAGAACTCTCACACCGTCTGCGTTGACCAGCTCATCATCTGCCTTGCGCTCCCACTTGGGAAAGCTGCTCTTAAAGTCTGGGAAGCTCGTCACACCTGGCCAGTCGGCTTCGCTTGGAGTACCCAAGACGCGGAAGATCTTGAAGATCTCGTCGATTTCGCTGTCGCCGGGGAAGAGGGGTTTGCGCGTGGCCATTTCGGCGAAGATGCAGCCGACGGACCACATGTCGACGCCGGTCGAATATTGACGGCCGCCGAGGAGGATTTCGGGGGAGCGGTACCAGAGGGTGACGACTTCATGGGTGTAGGTACGGAGGGGAACGCCAAAGGCACGGGCGAGACCGAAATCACCGATCTTGAGGTTGCCGTCTTTGTCGATGAGGAGGTTTTGGGGCTTGAGGTCGCGGTGGAGGACGCGGTGCGAGTGGCAGTAGCGCATGCCGGAGATCAGTTGGTGAGTGAATTTCTTGACCTGTGTGATACTGTCGTCAGTACCGTGCACAGACATTGGTCTTCTGTGTGTCTCCATACCATGTCTGCGCCCAGTCCCAAGTGTCCCTTGCCATCCATGCATCCCTCTGGCAATGGCTTGCCTCGTCCACCTTGACTGACTGGCAGCGCCTCCATATACTTCTTCAGGTCGAGGTCGAGGTATTCAAGAACTAGGTACAGCTTATGCCCGTCGGCGTGGACGATGTTGAGCAAGCGCAAGACATTCGGGTCGTTCATCTCTTTCAGCAGCGAGATTTCGCGAATGGCGGTGGAGGGAACGCCCTCATCTTCGGCTTCGAGGCGGATCTTCTTGAGAGCGACGATGCGGTGATCGGGCGTGCTGAGGTCGCGGGCTTTGTAGACGACGCCGTACGTTCCTGTCGTACACACTGTCAGTTCCCCGGCGCGTAATACCATGTGGGTATGAGCATGAACATACCCTCGCCGACCTTCTCCATCTTCTGGTAGTTCTCCATGCCGGGCGGTGGTTGCGGGTCGTGGACGGTCGCGCGCGTGGGAAACGAAGGTGGGTGTGTTCAGTGATGTGGCTACCGGCGATTATAAAGCTCCATCCAGACCGCCAATTGTTGTTTGTCGGGGTGGTGCAACGGGTGTTGTTGTGGTGTGGTGGTGGTTCGGGGCTGCTTCCCTGCGTCTCGCTTCCAATCTGTGTTTGTTGACAGCGCGGGCCCACCCAAACTTTGTCCCGCTGCCGACGACCGACGACTTCATTCAGTCACCCACCACGCTTTCATTAACATCCACCACAACTCAATCAATTTGACGGCTGCTCGCATGTCCCAATGGCTTGTGCATCAAAGCGACACCCGTAAACGCGTTGAAAGACCGCATTTGGACGGATCCCAGCGAATGCTTCATGACGTCAATCACGTGCAGCGCGACGCTTTCGTGTCAGCAACCTCACTTCATGAACAGCTGCTGTTCATCACATGGCGCCGAGCAGAGGGAAGGGCAAGGCCGCAGTGAAGCCTACTGCCAGCTCATCTCGTTCATCCGGACGCAGAACTACGCGATCCCGAGGCACTGTCCACGACGATGACGTTCCGGATGTCTACCAGTCCTTGTTGGCTGAGGCTGACGATACTGGGAATGACCGGGATCGCGACAGACCGCTGAAGAAACGCAAGGTTACACCCTCGAAGAAGAGTGCTGTTGAGAAACAGGCCTTTTCCCCCGCGGGTATCGGTCCGTCTAAAGAGTCTGAAAAACCAGTGCCAAGCGAAAGGCCATCCAGCCCCCACGAACCACCAGCGTCTTCTCTACAAACTGTAGAGGATTCTTCAGAGTCAGATGCGAGCGAGTTTGAGTTTGAAGACGTCGATCTGGATGGGCCAGGTCCTGATCCTGCAGATGGTATCGAGGATTTGGCGATATCAGTACAGCCAGAAAGCAGCTCCAAACGACCAGCCCAGTCGAGAAGGAAGCCTGCTTCTGTTGCTGAAAAGTCGCAACGTCTTCTCGTCCATAAAATCCACGTTCTCTGCATGCTGACTCATTGCATGCACGTCAATGGACGATGCAATAACCCTACGGCCCAGAAGCATCTCAGGAAACTGCTCTCACCGAAAACGATATCGTACCTCAAGCCAAAGACCAGCGATAGCCAGTTTCAGCGAAACAGATCTTTTATGGAGGGCTTGGAGCAAGCTGTCGACACTTTCAATGCTGAATATCGACCCGGTGGTGCTGGATTGATGAGACCGCATTGGAGTGTCGAAGGTGAGGTGGAGAGACCGTTTGAAACCAAGCCTGTCGATAGATCGGACTTCATCACGGCAGCTCAAACTTTGGAGGGCTCCCAAGATATGGGCAACCAGTTGTTTTGTGCTTTGCTGCGTTCGGCTGGTGTCGATGCTCGGGTCGTGTGTTCTTTGCAGGTACTGCCCTTTGCCAGCGTTGCCAAAGGTAGTACCCCAAAGAAGCCGGTGAAAGAGATCATTTTCGCCATTGCTTCATACGATGATCCGTCGAAGTCGAGAAATACGGGCGACGACACGGCGGTCAAAGCTTCGTCCACAATTGGAGAGGTGCCTGCTGCTCGCCGACGCCTTGGTCAACCGAGTTTCGCTTCCGCCGAAGGTTCCAAACCACCAACAACACCAAAGAAGAAAACCAGACCGGCACCGAAGCTATCTTACCCTGTCTTCTGGGTCGAAGCATTCAATGAAGCCCAACAGAAGTGGATTCCCGTCGATCCTGTCACAACGCACACAATCAACAAAGCCGCCAAGCTGGAACCACCTGCGTCCTATGAATATAACCAACTTCTGTACGCTATCGCATTCGAAGACGATGGCTCTGCGCGAGATGTTACTCGCCGCTATGCCAAAGCCTACAACGCCAAAACACGCCGCCATCGAGTTGAAGCATCCACAGACGGCGCCAAATGGTGGAAGAAGACCATGCGGCTCTGTCGGCGAGGGTACGGAAAGCTCGATCGTGACCAGGTCGAGGACTCAGAGCTTGCGCAAAAGGAGGCGAGAGAGGGGATGCCAGCGAATGTGCTCGACTTCAAAGACCATCCGTACTATGCACTTGAGCGGCATACGAAGCGACATGAAGTGATCGATCCAAGAAGGGAAGTTGGCAAAGTCAATGCTGGTACCGCAGCGAAGCCGAGGATGGAAGCTGTGTTCCGAAGGAAGGATGTGCTGGTCTGCAGAAGTGCAGACAAGTGGTATCGGATTGGAAGGGAGGTCAAGGAGGGCGAACAGCCGTTGAAGCATGTGCCGGCTAGAAGAAGGAGACAGCAGTCAGTTGAGGATGAGAGTGAGGATGCTGCGTCCACAACAGGTCTCTATGCGCCTTACCAGACACAGCTATATGTACCTCTTCCGGTACAGAGAGGTCGCATTCCAAAGAATGTCTACGGCAATCTCGATGTCTATGCGCCAAGCATGGTCCCAGCTGGAGGCGTGCACGTTCGACATCCGTTGGCTCAGCGTGCGGCGAAGCTGCTGAGGGTTGACTATGCGGATGCGGTGACGGGTTTCAAGTTCCAGGGCCGACATGGAACGGCCATCGTGGACGGCGCTGTCGTTGCTCAGCAGTTTGAAGAAGCCGTTAGAGCGGCGATTGAAGGCTTCGAACAAGAGCAGCTTGAAGAAGAGAGCAAGGCGAGAAGTCTGCTGGCGTTGAGAGTTTGGAAGCGATTCTTGACTGGGCTGAAGATCAGAGAGCGTGTAGAAGGGTATGGCGATGGCAGTAAGAAAGCAGCTGCGAGTGAAGATGAGGAAATGCCAGATGCTGCTTTCTACGCTGGCCCGCTGGTCGAAGACGAAAGACCTCTCGTCACCGCTGGAAAGTTCACAATCGACGAGCTTCTGGCACCGACGCCGAAACCAGCCCCAGAGAAGAGGAAGAGAGTTGTGCATGATGACGATAGTGATGAGGACTTCGCGCAAGTCTCGGATGGAGAAGCTGATTTCCAGCCTGGCGGCTTCTTTCCCAGCGAAGGCATCAGGAACACACACATGGCTGGTGGATTTGTTCCTGCTGGTGATGATGAGCCTGGCGGATTCGTGCTTGATGGGAATGAAGATGGCGGCGGGTTCGTGCCCGAGGACCATGGGCCCGGTAAGAAAGGAGGGTTTATTGTCGACGATGGGCGAGATGATGGAGGTGGAGGGTTCCTGCTCCTGCCTGATGCTGAAGACGACGATGGGGCTGGAGGTTTCTTGCCTGAGGAGGGACAGGATCGTCAGGCTGGCGGGTTCCTCCCTGACGAGCCTGCCGTCGATGACACCACCAAAGTTGCTTCTGATTATGAGGGCCTAATACACACGAGCAACGCCAACGATGGTCACGAAGACGACGACGACGACGACGACGACTTGTTTAGCGAACGCCCTATACCTACTGGAGCGGAGGAGAGCGCTGCACCGGATGGCGATGCTCCTGGGATGAACGATGCCTCCGCTTCTTCACCCAAACGTACTAACGATGGTATTGACGTGGACATGAAGGATCACGGGGAAGAAAAGAAAGAGAGCATGGAAGAAGTAGAAGTGGACAGCGACAGAGCCTCGTTACCTTCTCATGACTCCGAAGACGAAGACGCCGAGCCGGATTGGTTGGATAGCGACTAAAGCTACTTTGTGCCCGGACGCCACCACGAACCTGGCTCGATGATGACATGCCACTCCTCTTCCTTTTTCCACATCGGATCCCGCGTCCACTTCTCATCAGGCAAGTTGTCACACCTGTGGGAAAATCCGTCGCCCCCCTTCCGCCATTTCATGGGCAGTATGTGCACATCGCTCGTGATGTGGTTCACCACGAACCCCTGTTGCTTGTCATCGTCAAAGTGCTCTTCGACAGGCAAGGCGGACTGCGTGCCCAGGAAGTCTCGAATCGCTTCGAGGATGAACTTGCCAGAGAGAGTCTTGTTGCCTTCTGTGCGGCTGAAATTCGGACACATCAGAACGATCTTCCTTCCTCCGGCCTTCAGAAACTCAACAACTTCCTCCACACTCCAGCCCTTCTCCTGCGAGTGGTTCTGCAGTCGCTTGAGAACCTCCTCCTTGATCTCTCGTCCTTGATCCGCCGTCACAAGCCGCTGCCCATACTCCGTTCCGGGCTTTTTGACATAGGCGTTGATGTGCGCGAGGAAGCATCGGTTGTCGGAGATGGGAATGTAGACGCACACGCAAGTGATGAGTCTGTGGGTGCCGATGTAGGGTTTAGGCCGGTGGGAGTGTGTGTTTCTCCCTGAGACTCGTCGATGGAGAGGTAGTGGGTCTTGGGAGGTGGCATTTTCGTTTGAGGGTACCGAATGAGGGAAGAGTGCGTGAGTCGCTGGGCTGGACGTTGGAGGATTGGAGATGCGCAAGAGAGAGCATGGCTATATGAGCTTGACGTAGCAAGCCGTGGATTTCGATGGAAGACAGTTTGGACGATTCGGAGATGTTCGAGACATTGTGAGTGAATCTTCCTTGGACCGTTCACTTCGCCAACACAAAGTACGAAGAATGGCGAAAGTCACAGAGCTACGACATGTAATGGCCTTCAGGGCATGGGTATTACCGTCCTCTAGTGAGCTTCTCGGTCACAATATACTGCCAGAAATGACACATACGAACAACTCGAAAAAACAAGCGAAAAATTCACAGCTTACACCCAACCACTGCTCGATACCGTGCCCCAGAGTCACCATTCCTGCTTGCCCTCCACAACGATCATCCAATCCCTATGCTCACTCCTCTCCTCCACCACGTACTCGCCCTGCGGTACAAACCTCCGATCATCCTCATCGACACGGTCCCGACTGCCGTCGATCCAAGTCTCCCACCTCTGCTCAAGAAACCACACCTCCCCACTCGCGTGATGCACTACGAAGCCGAGCAGCTGCAATTTCTCGCAGTGCTCCTCACTCATCCTTCTCGCTAGGTCCATTCCCAGAAAGGCTTTGATCCCCTCGATGATGTACCTCCCCGAACGCGGGCAGCCTTTTTCTCCGAGGCTGGGACACATGACCACGATCTGCTTGCTCGCGTCGACGCAGCGCTCAACATCCCTTACGCTCCACTTCTCTCTCTGAGCCTCCGTACACAACTTCGCGATGACCGCTGCTCGGATCTCCTCGCCTTGAGACTTGGCGACATCCCGGTCGTCGAACTCCTCCTTCCGCACGAAAGCGTTGATATGCGCGAAGAAACAACGGGTCGATGAAATGGGAAGGTAGATTCCTACGCACGTTATGAGACTGGTGGTTCCGATCCTAGGGATGGATTCTTGTTTGTTGGTGCTGGTGGGAGAGAAGGTATAAGTGCCGCCGGCGGACTCTGGGATGCAGCGATAGGGGATGAGGGGCGATGGAAGGTTTGGCATGGCTGGCCATTGATTTGGGGTAGGGATGCAGGGTGTGTTAGAAAAAAGTACGGCATATCGACGCTGGGGGCTCATAGTCTGTGGCAGAGGGCAAACAGACTTGGGTTATGATAATGTCACAAGGCATTAGGTGTCACGTAGTGTTTGGCTCAACGCAAGTGACGTGGTTCTCTTAGTTTGTCGTTGTTGCTACTAATGTGGTTTGAAAGGCTGCGACTGTCGACGTCTTCGACATGCTATTATGAGTCCTGCTCGGGGCTGGCAAATGTACAATCTTAGGCTCCGCGGTGCCTTGTTGGCTGGGTGCAAGAGGATACCTCTGCATCTCCAGTCCGTACCGTTTGACACTGTCAATCATTGTACCATCGCCAACTATTAACTCCCCGATATGAAGGCTGAGAGTTGCTCCCGATGGTGTTCATGAAGAACTTTTCAAGCAGTCGCTTCTCCATCGTTGAGCACACGAGCCAGGCAATTTTGCTTTCGCGAGGTGCTCATATTGATTCAGTGTATAGAGATGAAGTAGCTATGTTCTACACACGCCATTGTTCTTTCGATGAGTGCAGCGGACCTCTATCTACGGGATAATCCTCGCCTCCCTCATCCTTTGAAAGGAAGTCGTATACCCCTTCACAGTATCAATCTTCTCATTGAACCCGACCGACCTCCCCGCAGACAGATCATACTGCCTGTCGAAATCGAAGATAGCCATGACGAAATGCAGAAATTGCCATGCGAATTTCTCCATGATGCCTTCTTTCAATCCATGCTTCTGCACGAGCTTCTGCCAAGTAGCCTCGTTCTGCTTAACGAACTCCTCGACAGAATACGGCTCAGTACCAGGAGGCGTCCCTTCTAGGCCGAAGTCCTTGCAGATACCAGGCCACTTATCAGCCCAAGTGACGACGTCCCCATCAGCGACGTTGAAGACGCCACCTTTGCCGCATTTATCGTGATTGAGAGCTGCGTAGATCTCCATCCGGCCAAGAATATCCTGGAATGTGTCCGTGTGCTTATTGTGGTAGCTCTTCTCTGGTCCAGGGAAAGGGATCTTGGCTCCAGCACCGTAAACCTCTCGAGCCAGTGAGAGCCAGAGTCCGAGCCCTTGAGCGCAGTTCATGGCGTTGGTTGTGGGTACGAAGCCTATGATTACGTCGGGACGGATCTCGGAGAACGTCCAGGATCTGGAGGCTGTCAATTCTTTGAGGGTGTCGTACTGGGTGTAGTAGAAAATGTTGTCATAGTCTAAAAAGAAGTCAGTCTTCTGAAGGACCTTTCGTTGAAGCGGTATTCCTTACAAGGCTTGGGAATCCGCGGCTGACTCTCCTTGAGCGGTGGGTTGATTTCCAACTTATCTGGAAACTCAACGCCATATCCCTTTCCGCCAGTCTGGAGCACGAAGCTTTGCAGCTTTGGGGCGACCTGATCGAGAGCAATGGAAGCCGTGTTTACCAAGTCCGTGTTTACCTTCCGCAGAGACTCGAAATCCGGCTTCTGGATGTACGCAGTGAAGATGGCGTGTGTGACGGTCTCGATGCCTTGAATCTTCTCCTTGAAGGAGGACACAACGCTTTCGACAGAGCCGGTGAGGTCGATGCCCGAGACGAGTTGGATACGATCATCCTCTGGAAGTTTGGAGTCTTCAACGGATAGCGGGCGGTTGGTCAGGCCTGTGACCTTCTCGAACGACGATGAAGTCGGATAGCTTAAGGTTTCTTTGACACATGCCCACCCGCTGCGAGTGGGGATCAGTACTCTCTCTTTGCTACAAAGATACCACACTCACGAGATCCCAGAAGCACCGAAGACCAGAAGGTGGTTGCCCTTGGAAGCCATGATTCTGTCGTTTCTTACAAATTCAGAGAGTCTGGTATGCTTTCAAGATTGTGAACGATCCAATTCGAAAAAAAACCCACTGAGATGTTGATTCCAAGGCCAAGCATAACGTCAGGTCCCGGCACTGGCGGTAGTGCCCAATCCAGCTTCTCCGCCTCGAGCTTGGTCTTACATCATCGATCACTTTGGGAGACAGCCTTGCATATCGAGGCAACCTTGATTTATAATGCTACATTACAAAGACAGAGCATCATTCAGATGATCTACCCCCATTACTCCAAGACTTGGGGTAGTCAGGGTCAACAACCTCACAGCCCATACGTGGTCATGAGCATGCTATATCCAAAAAATAGCCACGTATAGCATTATGCTTCCGAAGGTCCAAGGGCCTGTCATCGCGAAAGGGAAATTCCCGTGTTTGGCAAGCAAAGTGTCGACACCTGTTAACAGAAGATGAGTTTTAGAAGCACCAAAGACAAGAAGATGCTCCCGTTCGAAGCCATGATATTGAGTCAGCGTTGCTTACTAAGTGCCAGTTCTGGCAGTGTTCAAACTGATAGTTTACTTGCTTGATTTCTAAGATGGGATGAAGCCTTGCACGGAGTTGTACGAGTCGGGCAGGGTTTGTCCGCCTATAGCTCTGCTTCTTGCGTCGTCTATCACATCGTTGCTGAGCGGGCAACCTCATTTCATGCCATTACAAAGCAGGTGGTCTAGTCAAATTATCTCCGCATTATGATCGTGATCCCTTACTATCAGACTGCCATATCACCACTCGGACATAGGCTCGGGATGACTTGGCTTGAGAAACTAGAATCGTTGTCTTGACCTTGCACGTGCGAGGTCTAACCCACAAGGAAGACCCTTTGTTGATATACTGACATTACAATAGACTTCAGTCTTAGCAAAAGCGATAAATTCGTCGTCGAACTTTCGATCTCGACAATAAGCAAAAGACAGGATTGTTGCATCTGCGTGCAAACGTTCAAGCTTGCTTGATTAGGCCTAGCGCGACATATCAGGCTGAGCAACGACATTGTGGCAAGGCAAGCATTCGGCAGACACAGAGGCCACTTTAAGGCGTTGTAGATCTTTTTCATCGATAAGGTCGCTTCTACTTTAAACAATGGTCTCAACCTTGTTTCTATGACAAAATTCAAGCCTGGCATTTGGATCGAGTCCATTCCGTCGATCCGGATCACACACGTCGACACATCGGAAGGTGTGGGGGCTGTGTAGGGCTCGGATAAACGTCTATCTAGTTCTCGGCTGTTCCAATAAGTGTTTGGAACGTAGGGAAGTTCTCGCAATCGTTCGAGAACCCGGACCCGAATCTGTACAATACTCAGCCGTCTACCCCAGGGAGAACGTTGTGATTCTAGATATGTTGCCACATAAATCCCATGATCCCTGCGCCAACCACGACAACAATGAGCCATCTCAATACACCATTGGCGATCTGCTTTGCAGCGAATTTGCTCATCGCATCAGAGTCATTCATTCTAGGAAACTCCGTGTCTCGCGGTACTGGGACGCCAAGCACATCGCAAAGTGGCTGCCACCCGTCCCTCACGTCGTAGAACACGAGTCGGTCTTTGGGAACAGACTCTTGAAGCCATGATACATGTCTCTCCCACGTCACCTGTCCATAGTTGGCCTGCTCGCCTGGCCGAATGTACAGCTCTCCCCATCGGCCTTCGTGCAGGACGCGAACCCACTTCGGGAAGAGTCGTAGACAGGGCACCCAAAAGAGCATGAGTGCGAGCATATTCTGCAATGAGGTACTCGCTAATTCGCCCATGCTTTTGGCCCATGCATCTGGGTCTCGGGTTGTACAGATCACCTTCGCGTCAGGGAAAAGCTCCAGCAGCTCTGGAACGAACTGGCACATAGAGGAGTCGGCGGTGGCTACATAGCCATTCACCAAGCTTTTGAGACCCTCCATTACGACTTTCTTGTCCTCGGGAGATTGCATGGGCGTATGCTCGAGAATTCTAATCTGAGTCTTGATGTGCTTTTCATCGCCCGAGACCAGCATCTGCGTGCCGCTGTGGTAGACTGGTCCGCCAAGGAGGATAGACAAGGCAGCGGTGAAGGATGCGGTCCCCGTTCGTGGTAAGCCTGGCTAGACGATTAGATTCCGGCCAAATCTATCATATGCAAGTGAACATGCCTGCTCCGATAACTCGTAGCTGCGCGCCCGGCATTGGTTTTGACGCCTCAGCTCCCATAATTGATAGATCCGCGGCAAGATTTACTCTGCAAGACAGGAGTGTTGGTCGTTGGAAGGCAGTCGAGAAGCGGCTCGAATGTCGACTCAAGTAAGACAAGAAGAAGACTTTGGATAGATCGCGCGCTGAATAGTGCCGCGTGTCTCTTAGCTGAAGCGAATCTTCACCGGAGTACATGAGCTGAAAGCGAGTAGATAATGCGGTGCCTGTGTGTTCAGCCACAAAGTCTCCATTACTATTGCCCCAATAAGAGGGTCACAGGAATAGAGACAGCTGACTCGACGATCCCGGGCGGCCTCAAGCTTCAGCTTTGTTATCTCAACATTTAGCTCCGCTGCCCCGAACATGTGTGTGCTTGCGTGGTGCTCTATCGCATGACTCTCTGGGGCTTGGGGCTGAGGTCGATCTTGACCTTTGGACATGACAGCCTGCAAATTTTGCATCATGATTTGCTCATGCTTTTTGTCCGACCGCGGCTGAACGCATTGTGCATCCTTCTCGCCTCCGGTGGTGGCGTTGAGTCTACCGAACTCATTGACTGGGAAACGGGTCTGGTTCTACTGAAAAAAAAATTGCAGTCGTTGCTTTTTTGCGTGAGGCTGTTGGCTGCAAGCATTCTTTCCGAACACGACTTTTGATTTGTGGCTTTAGCTGCTTCTTATTGAATTATATGGACCCACTTTTCATGTGATTGCCAAGCTGGCTCTATGGGAGACTGGCTGCTTTTACTTCTTGGACACACAAAACATAGAATGAATTGCTGATTGATCTACTTTTTTTCCCAGGCACCATCGAAATGCTGGTGAAGACACAAGAGATAGATCACTTGCCGAACATGAGTTTATCAGCATGCAAGCCCATGTTCCTTCGAACATCAACTATCCACGGTGCACCCTATACAAGACTCGTCAGTCACGACTCATTAACTCGCTCTATAGCTACCTACTCACACCAATCTTCCACCCGTCCTTCTCCAAGGCAATGCCAACACGCTCATATCGCTCTCTCTCCTCCGCATCTTCGCCATCTGTCCCAATCAGAAAAACCTCCCCACGCACATGATCAACAACAAATCCATGCTTCTCCCTCTCACAAATATCCATCAAATCCACTTGACCGCCAAGAAGCTCCTCCAAACCCCTAATCACCCAAGGCCCTGGCCTATCTCCCGCCTCAACCTCGCCCAGCTCAGGACAGACAACAATCGCCGTGTTCTCCCTCTGTCGCAAACACCGCACGACATCTTGGGCATCCCATCCATCCCTCTCTGTGGTCTCCTCCAGCTTCTCCTTAACCTTCCTCTGAATTTCTCTGCCCTCACTGGGTGTCAGATCGCGGGCACTCCTCCTCCATCCCGGGACGCCGCTGAAGGGTACTTTGACAAATGCGTTGATGTGGGCTACAAAGCAGCGATTAGGCGAGATGGGGAGGTAGACGCCAACACAAGATAAGCAGTGTGAGGTTCCAATATGGGTTATGTTGGAAGGAATATGTGGGAGGGTGAAGCTGCCGCCTGGGACTCTGGGACGAAGAGGTATTTGGCTTTGTTAGACATAGTGCTGGTGGTGTGAGGTGAGAACTCGAATGCTGTTTGTAGCGGTAGACATGGTGCAGAACTCCATCTATATTGATCAAAAGGTTTGGCAAACTCTACCATGTCTCATTAATAGCGTGCCCTGGTTTCCTACAGTGTCTCAGTAGGTTTTCTCCGGGCATTGTTTGTCGAATTATGTTTGTTAGCTTCTACGGCCGGCCTCATGTGCCGCAAATAAAACAGTTACAATCAGGCTATCTACCACCCATGAGGCTGGCGTACATCATCTACAGGGATGTTTTATTGTAATCGTTCCAGCCAACTAAGTGAAAATCACCATGAGGAGATCGGAATCGGAAGATATCAACGACATCGACGTTTTGCGTCAATTGGCAAAGAAGGACCGAGTCCAGGATGTACGAACTGCCATCCTGGTTGCCATCTCAAGGAAACACGTTCGACCCACGGGAGCCGTAAAGTGAGACTTTTGATCTGTTCTCTCACGGTCTTGGCGCACGGATTCTGGAGTGCTAGCGGCTTGGCATCACATGCTAGCGTACACAAAGTGAGGTCTTGCGGCTGGAGTTCGCTAGATCATGAACGTGTATTTCTCTTGACTAAGATTTTTATCTCTCTTCACATTGAACGGAACGCCAGAGGGAGGTAAATGTCATTCAGAGGCGACCTACGCTGCCAAACGTGAAGGTACGAAGTGCGCACCGCTTCAACTAATGCACAAATCTGAAATCCAACCTCTTACTTCCCGAATCACCCAACCCTTCCAAATGCTCCCTCCTCTCCTCATCCGTCATCGCATTCCAAACCCTTTCCCTCCTCTTATTCCTCCAAATATAATACATCTTCGTACCCGGAAACATCAAAATCGCTACAACATCAATAATAATCAACACCGTATTCCCGGTGCGATAGACGGGAGCGTCGTTGGAGCGATAGATATTGGAGCTCGCGATGTTTCCAAGCTGGACCATCATGTTGTAGGCGGCTGCCGAGACAGAGCGAGTTCGTACGGAGCCGGAGTTGCGAGAGGCCCAGGCGACGAGGATGGCGTGGCAGTAGGGATAGGAGAGGAGAACAGTGATAAGGGCGAAAGTGCCCCAGGCATCTTGCTCTGTGCCGGACCAGACTCGGAGGGCTATGAGGCAGGGAAGGACCCAAACATTTTGCAACGAGGCGATGAGAGATCGCTCGCCGACCCACTCGCTGAGCCAGGTTAAGCCGATGAGTGTGAAGCAGCTCGCTACCGTCGACGGGATCGTAAGCAAGTTCGTGTTGAAGGGTGAAAAGCCCAAGCTTCGCAGAGATAACGTAAGGTATGTCGTTGGAGGACCTATCGGGATGAACACGATCAATCCCATAGCATATATTGGCCAAATATCGAAGTCGCACAGAGCCCTCCAGAGACGCATTGGCGTGATAGCCATGCGGTTGTGCATGTCACCTTTTGTAGGGTCATCCCGGAGGACCTGTGCAAGTTAGCAAGTGCTCAAACCCGATTTTAGATGACATACCCGATTGACAACAATCCCAACCTCTCGATCAGTAAACCACCCCTTCGGCCTGAACCAGGTCTTCGTCGCAACGGCAGAAGCAGGCATCAAAAAGAAGGCCGCAACGCCGACCGTCAGGGTGATCAACGCCTCGATTAAGAATAACCACCGCCAGCCAGACAGACCATCAACGCCATCGAGATGAAAGAGAGCGAACGCAAGCAGCGAAGTAACCACACCCGTGAGATCTTCAGCAGTCCAGAAGAACGAAAGTCGAAGAGGTAGCTCTCCACTCTTGTAGAAGTACGATAACCAGAGCACCAGGTCTGGAATGAACCCGCCTTGAAGAACACCGAGGAGGACTCTCGTAGTGTAGAACCCAGCCTTGCCTGTCATTGCAGCCTGTGAACCCGCAACGATAGACCACAGGCACATTTGCGTCGGGATCCACCGATCTGGGCCAACCTTCTTCGATATCAGTTGGGAAGGCAACTCGGCGCAGAGAAAGGCAACCAAGTTGATGGTGTTGCCGGTGTTGTAATCGTTCGTTGACAGATGCAGTTCCTGAAGCATGTTGTCGCTGACAGCCTGGGAAAGATTCCCGCGGTCCGTTTGTAGGGCGAAGAACATTATGCAAGCCCAGAGACAGACGTGCCTGGACCGATTAGCCAAGTAGTCAGTAAATCCAGTAGATGACAGCGACTCACAAATCGAGTTTCCAGACGAGTCTCCTCTCCTCTTTGGCAGTCCACTCAAGATCTGGGTCCAAGACGTGTCGACACTCATATGAGGCATTCTCGTATACCTTCTGCCAGTGTGCCAGGGTCTTGGGGTCCTTGAACGGGTTCAATTCGGCATCACTATGTTCTGAGTCGCTTGTGTCGGGAGTATGCACCGAAACGTCCAACTCCTTTGGGACGGGGCTGTTATCTCTTGTCTCACCGTCCAGCGAATGCACTTTGTCGTCCATACTAGCGACTGTCAATGTCGAAGCATTGAATGATGCTGATCACAGAGGCGTTTATATGAGACCCGATAATTCACATTACACTGAGGCGTTGAAGAAGGATGTGCTACTTCGTTGAGAAGGTCGGCACGCCATGTGCCGAATATCCATCGCACGCCATTCGACGCGTGGGCTCAGCATGGTGAGAAAGGTAACATTCTCACGGCATGATACCCTTTGTACAGCGCAGTATTACCTTCATGGGATGCTGAAGGGGTCATCAACACAGTGGTGAATGGGATTCGCATCCTTCGCGAGTTCCCAAACGAACTTCACGTTGGGCAGCGTGGGTTGGATTCACGTCATCGCCACGAACCGGCAGTTTTCCGGAAGTCAATTGCCACGCATGCCACGCCATCTTGCGTCTTGCACATGGTGTGCTTGGCGATAACACCTGCCTGATCGGGAGCTAATGCAGTTCGCAGCCTCGCGACTGGGCCGTGAAATCTTCGAAGGATCATCACGCTATTTAGGGGTAGCTTGGCGCAATGCTTGAAATCTAGACGGACAGTCGATCTGGTTGAATTCGCAGTAGTCCGGCGCAGATCTGACGATACTGGCGGCGGAGAGATCGTCAAGTCTACCTCTTTCTAATGTTGTAAATCGAAAGCCGTATGAGACGAAACGACACATCGAGAGATCCGAACGTTAAACACTGCTGGTGCAGAAAAAAGGCGAACAGGCATGATTTGGTATATCAGCCAGATCAGGTTTTTTTGCCCATAATAAGCTCGCTCGATAGCCTTGACGAAAATCAAAAGCCGGCTAAAGCCTGACGATAGACTGAGCCATACGTATAACCCAAGTCAGTTGATCCGATATAGAAGACATGAACGGATAGCTACCCTACTTGTCTATTAAAAAGACAGCTCCACCGCGAGCCTGGAACTTGAAACTGCAGCAACACATTCGTGGGACACCCGGGTTTTACCAAGCGTCATATGCATACTCTACTAGGGGCGGCCTGGTAAGGAATGGGGACCTCTTAGTCTTCCCAGGCAAAGATACTCGTGGTGATCTGCCCTTAAGGGAAAAGAACTGAACGTCAGCAATGGTTCCCGCTTCCCGCATGCATAAGAGTTTCTGGACGAGTCCTTGGACAAAACACCCCTCCCTTTGTTAAAGACTCCCTACTCCCAATTCCCAATTACTGGCGGAAAAATCCCGCTCTTCCTGCCTACGGTATGGAAACCCCATTTCCAAGCTTCTCCTCTCGAGCAGCTCCCAATCTACGATTATTCACGACGAGGTTCCAATAAGGCTGTTCCATACGCACACTTATCCAACTCCGTCGAACGGCGCGAGACCCTTGTTGTCAAATATGTTTCTGCAGCATGGAATACTCACATCTCTCTGGCTATCTTTGGCACAAAATAGCTCTCGAGGGGAGAGATGATCACAAATGAAACATCTCTGGGCGTGCTCGTTGAGAAAGTATCTCGGACAAGAATGTACGTCAACGCTACCGTATTGTAGATCAACCCAGTGAGATCAAGGCCGTGGTGCACAAAATGTTCATCTCTTACTCTGGAGCTATTCTCACACCCTTGCGAAGAGTTCCCACGCCGTCCTCGAACATCAGCGGTCCCTGTCCACCAACTAGCCACTACATCGCCGCCTGACTAACCTCCTCCGCCGCATCCACCATAATAACACTCGAATTCCTCTGCACATCCGCCACGCCCACACACGTATCCTTAAACAACAAAACCCCCGTATCATGCGGCTCAAGCGCCATCTTGACACTCCCACTCTGACAGCCCAAATTCTTCCCGGTCCACGCATTAATCACGCGGTAAGGATTATTCGCGTTGAGTTCCGGAATCTCGTCGAAGACGGCCGTCATGGTCCGGCGGATGGACTGCGTGTTGAGCATGGCGACCATGACGCCCTTGCTGGAGGCGCCGGACCAGTACTCGGCGGGGTTGGTGGCGTTGAAGGTCCAGTCGGGGTTGGTGCCCCATTTGTACGGGGCGGCGGAGGCGCCATATACTGGGTCCTGGTTGAAGGCGAGGAGGTGCTTGTTCTGTAGGATGTTGATGTTGGCTTGGGAGATGGTGGAGAGGTCTGTGCCGATGAAGAGGGGCGCTTTGAGGAGGGCCCAGAGGGCGAAGTGGGAGCGGGTTTCTTGGACGGTGAGGTTGCCGTTGCCGACTTCGAGGAGGTCTGGGTCGTTGTGGCCGCCGAAGGAGGCGTGGGGGGTGATGAAGGAGTTGATGTTGAGGATGTTGGCGATGGAGGGCCAGTTATCTACATGGCCATTTCATGTCAATATGTGCGGGGAGTTTGATGGGCTCTTTCTTACCGCTAATATCATTACTCGTCCTCCAACTCTGCGCCGTCGCATTCCCCCAAGTCCACGGCTCATCATTGCCCCACTCACACACACTATAAAAGATCGTGCGATTTTGCGCCTGCAACGCCTCGCTCATGATCCTGTACCGCAGAGCCGTATACTTTTTGCTGTAGTCGATCCCATCAATAGGCCACGCCTGCGCACAGAGCGGGGAGGTATACGCAATTCCGCTGGCCCCGCCAACACAAGTGCCATTGACGATGTTGGCGGGGTTTGTAAAGAGGAAAGTGGCGTCGGCGTTGCATGCCTGGCAATCGTCATACCAGTAGTCGGGGATGCCGCAGTTGTCATACTTGAGGTAATCAATGCCCCAAGCGGCGAAGGAAGCGGCGTCGACTTGTTCGTAGCCGATAGAGCCTGGATAGCCGGCGCAGGTTCCACTGCCAGCGCTGGAATAGATGCCTGCTTTGAAGCCCATGGAGTGGAGTTTATCTGTGAGGCCGCTGATGCCGTCTGGAAACTTGGTAGGGTCAGGGACGATTTGGTGGGTGGTGTTGTCTCTTCCGGATTTTATAGACCAGCAGTCGTCGAGGTTGACGTAGTTGTAGCCGGCTTTCAGGAAGCCTTTTGAGACGATGTAGTTGGCAGCGTCGAGCATCTTGGTGGCATCGATGTTGCAGCCGTAGGCGTTCTATTGCGTTCTCGTCAATGTCATGTCCACCATTCTCTTTGCGGTGTTCTCACCCAGCTATTCCACCCCAACGCAGGCAACCTTCCCGTCCCATCATCATACACGAAGCCCAAGGCCACAGGCAGCGCAGAGAGCGCCAGTAGAGTAAAGCCAGACATGTTCGCAACCAAGAATGCTTAGCACAAGAGATCAAGGCGATATCGGCGAGGCATCTTCATCTTTATATCGACTTCGCTTCAACGGAGCTGCATCCATCGTCATATCAATTCGTATTCGCAAGCCTTCAGCAATCCAATGAGTTGAAGTAATCATGACCGTGGACGTCCCGAGAAGCTTTCCTGCTTGGCGCATGGAGGATTTATTGTTGCAGAGAGTAGGAACATCCTTTTCTGCAGTCCCCGCATCATAGCATTGCGTCAGGCAGAGATCATCAGTTTGTGCCGCAGTGGGTTGAGAGAGCCGACCAAAAACGGATGGCGGCGTTGTGGTTCCTGCGCGAAGGAGTCGAAGAAGCTGGAGAAGAGGTCGGGTTGTGGAGATGGTTGCAGTTACAAATGGGGATTGTGCATGACTGAGAATCAATAAGTCGGAAAATCGGATGAAAGATTGTGGTAGTAGGCAATGATCTTTGTATTCTTTCCCTTGGCCTAGACTGCCAATACTTTCAGCCAGCAGTGAACCGCACATGGCATTCTGAAGTCATCTCGTACCTGCCTTGTCGCCCATTTTACTGCTGCCTCGCACGGCGTCCTGCTTCGTGGACTTCTCTCCGAATATCAAACAGCACATCGTCAAAGGCTCGCTCATCTTCCTGTGACCCGAACACCATCTTGGGAATGTCGGACAGGACCCCATACAGTCGGGCCAAAATGTTCTTCGGCGACGCAGAGCCAGCCGATGAAAAAGGTCTATCGGCTTCTTGATCAACATTCTCTTCCTGTGATTCGCCCTGCCTGAGCGAGCTACCAGCATCTGAAGCTCCTTGTGAAAGCCTTGCAGCCTTCCTCGTGACTGGAAGAGCCGGCGTCTCTGCCACCACACTAGTCTCTTCTTGATCGTCCCTGGTGGCATTGCTGACGGTGGAGGCACGACGCTTGAGGCCTGCCTTCACTGTAGAGGTCTGACTCGACTCGTCAACAGGATGCTTTCTTGGTCGACCACGGCCCCGTTTGACGGGCGGCTGTGACGCCAGTTGTGACTCTTCTTGTGCCGAGGGAGCAGGATCAGATTGCTCCTGAGAGTATGATTTCCTCGGACGTCCGCGCCGACGCTTGATGTGCTGCTGTTCCTGACTCTCTGAACTCACATCTGGTCCGGCTGCTGTCTCAGGTTCTGGTACATCCTGAGACGTGTGATCCTTGGCCTCGACAGACAGCGAAGGCCGAGGCCGGCTGGCGACAACGATCTCCTCTTCGATATCATCATCTTCGCCATCCCCTGGAGGGAAAGGTTGACTGCCAGTCAATCGTTTCCAGAATTCCTTGATTGGCGATGGTGATGCCTTCTTTGCCTTCTTTCGAGGTGAATCTGTAGCGTCCAGGGCTCGCTGTCGCTTCTTACCCCCTGAGCGGCCGTCTTTCGGAGTTGATCTAGTACTGCCAGCATTGCTAGGGGTGGCAGTCTGCTCGAATTGCTCGATGAACGACTCTTCAACTCTCGATGGGGTCTGCGAGCCCCAGTCTTGTGAATCGTGGGTGGCAGCCGGTGACTGGCGAGTTTCCTCTACTTCTTCGTCTACTGGCGCATCCACCTCAGTTCCCTTGCCCGCCGCAGCTGCCGCTGCTTCGCGTTCTAGCTGCGCATTAGGCAACGTGTAGTCCGAGACCAAATCGCTGGTAGTACGCCGTTCCGCCTCTTCTCGTTCAGCCGGCGGCGCGACGTCCTGGCCACTCTCACCCGCAGCTTCTTGCACTGCATCGGGCTCGTCAATATCGACTGTGGTCTCGTCGACGCGGTCCAGGTCATCTTCCTGCAAGTCCTCAGGTCGTCGCGGTGGCGAGGATGGCGGATCGATGATATCGGTGGCATCATCATCGCTGCATTGATCTGGCTCTTGCACCGTACCACTCGCACGAGGAGTCGGCGAAGAAGGCAGGTCATCACTCATCGGATTGGCATCTGCTGGAGCTGTTGGCGTCGTTAGCGCTTGATTGCCATCATCTCTCTTTGCAGCATCAGAGGAGAAGTCGAGCTTCTTCGCAATGGTTCGGCCTTTGCTCTCTGACCGTCCAGGGCTTGAGGACAATTCCGGGAACATCTGCGCGTCTCCATGCTGTCTGGCCTTCACCTCTTTCTGGTGCTCGGTCAACATCTGGGATTCCTGAATCGCGGGACGTGCTGAAGTAGAATCGATGGGGGCGAACTCCAGCTGCGAGTTGTCGTGTCGTAAGCGCGCCTTGGGTGTCGATTTTCTCGAAGACTTTGTTCGCTTCTTCGTGGCCGATGTTGCGTCGGACAAGTAAGGAGTGCCAAGGGGACTGTTGAACAAGAAATTCGATCGCCTGGAGGTCGGCATCGGGCTGCGTGCTTTCTCAATATTTGTGGACGGCGAGACCTCCTGTGATTCTGCAAAAACAGGAAGCTCAGCAATTTCAACATTGTAGGTCTCATCGTCTATCAATCCAGGCAGCTGCATGTCCGCTTGGGCGCGTCTCGCTCGAAGGACTGGCAAGAGCTTGGCAGGATATTCGAGAGTATCTTGACTGCCAAACGATTCGTTCCAGAAGGTGATGGTATGATTCACAATGTCCTTGCTGGGGCTTGCCAAGCCGGCAGTCACGAGCGGTTCCAGAGCTTCAAGCAACACACTATCCATCTCTGGAAAGCTGTGCTGAACAAGTCGAAGAACGTCGGCCCAAAGCGAAGGAAGCTCGGCGGATGCCTTTCGCATGCCATCGTCTGTCTCTGGCGTGGAGAGCGGAAACAAGGCCCTACTGCGGTCCTGTGCAAAAAGACTCAATGCAGTTTGCAATCTCTTGAGACTGCTGGGTATGATCTTTGCAGGACATCGTGAGAGAAACTTGGTGATAGCCGCGAAGTGGTCGACAACGACAGCAACAGAAACTCGCTGTCGCTCTTCAGCCAGGTTCTCGTAAGTATTCTGGGAAATGGCGCTGATCACGCTGTAGACCAGGTCGAAAGGGTCAAAGACAGCCGCGGAGGTTTTCGAAGGCGGATCCAGGCTGACTGACCAGAGCGCTTTCCTGCTCTGTTCCAGCTCCTGGCGACTTTTAGGCCAGACACCGTTCTCGAGGATGCTTCCACAAATCCGCAGGCCAGCAGCCACTGATAGGTCTTCATGCATATCGAGCAACGACTTTGCAAGCGGCTCCATGACACCTAGAGCAACGCCTCCATCACCTCCATAGTGCTTCGCGAAATTGCATGCCGCACGGTAGAGTTGTGTCGCCTTTTCGGAGCATAATGAGGACGATGGATAGTTCCGTAGGCCAAAGATGATGACATTGAGAGCCGAGCGGAGCGTGGTGCCCACGGTCTGGGAGTTGTGCTGGAGAAATGCGGAAGTCTGCCTGACTAGAGCATGGACAGTGCTGTCAGCCACCGCAGCCCAAATCTCTTCACCGTTGTCTGCAGAAGGGTGCTGATCCGCACAGAACTGCAGCGAGCGGTGCAGAAGACCAATTGTCCCCGAAGCTGATCCTCTGGCGCCGGCAAGTAGATCCAGGTACCAGGCAGCCGAGCGCACATATGCGTCGCTCGCGTCTTGGCGCTGTGCTGGCTGATAGTACAGGGCGAGTAGAAAGACAAAAGGGGAGTAGGCCGTCTTTTGATGTTTTGACGTCCTGTTGGAGGGGGTTGGAGTGGCTTCCACCTCGTCGGCATTTGTCTTTGCGAGGAAGTCCTCAACAAAATGAGCCGCGCCTAGCGCCTCGACACAGATGTCGAGAAGCAGCTGATATCGATCGAGCCACAGCGAGATCTCGACTGGTGTCCTCGATGTAGCAGGGGTATGCCATAGCCGGCGAAAGAAGTTGATGAGTTCGGCCAGAGCGATTTTGAGCTCGTTTGAAGTCTTTACTTCCTGGCTGCCAGCTTCCGCGACAGTCTGGAACAGGGACCTCCAACAACCGTTCGCCGCTTCGTTGGCATCGGGCGGTGAACACATCCCGGCAGCAATGACGGGCTCCACCACTTTGATGATGCGACCTAATCGAGAGCGTACCCATTTGGCGTCCAGCGATGGAAGGTCCTCTGGCCTGATTGGTGTCGATTCAACCGCAGCATTCTCGTTATAAGTGGACTTCTTTCTCTGCAGCAGGCCATGGAGCAAGCGACAAGCGTGCGCATGGGTACGTCGACCAGACTTTACAAGCTTCTCAATCCCCTCCTCTACATACAGCTTCCATGCTGCGTCGAGTTCCTCGTGAGAAAGATTCGGCCGGAGTCCAGTATTAAGCAGGTGACAGTAGCTTTGAAGAGCAAGTTCGTTCGCCTGTAAGGTGAACTTGTCATTGCCGCGTCGGTCCAGAAGAGCCATGATCGGCAGTCGTAGCATAGACCGCATCGACAGTGAGGTCGAGGAGTCAGGTGAAACTGCAAAGATTAACTTGTTCCAGGCAATGTGTGCGTGGTGCTTGACTGTCATGTCGCCAGAGTTGAGACACCTTTGGATGGTGGCGAGAAACAGTCTGAGGCGAGGATACCTGTCGAGAGGCTTTCGTTTCGATCGGAAGAAAAGTATGACGGCCACCCAGATTTGAGGCACAAACTGGGCAAGTTCCTTGTCGGAAGTCATTTCCATGAGTCTCTTGTTGAAGTACTCGCAATAGACGCTGCCTTCGTCTGTCTCGGCGTCGAAGAGCTCGAAAAGAGTTTTGCTGGCCACTGGGTATGAACCCAGTCGCAGAGCAGCGTAATGGCAGGCTTCGATAGCCCGGATGCGAGTGTCGTTGATACTGCTGAGCAAGCCTGTCAATACATGCCCAATCCAGTCTTCCATCCTGCTGAGCATGACCGAAGGCTGCTGCGTGACAAGCTTCTGGTAAACCGTCAAGCGAGCTGCAACCACGCTGTTCCCACTGCAGCGCTCCTCGATTGTCTGTAGAGAGGAGAGGATCCTCTCGACCTTGCTGCCGGTGACGATGCTGGAGGGAAAGTGCTGCATCATAAGAATGTGTACGTGTGCCTTGACGATAGGTTTAGGGGCGTCTGGTTGCTCCAGAATGACGATAGATCGGTCGATTATGAACGTTCGGAAGTCCACATCCAGTGCCTGCTCGGTGGTAGCATCCCACAGAAGAGCAGAGGTAAGGTTCAGCGCCTGAGTGACGATCTGCAAATCAAGACCTTCCCCCTTGGAATCCTTCCAGGCCATATCGCGGGTAATGAACTGCTGTAGCAGATCCATCTTGTCCACCAGCGCTTCTCGCTCTGGGAGATCAGAGTATTGCTTGAGAGCGCCATTCAGACACAGGTATGCGTCTCGACGCCCATCTCGCGAGGTGCCGGCAAGTTGCTTCAGGACTGACTGCAGCATCTTGCGGAAACTTCCTGGTTCCTGAGGCGAGAAGTAGCTCAATCTGCATTCGACATCATCCGGAGTCGGTGGCAATTGCTCGATTGAACGCTTCAGTATCGACTTCAAGGGGCCTGAGCTTCGCGGTGCTGGTGAGTCGTGGGCAACTCGGGGAGTATCGGAGGGGCCTGTGATCTGAAGTTGATTTGTCGGTTCGAGGACGAAACCGACCTTCTTGCTCGCGGTGGAGCCTCGCGGTTGTGAAGATTTTGGAGGCGGAGTGTCGGTCGACAACGTCACTCTCGCTGATGAGGCCGGCTCTGATGTATCTTGGTGTCCCTCGTCCAGAAACCGCAGAGCATCCTCCACGGTCTTGTTGGTGTCGGGGGAGAAGAGGTCTGTCTTGGAAGTGTCTCTCGGCGGCGTGGGCGGACGAGCGGGCAGATGACTGAATTTTGAGGCGCCTTCAGCAGGCGAAGACAACATGATGAAGACCCTCCCGACGCCGACAGATGCTTAACAACAAGATGGAGGAAGAGTGTTAAAGCGCATCGCTGTTCTTCAAAGTGAAGATGTAGAAGTGATGAATGGGCAAGCGCCAGTGATGGAGAGACGAGGTTGGAAGACGCGAAATGCCCGGGTCACGCGTCCTAGCGCGAAAAGGCCCGGCCCTTTCGGCTTCCCCGGCCCGAGCTTCGCTAAGCTCCAAGCAGTGACGACAGCAACATCGAAGCACCACGAAACAGCTCGACTTTGGTGCAGCGTAACACCAGATCCTCACAGCTACGGCTGGCCTCCATTCCGACCTCACTCCCTCACCGGATATTTGCCTTGAAGAAGCTAAATACCCTCTCCAACCCAAACCCCATCCTTTCCGCCTCCCCACAAAGTCAATATGCTGGCCATTCGACCCCAAGATACGACCCCAGTCGCTGGCTCGGCGGCTGTTGAAGGTGCGAAACATGCTCCCATATATGCACCTCGAACACGTGCAACGCTAATTTAGCTTGCATCAGGCACGGCTGAGGTCGACAGGCTGTTGCTCCAGCTCGAGCAGAATCTGGAGTCCGCTAAACTGTCCCTGCAACGTGAGTGAATGGCAACTTAAAGCTTGCCTTCGTATGCTGACGGACATCAGAACAAGAAGACATACTGGGTCAAGTAAAGGTTCTTGGTCGACGGACTGAGATTGCTGGCCCTATCTTCACAAAAAGAGTACACAACCCATCTTCAGAACTTGTTATGACATATACTAATTACGGCAGGGCATCTCCGTACTATCAAAATATGGCATGGACCGAGAAGCCAATCCTGCATCCCGCGAAGCACTACGATGTCTCGCAAATGCATTTCTCCTCAATGAACCATCCCGACAGATCTTCGTCGATCTTGGCTACGCACCCAAAGCCGCCGACCGGCTAAAAGTCGACAATCGAGACGACGAATTCCTCATTTCACGCATCCTCTTCCTCCTAACCTACAACACCAGAATCGACTTCGAAATCCTGGTGAACGACCACAAACTCGCCGACAGCATCAACCTCCACATCCTTCGACATGCCAAGAACTTCTCCAAAACCGGCCGCAGGAAATCCACCACCTCCCCCCTCCAAGATATGGCCATGGTCGAGACCTTGAAACTCATGTTCAACATCACCTACTACTACCCCGACCTGATCCCACGATTCACCCCCTCCGTCGAACCCCTCATCAACATCATCCTCCACCACCCGCTCCCATCACCACCCCTCCAACCACCAATCACCTACCTCCTCAACGCCCTCCTCAACCTCGACCTCCCGGCGTCCGAAAAGAAAACCCGCATCGGCCCCGAAGCTCGCTCAAGCCCGCTTTTCCCCTACTCCAACCCGGAATCCGTCGTCGACCGCCTCGTCACCATCCTCTCCACAGCCATCACCAAGCAACCCGAGCGCGAACTCGACCAAGCCGCCGCCCCCCTCTGCACCCTCCTCCGCCGCATGTACGACCTCGCCACCCCGCAAATGAAATCCTGGATGCGCTGGCTCCTGCTCCCCAACCCCAAAGACCGCGACAGACCCCTCGGTCAAGGCGAGACCCTCTCAGCGCGGCTCCTCCGCCTCTCCACCTCCCCGAACCTGCCCACCCTCCGCGAAAACATCTCCGGCCTCCTCTTCGAACTCAGCGAAAAAGACGCCACCAAGTTCGTCAAGAACATCGGCTACGGCTTCGCATCGGGCTTCCTCATGAGCCACAACATCGAAATCCCCTCCAACGCCCTCGAAGCCAGCAGTATCTCCAGCGGGGAGGACGCCGAGCCCGGCGCGGACGTGAATCCCATCACGGGACAGAGATACTCCGCCGAAGACCGCGAGGGCCCCCAAGTTGAAATGACCGAAGAGGAGAAAGAGCGCGAGGCTGAGAGATTGTTCGTATTATTTGAGCGGTTGAGAGCGACAGGGGTGGTGGATGTGAAAAATCCCGTACAGCAGGCGATTGATGATGGGAGGTTTGAGGAGTTGGATTGAGGAGATTGAAAATCTTCCTTCTTTCTTTTTCACTTTTGACGGCTGGATGGATAGGTGGATGTATGATTTTAACCGAGGGAAAAAGATGCATGAATCGTTGTTGTTAGTTGCGTGAAAATGAGTACACATGATACGCGTACATGTATGATGAGAAACTCAACAGTGCGAGTTCAGCGGTTACGACTGCTCTGGCGGCAATCTACATCCCTAATATATGGGCCACTGCGATAACATGGGTAGAGCGGGAAGCACACCATGAGAAAAGGATACGAACATGTTTAATTTTCAAAAAGCATTGATCATTCGTTTTTCATTCATCTGTAGAGTTTCTTTTCACTGCCGCGCTCAGCGGTGTCTTCCACTATGCAAGCCTTGAAGCCATCTAGCACACACTCCCCTGGCGAGTCGACGTGCTCATCGATCTACCTATTTATGAGGAATCCCCTCCTCCGGCACAGGCTCAACACCAGCGACTTCCGCCGCCTTGGGCTGCTCACTCGCATGCCCCTCAGGCTTCATGAACGGGAACGCCAGAACTTCCTTGATGCTGTAGTTGTTGGTCAAGAACATGGTCAATCGATCGATGCCCATACCCCATCCACCAGTTGGCGGGAGACCGTACTCCATGGCCTTGAGGAAGCCTTCGTCGAGTGGTTGAGCTTCATCATCTCCTTGGGCCTTCTGGCGGGCTTGCTCTTCGAATCGGAGACGCTGGTCGAAGGGGTCGTTCAACTCGGTGTAGGCGTTGATGATCTCCTTCTTGCAGACGAAGGCTTCGAAACGTTCGCACAGACCAGTCTGGGAGCGATGGTACTTCGCGAGCGGCGACATCATCTGGGGGTGGCCGGTGATGAAGGTGGGGTCGATGCACTTCTCTTCGATGAACTCGCCGACCATCTTGTCAATCATGCGGGCATTGGTCAGAGGTGGCGCGCACTCGACGCCAGTCTTCTTGAGCATGCGCTTGAGGAACTCGTTGGTCTCTTGGGTGTGAAGTTGGTCGCCAGGTGGGAACTTCTCGCCGCATGCCTCCTCAAGTGCAGGGATCATCTCCACCTTCTTCCACGGACCAGCCCAGTTGACCTTGTATTCCTCGCCATGCTGGGTCTTGAAAGTGGTGTTGAGACCGCCAGTGACGTACTTGACAATACCGGTGACAAGCTCTTCGGTACGGGCCATGACATCGTTGACATCGGCAAACGCCTCGTAGTACTCACAGGTGGTGAATTCAGGGTTGTGAGTGAGATCGATACCCTCATTACGGAACTGACGACCAAGCTCGTAGACCTTGCTGATACCGCCAATGACAAGCTGCTTCAACGGCAGTTCAGTTGCGATACGGAGCGCGAGGGTCATGTCCAGTTCATTGTGATGGGTGAAGAATGGCATAGCGGTAGCACCTCCTGCAGAGCCCATGAGGATGGGGGTTTCGATCTCGTAGAAGTCGTTGTCGTCAAAGTAGCGTCGAATGTACCTCGTGATGAGTGAACGAGTCTTGAACGTGTTGATGGTGCTCTTGTTCATGATCATGTCCAAGTGGCGGTTGCGGTATCGCTGTTCCTGGTCGGTGAAGCCGTAGTGCTCAGATGGGATCTGGTGAAGACATGGCGCGAGGAGAATGACCTCCTGCGCGAAGATGGACAGCTCACCAGGGTTGTCCTCTCTCTTTGGGTTGGTACGGCCGGGGTATCCAGTGACACCAATGATGTCTCCTCGTCGAAGAATATCATGCTGCTTGGCAAAGGGTACCTCGCTGGTGTTCTCGAAGTTCTGGGCCATGATCTGGATATCGGCGCCATTGACGCTGACCTCATAGAAGCGCAGGTTCTCGCCTGACGTGCGAATGTTGTAGACACGAGCTCCCACGCTTATAGTCTTGTCCTTGATAAACTCGCCCTTCTTCAGATGGCCAAACTCCTTCTCGAAGTTGCGGAGGTCGTAGGTGACATGGAACTTGTGAGGGTAAGGATTGGGGTCGTTGGTCTCCTTCATACGCTTGACGGCGCGAGAGCGAATCTCGAAGTATTGCTGTACAGCACGATCAGACCTCAGACGTTACATGTCCCATTGACTGTTTGACTCACATTAGGATTGAGCTGTGCCTCGTCGTCGGCGGCCTTGCGCTTCGGTGCTGGAGGAGCTTGCTTGGAAGCAGCCGCCTCTGCCTTCTTGGCCTCCTTCTCGCGGGCCTTCTGGCGCTTCTTCAACTCGGTCTTGGAGACCATCCCGCCCGTGACTTCATCCTTCAAAAGGTTGGGCTGGGTGGTGTTGTCCGAGGTCGTCAACTCGCTGACCTTGTCCGCGACAGCTTGGACGCCGTCCTTGACAGCATCAGCTGCCTGTTGTGCCGCCATTGTGTGTTGGTATGCTGTGTGGAGGTGCAGACGGAGGGAAATGCAGTGCGCTTTTAAGCTGGTAAATTTGGAGGGGCTGCGGGAAAAATGAGTCGGTGCTTGACTCATGAGACGACATCAAGTGGGGGCCGAGTCTCCGAGGCGCCGACAACAAAACAACGACTTCACAATGAGTCTACGGATATGAATCACATGTAAGAATCTTGAAGCAAAAGAACCGTTGATACACACTAGAAAGACCTCCCTGTCCAGGCACGCAGCCTCCCAGAGCAACTGCGCTGCAAGACCGAGGTCTTAGGGTATCGCCATGACCTTGAAGAAAAACACCAGTATCCTCCCATTCACCATAAGACTCCCTTGCTTCTCTCAAAGCACATCTCATCTTCCATCACTTCGGTATCGAGTATAGCTTCGCCACGAGCGCATCGAAGTCGGTCATTGTGACTGGCTCCTCTTCCAATATCTTCTTGAGATTCTGCAGTCTGTCCCGGTCGATGTTGGGCGCCTGTGACAATATCACTTGTGCCGTCGGGCAGTTGTGCAGAGGACCTAAGATCTCGTTAACGAGCGGATTCGGCGGCAGTCCTTGCCCTGGTTGAGCAGGGTATGGCGATTGCTGGGGCGGTGGTGGTGCTTGCGCTGTGTACGGATTCGGTGGCAGGCCGCCAGGGTTGGGCGCACCGTAGCCAGTTTGCGGCGGGCCATTGTTCGATGGCGAGAATGATGGAGTCTGCGCAGTAATGGGCGACCCTGCAGGTCCACCAATACTCTGGCGCACGTGAGGAGGCAGGTGGCCGTTTGCTGGCTGTTGACTTGGCGTGGCATCTGCGGCGACTGGTGGATCATCAGGTGCACGAGCAACGACAATCGTGGCCAGAAGCATCCGCTCTTCGATCGGTGTCTTGATATTGCAGTCTTCCAGCATCTTGATATGGGCGGGCAGCTCTCGACCGGCCTCGACTGGGATGATGTAGAAGTCTTTGACGAATCGCGGCTTCGATTTCTCCACCACGGCGTATCTCTCACGGCTGTGAAAGTACTGGAAGATGTTGTTGAAAGGCTCGAGGTTGTCGTATGGTGTCAACGCCAAGACCGACACATCACTGCTGTTGCTCCAGCGCAAGCCGCACAAGTAGTCCTCGGCTTTGTTAACCGCCAGGCGACCATCGATTGAAAGCGTCTCGGGCAACAGAGTATGCGACGTCGATGAAAGATTGCGCCCTGCGACATAGCGCGCATTGACGGTCATTTCATCTTCACTGGCTTGAACTAGCTTGCCACGCCAGACGATAGCGTCAGTGCCGGTCGCATCGGCCGGTGAGTACGACTCGTCGTTGTCATCAAGCATCCTATCGATATCAGGGTCGTCTCGAGCGCCGTTCGGCTGGACTGGAACAGGTGCACTGGGCCGCCGTACGTGTGTCGCCGCCGGTCGTGGTGCTGTTCCTGTCGGCGAGTTGGCAGTCTTGGCCCAGATGTTGTTCATGTCGAATTGCTGCTGGCTTGAATGCCGTCGCTCAACCCCTGGATCCGCCTGTTGACTGGTGTCAATGGCAAGTGGTGGTTGGTGGTTGGCAACCGGTGAGCCGCCTTGGGTCGATTCTTTGCGTGCCACGCTGGGCTCAGGCACTGGCTCGGGATCTGCTGGCGCTTCGTTGCTCTGTTGTCCCTCCATCTCGATCTCGTGAAAGCCTTTGTGATCTTGCTTGTAGCGTGGGCCCTCCTCCTCGACAGCAATCGCCTGCCTGTCCAATGCCTCCTTCATAGCTGCACGCTCTTTCTGGAGCTCCTCACTTGCCATGTCACTGCTGCTCATTGTCGACAGCTCGTCCGCCGTGACCGAGCCGTTGAGCAGGCGCTCGACAAGAATAGAGTTCTTCTTCAGATTGGCGTTGAGCGCCATGAACTGCTGCTTGTAGCTGGGCTCCTTGGATCCGTGATTCATGTGAAGCGCATACTCGATCCTCGCGCCGTAATGCTCTCCGAGTGAAGCTGGAGTCTGATTTGCAGGCAGCTTAAACCCAGACTTGACGCGCTGCTGAAGGTCGCCTGTCACGATCTTGCTCAAGGCCTGAGCAACACTTTGGCGCTCTTTTGGCAGTTGAGCGATCGGCACCAACGCAGTCTCCGTATCCATGACGACTTTGCTCTCGGCAGGTGATGACTTGCGACGCTTGTCTTGTCGTCCAGCTCGTGCAGGCTTCTCTTCAGGCACGGGCTTCGGCGCGGGCGCGGGCTCGGGTGCTGGCTCCTCTTCTCTCTTTCGTTTGTTGTTCGCCTCTTGCTTGCCGTTTGTCGCTGGCGCTGGTGTTGGTTCAGGGTCGGCCGGTGGCTGTGGCGCGATGTCCTTCTTCAACCACGCTGGTCGGTATTCTTCCCCTTGCTTGCCCTTGCTCTTTCGGCTCTTGCTCATCTTCTTCTCATTCTGGTACAGCTTGTTGCGCGTCTCCCAAATCTTCTCCCCACGCTGCAAGGCCTGGATGGTCTCCTCATGCTCCTCTGGGCGACATTCTTCGCAGAAATAATGATCCGGCACGTCCTCCTCTTCATCCGGAATTCCCATGCACACGTTATGTTGCCAGACCGTGCACGCGTCACATCCGATGAACGCGCGCTTGTCCTTGGGATTCGAATTACCACATATGCAGCGAATGACCTCCTCCTCCTCGTCATCTTGAGGCTCCGGCTCTGTCGACTTCTTGGGGGGCTTGCTCTTCGGGGCTGCTCTGGCGGGCTTCGGGTTGGGCGCGGGCGACGACGAGGCGTTCTTATGCTGCCCCTTGGTGGCTCGACCCGAGCGGCGTGGTTCTTCTATTACCTCGTTAGCAAGCGCATCTGTAGTGTATGCGGACGGCCGTGCTCCGTGTATCTCCACGTAGCACGCCGTCTACAGGTGTGTTTTCTGGCTTACCTGACATGTTGGATGGTCGCAAGGCACGCTCGGAGATGCTGACAGGAGGCGTAGTGGACAGCAGGACGGAGAATAGACAACTTCACACGCTCTCAAAACTTCACGTAGTATCTAGGTAGTACGCGGCCTTCCGCTCGCTATGTCCACCGCGTTAGCGCGTACACACTTCCACCAGACTCCCGCCAGATGGTCAGCTTGCCGCCTACACTCGCCGCAAGATGGCAGTCGTGGGACTTGTAATCTCGCAGGGGAGAGGTGAGTGTTTTGGCAGTGTTTCTGTCAGTGCGCGGGCTCTGTGTCTTCGGCCTCCGTGTGTGCGTAGAGGCAAACAAGGTCGCATAGAGCCCGGCGCCAGTCCGTATAGGCGGTTCTGGGAGCGTGCGACTGCGATAGAGGCACGGCCGACGCGCGAAGAGGGGTGTATGGGACGGTAGCAGCTGTGAAAGTGGCTGCTCTGTGTCGTTGTTTCTCCGTTGGTCCGATCACGCGACCAGGCCTTTACCACAAACAGATGATCAATAACGCGTCGCGAAGGTAATTCGACCGTGAATAGCGGGATGATGGCGATGAAAAGGGCGGTGTTGATGGCGCGCTCCAGGGGGAGGAGGTGTTCGCAGGAGGGAAGTGGTGGTGTCGAGCACGAAGCTTTCTTGCCTTCCTCCCGCCTGGAATTTGCCGAGATACACGAACCTGGTAAAGCTAGTGCTGGGACGACAAGCGAGCTGACAGAAGTCGTGTCTCGTCCAGCGACATCACATGCAAAACAGTCTGTTTGACACAACTCAAATATCACAGCACCATGGCCGACGTACGCTCCATGCTCAAAGCTTCCCGTGAAGCACGACGAATCAACCACCCATATGCCTCATACACAGCCGACGGGAAGCTCCTCTGCAACCTCTGCGAAACGACAATCAAAACCGAAAGCGCATGGCAGTCGCATCTTCATTCGACTCAACACATTGCCCGGCAGACTAGAGCGAGAGAGGCAGCAGAATCACAGTCTGCAAGTGGTACGGCGAATAACAAGAAGCGTAAAGCAGACGCTTCGCCTGAAGATGCAAAGAAGAAGTTGAAGGCTACCGTGGTACCGCCCAGTGGAGAAGAAGATGAGGAAGAACAGGGGCCGCTGGAGACAAACGGTCATGGGATACCTTCAAGATCTCGGAAAGAAGAAGACGAGAAAGCCTCTGATCCAAACGAACTCGCTGCGTTCGAACAGCAACTCATGCAAATGGAAGCCAGCATGAAGAAGACACAGCCGGAACCTACGATATCAGCACCGCCCATGACGGCTGAAGAGATTGCCGCACAAGCGAGAGAGGAACAAAGTACGCAAAGGGAGAGGAGAGCGGCGGAGCTGGAAGCTGAGAAAGAGGATGCGGCGCGGGTTTTGGAGGATGAGTTCGAAGAGATGGAGGGGTTGGAAGCGAGGGCAAGGAAGTTGAGGGAAAGGAGAGAGATGTTGAGGAAGGGGAGAGAAAACGGGGCCACAACAGAGGCGGCAATTGAGGTGGAAGCACAGACGAATGGGACAGTCGAGGACGGCGGTGGCGGGCACGGGGAAGATGATGAAGACGACGAAGACGACGAAGACTTTGATGAGTGGGAATTTGGCGCACAGTGATGACACAAAAGATACCCAAAAGTCGATGGAATGGATGCAGGAGTTCAAGATGTTATTCCAAAGCTATTCTGCAGTTCGTGCTGCCCGTCGAACCTTCCCACCGACCATTGCGCCTCTCCAAGTTGCACGCTCGTTCGAATACAACAACTTCTGCCAACGCCACACTCCAATACCACATTCAACAACACATCTCTTCAGTCCACCCACTACTCGCCCTTCCGCCTATCCCGCAAATGCCTTCTTCGCATACGCCTTCACAATCTCGGTGCTCTCCGCATCGAACTCAGCCACCTTCAACAACTCATCGCACGCCGGTCGCCGCGTCTGCAAGTCAGTGTACTTCAACACCATGGTATTGCGAGTCAATTCACGCGTGAACTCATTCCCGATCTTGAGCAATGGGTTGGACGGACTCTGGTTCACGAAATCCACCTCTGCGACACGCAAGGGCTTGATGGACAGATACTCGCCCCAGAGCTCAACAGGCTTATCCGCCAAGCCGTTGTTGTTGTGCGTGTAGATGGGAGCTTCAGTCACGGTCTCTCCATGTTGCGTAAGGATACCCCAATTGCGACTCTTCATCATCCACAGCTTTCCATCTGGCCCCATCACGACTCCTGGATCGCCCAGCTTTGCGTTTGGGTCTGTTGATGGACGCATGTCTAGATGGCGGACGGTTATTCCATGACGTTGGTCAGAATGCAAGACACCGTGGTCCTTCGTTGCGTGGACCGGACGGAAAGGTGGGTTGATGGCGTGTGACGTGAGTGGGTGCTGCGTTGGGATGTGGTACTCGCCAATCGTTATTGGAATCGGGAAAGGCGGACTCTTGGCGTCTTGCTGCACGTCTGTGGGAACGGGATTCGACTACAGTGAAGCCATCTTCGTCATCTTTGGATTGCGATGATGGGCCTGAGGGGTCGGGGGCAGATGCGAAGGAGATGGGTTGTGCTCTGTTGTTGACAGCAGGACCATGGCAAGGCTGACGGAAGTTGAGAGCGTTGGTTTGGGTTGTGATATCCGCGAGAGGGATACGGCTATAGGAGATGGATTCGTTTGCGGATTCATTGCCGACAGGAGGTGCGTTCTCCTTGTCTTCTTCAGCTTGTTGCATCGCGGCCACTCTTCTGCTTCTCCATGGCTGCGGTGCCTGGCTATTGCCAGCTGGCTGGTCGGCGTCTGCCTGGCCACTATCCAACACATCCCAAAGTGTTCCCGACGACATCTTTGCTATGGAAGCCCTTTTGAGACGGAAATGGAGGTCGACGTCGTGGAAAATACTTAAACATGGCCGGGAGCGCGTCACTCGCGTTGTGCGTTACGAGGCTTCACGATGAAGCTGACAGTCGAGTCACTTGCTTCGCGCGGGCGCGCATTATCTTTGTTCGCCTCTAGTGAATGCACGCCGAACAAAGGCTTTGTACCTTGCGACGCCAGTTCAGCAATCGTGCACAGTTTTGGAAGTCTCATGCAAGCAATTGCTCAACAACTCCCGTCCGGCTCGTGAAAATCTACCCCTTATCGCCCGATCAACCCACCTCCAGCACCATGCCTTTCTTAAGCACGCTCGATAGCGATCATCAGACTGCATTTTCTGGCCATGATGTGAACGCTAAAGAAGATACCGTCACCCTTGAATCTGCACCGGAGCCCTCTATCCACCAAAGCAGCGGAGAACAGATCATGGCAATGCCTGCCCGCTTCTTTGACGAGCTCCAAAGAGCCACCCAAGCTCACGTCGATCTGAAACAGTTTGAACGACAGGTCGACAGCTTAGCTCAAAATCTTGGAAGAAGACTCGAGGCGTTGGACGAACAGATCCCGAAAATCCAGGAGAGCCTCACGACAGCCAAAGCGGAAGGTCTGCGCTCCGATTCCGAACAGTACATCGAGATGCAGCAAGAAATCCAGAAACGTGTCGATGAGAAGGATGAGATATTCGGCGGGCTGGAACAGATGCAAGAGAATTTCCGTGAATACTGCCAGGAATACAGGGAGCGCACTGAGGGCTTTTTCGAGATGTGGCGTGAGATTGCCAACCAAGGATTGCGGGACATGCGTCGAGATCGCGAGGTAGTCCTCCTCCCCAGCGCTTTCTTGTCGATGAAGAAGAAGGAGCCACCGAAACAGGTCGCTACAGCACGACCACCACTAGCCATCCCTCAAAAGGAGCCTGCTCCCAGACTTGACGCCCCACTTGCTCCCTCCGACCCCAAGCGTAGGTACCTCACTCCTGACTACACCAAGTTCCAGCGGCAACTCGACCACGCCTATCAGCAACTCGACAATCGACATGAGCGCTTCCAGCGCGATGTCCTCGATGGGTACCAACGATGGCGACGTGGCGAGCCAGGCTGTGAGGAGAATCGCAGATTAACAGGCGGCACTTTGAAGAGACGAGAGAGATGACAAGAAAGATCATTTCTTCAGAGAAGCAGCTCGCTGAGAAGAAAGACGAGTTGTACCGAAACGGCATCCAAGCGCCTGGGAGTGATGTCGAGAGTGGGTTCATCGATGATCTCGACGATGGATATACCGACTCAGAGGCAGGGGACGATGAAGCAGATTACGGGCATGATGATCCTAAAATCCTGAAGTGGCTCAATCAGGTAGATCAGCCTACTAATACGCCACCTTCTCCGCCCCACGATCTAGATCCTTGGCCTGCCAGGGAGATGGAGATCTGGGAGAGCGTAAGCATGATCGCTGAGGGTCCACGGCGTCGGAGAATTGATCGATGGGCGGAGCACGTGGAGGAATTGAGAGAGAAAGGAGAAGGGCCGAGGCCGGTTGAGGTTCCGGTTAGGACTTCTTCGAGAGGATGGAGGAAGAGGGTTGGTGTGGCGAGGTAATAATTGAAGTCTGCCCGAAAATGTGGGCGAGACATGACGAGTATGTATTGAACATGAAGATGGTGTGTGACAAAAACAAGTATAGCCTTGACACATTTCCAAGATAACAGCTTAGGTCTCCGAATCACAACCAACAGCACCTCCCGATCCTCCAACACTTCTCCCGCCAACCCCGCGATATTAGTATCAACATACAACCCAATCCGATTATCCACTAAGACTTCAGGCTTCGAACCCAATGGTACTGTCCGTATACAACACGAACGACCAGCCCTGTACCAAAGAGTATCTGCATCTGGACTCTCTAGTTTCAAAAACCAAGCCTGCTGATTCCTCAGCGTGGAGACTTTTTCAATGCTGGCATGGAAAGCAGATCTAATGCGAGTGTCTTCCAGGTGGGCCTCCTCGACAGAACGGTACCGGTGCACTAAAGGTTACTGACGGTCTTCCATGAGAAGCCACGTGAAGAGTCGAGCTTTTTGTTCCGTGGTCTGAATTACGTCCGCTCTGGTAATGCAGGCGAGGAACGTGATGAACATTTCTAGCCTAGCATGAGAAACGGGAGCGTGGCAGCCTCGTGTGCAAGAAGCCGACCTCATCGCGGTCAAAACTCTCTCCATATACATCCTCAAGTAGACCCCATATAGACGGCGGCCGAAGGAGCCATCTCACGTGGCTTTCACAGCGGTGGTAGACTTCGGAAAAGTTCTACATCTTGGTCGAGGAATGGACTGCTCCATACGCTAAAAGGGGCTCTACTTTCAATGTTCTAATCTCACCAGCACAAGCGGCAGCCTTGTCGGGCATAGTTTGCGCCGCGGGCGTGGATCCTGAGATCCTGAGACGGGAAAGTGATGCGCCCTACGAAGCGAATGTGAAATTTATGATGGTGACGCAGAGACCTTGCATACAATATCACAAATAAATCATATCTTCGATGTTCCGAATATACTGTGGCCAATCAAGTCATCAATCAGACCATAAATCATAGAAGCAGCAGCACCGTGGCCTCCTCCTCGATGGAAGATATCAAGTCGAAGCAGCCCTGGATCGAAACGCCTTTGGTGTGGTCCAGACGACTGTCCAAATTGGCTGGCTGGTGGGCTACTCTTCATTCCCATGTGACGTGAGAAGACAATCTGACTCGTACAACAGTAACATCTATCTGAAACTCGAAAACACCCAACCCTCCGGCTCCTTCAAAAGCCGCGGCATGAGCAACTTCGTCCGTGCACATCTTCCAGAAAATACCAACACTACAACCCATTTCTTCTGCTCCTCTGGTGGCAATGCGGGACTTGGCTGCGTATCCGCCGCAGTCACATACAACTGTCCCGCGACGATTGTGGTTCCGCTGTCGACTTCGGCGTACATGATCGATAAGATTAAAGACGCAGGCGCCACGGAAGTGATCCAGAAGGGAGCATCGTGGTATGAGGCCGATCAGCACCTGCGCAATGAGTTGTTGCCTGCAGCGAGGGAGAGGGGTGAGAAAGCGGTGTATGTCCCTCCGTTCGATGATCCGGTGGTTTGGGAGGGGCATTCGAGTTTAGTCGACGAGGTCGTGAGGCAGCTACCTGAGGTGGACAAGCATTATCCGTCAAACACAGACAAGGCAACCAACCCCAGTATCACGGCACCTGGGATCCCTGATGCCATCATCTGCAGCGTCGGCGGCGGAGGCCTGCTCAACGGGATCATGCAAGGTCTCGAACGACACTCCGCGTGGCGAAGTCCAAATAATACTAAAGTTCTCGCCGTGGAGACTGTGGGAGCAAATGCCCTCTCGGAGTCAGTAAACCAGGGTGAGCTGATCACCCTCCCTGAAATCACCAGCATAGCCACCACGCTCGGCGCTCGCAGAGTCAGCGCGCAGACATTCACATACGCCATGAACAAGGAGCGAGTACGGTGTGCCGTCCTCTCGGATAAAGAAGCCATCCAGGCGTGCAAGAACTTCGCGAATGATGAGAGGATTCTGGTCGAGCCTGCTTGTGCGGTTTCGCTCGCGGTGGTGTACTCGGGGAAGCTGAAGGAATATCTCCCTGATTTGAAGCCTGAGAGTCGGGTAGTGGTAGTGGTTTGTGGGGGCAGTGGGTTGTCGGTGGAGATTTTGAATGGATATATCAAGAAATACCTAGATTAAGAAAGACGACGAAGTCATACACTTATTAGAACCCTACATATCTCATGACGTATCACGGTAGTTCGATCTCACTCCCCACGATCTGAGGAAACCTCGCCGTGGAATTTTTGTCCACCAGCATATACTCCCTGATCACCGCCGTTCCGTTCGCAATCGCATCTTTCTGCTCATCCGTACACGTGGCGTTGACATCGAGCAGGTAACAAACTTGCAGGACCTCCGTCGGTAGAACTTCATTCTTGATGCTGTAGGTATCCTTCAGACCTTTGGATTGATAGACGTCTGCGTTGTCGGGGAGGATAGGATGCGTCCCGGTAGCAATATCCACGCCCGCCATTGCTCGCTCGATAATGCGGAAGGCGGTTTCGGGTTGTAAGCCTGCGATGCCGTGCCCGGCCTGGTAGACGCGGGAGAAGGAGAGGGGGCCGTATTGACGAACGGTGCCGCCGATGTAGGAGGCGTTGGTGTGGATGTCTTCGTAGCCGGAGGAGGGGAAAGGGGTGGTGGAGGTGGAGTTAATTGCGAGGGAGACGGCTTCACCGCCGAGCCAGTTCTACGATGGATATCTGTTAGTTCGAGAGGGGAAGTTGGGAAAGGGAGTGGGCTTACGCAAATGTAATCTTTATCGCCATACACAAATGCGACTTTGATGCCTTTCTCTAACCGGTATTCGAGTTTGTGGATCCAGCCTGGACGGGCGAAGTCGCCGACTCGTTGATTCGCCTCTCCGACCCAGGCTGAGCCTGATGTCCAGTTAACTCGCATTCCGAGAGCTTGCTGGACATGAGGTCGTAGCAGGTACGCCCTCGTGAATGGCGGTGCTCGTGACAGGGACTCGGGCACCGTGATATCGTAGAAACTGCGTTCGGAATTACCATATGGACCTTGGACTTTGCGATCGCAGAAACGGCCGGCGTCGTTGCAGACCCGATTGACGGATTCGTTGAGGCGTAGGTTGAAAGGGTCGAATTCGAGCGATAGGTTTCCGCATTGGTACGCCTGATCGAGACATCCGCCTTCACGGTTCAGATCGTGGAGCATTTGCTCGAGGATGGTGTCGTTGACGGCGCGAATGCCGTAGGTGTTGTTCACGGCCATTTCGGGGTACGAGAACCAGGATCCGGGTAAGTCGATGCAGCCGCTGTCGATGATCAAAGTGTCCAAAGGAAGGACGTATTGCTCGCCAGGGATCTTCCATGTGCCGTTTCTGATTTTCTGGTTTTGTTCTTCGAAGAAATTGAAGATCGCTGGGCCGTACTTGCCGCCATACGAGACTCCAGACAGGCTGACGCTGCTCGCCTCATGTTCTGGAAATTCTTGGAACCAGGCTTGGGCGAAATGCCATAGTGCGTATGCGGCGTCGATGGAGCCAAAAGATGTCTTGTAAGTATCAGTGCTCGGCCATGTCCCAACTGCAAGAGTATTGTTCTGTTCGGGTATGGGATCGCCATCATTCAAGAGGGTCACATTGCCATTGATCCGGTTGTACGTGATGTTCTGAAGCGTATCGTAAGACAACCCAACTTGAACAGGCTGGTCGATGAACATTAGATTCGCCTCGTTGTTCCAAGACCACTCATTCAGATAGGTGGAATTGGTATCAGAGTGGACTTTGCAGGGCCCAACATTGCCGAAAGCATTGCCTGATGATGACGCGCCTGGGCCACCGTTGATCCAGATGAGCAGCGGAGCGTTCTGAGGGTCCCTTCGACGTGCTTCGAAGAACCAGAAGAATGTGTTGATGGGCCATGACTGGTTTGCTACGCCATGCTCGGCCAATACGTACGGAGGCAAGTGGACATAGCCAGCGAAAGATCGGACGCCGGGTGTGGTTTCGCAGATGAACGTCTGCGAGGGCCCGTAAGCATGCTGAAAAAAATGTGGCCGGGCTTGACTTGCCTCTTTGTAGCTGATCGTGACATTGTCGTTGAATTGCGAGTGTATGACTGTCAGCCCATCGGGGATTGGAGGAAATTGAGCAGAGGTCAGCCACGAGAAGGCGACCGTGAAGACGAGGATTCTGTTCATTGTGCCTTCCAATGATGATGAAGCGCCTGTGTTTCAAGTCAAAGGTTGATCTGCATGGTTAGGACCTCCAAAGCTCGGACGAGTCTATGACTAGGCCCAAACAACACCCCGGTTCCGTCAACATGGAAGATGGTGTTGGCATTGAACTTTATACAAGGCTGAGCGGTGCCGATATCACCTTTCCTCTTTGGCATCGAGAGGCAATGCGGTCGGCTTAGTTATAGCTTTGGCTTTTGGAGTCACTGGGCACTTGGCTGCACGAACTCAGGTGTAAAGGCCTTTCGATTTCGCAATTTAGGGGTATCATCAGCAGATAGAAGCAAGAAGAGCAAGAACGGAACCCAGGGCCAGACCAAAGGCACATCACCTCAATATGCGACTTCAGACTTGGCCGTCTTCTGGTGCTGCGGCGCATCCCTCAGCGTGCCCAGATCCATCGCCAGAGTCCCTCGTTGAGGTACCTGTACAGTGTCCAAGCCCGCTGACTGTATACTCTCCAACCAAGCAGCTTCCTCGGCGTCTTCTTGACCCTCCTCATTTTCCGGTGTTTCGTCTTGGACGATGTGAGTTCCCTGCGCAGAGCCGTTGTGGTTGACGTTCGGGTTGTAATCCGGGTTGCTGGGATGGAGAACATCGATCATGTGACTGCTTCCTCGTCAGATATTGCCCACTCTCATGATGAATCGAGAGCTATACTCAGCTGCCTGCGCCGTGATTTGTTCCAGAGCCTCGCGCTCTCTCCTCAACTCCTCCTCGTCAACCTGCCCGACTCCATCGCTATCGACTGCGCCATACGACGGCTGGTCCGCGGAGTCCAGAATGCGGTCAAGGTCCCCCTATACGCCACAAGAATCAGTCATGACGTTCCACTACCACAGAGTGCATCGAAGAACATACGTCCTGCGAGGGATGCCGATTCAGGCCAAGGCATGATGCGCAGATTCCCATCCCATCAAGAATGTGACCAGAAGTTTTAGACGCCGCTCGCACACATCACGCACTCTGAAACGAGCACTCTTCTCCTTCCAGTATCTCCCCTACGGCGTATACGGGGTAGCGGTGGTTGCGTAATGTGGAGTTGTCTTGGATTGGCGAGTATTTGGTGTCGCCGCGAAATGAAGGTCGGCAGACGAATGCGAGCGTCCGATCCGATCCGATCGGCAGGACTTACCGAGATGTTAGTCCCCGGCTAAGCGAGTCCAATCAAAACCTATAGCCCTCACACTCTATCGCCACTTCACTTCTTGCTCCGTCACACAACAGGAGAGGGCATATTTCTCGCCCTGAGACACGGCAGCCTCGGTCATCTCCTGGCTATGACCCAATATGCCATCTTGTCTCGTTTTCACGTACCCGGAGACCCGGATAGCGACCGGACACGATGTTCCTCACGAAAGAGCGAAAACGATCGCGAACACTTTGAGAGTAGCCAGTTCAGGATCAAAAGCTATTTGCCGACTGCTCTCTCGAGATATGGTTCCTGATCTGTATCCTGTGGCGAAACGTGTTAAGACGCGCGACGCGCTTCTGACATTCCTCTGCGCAACCACTTAGACACCTCTTTTGGGCAGCGAGGCCAGCGAAGAACGACGTTCCTGCAAGGCTCGAGCCCTCTCGTGGAAGACTTTTCGAAGCTTGGCATACGCCCCAGCAAGGGAGGGCGGAGATGTTCGCTCATTTGCATGCCAACCCAATCCCTCGGAATGGACCATCCTCAACATCCAGAGAGAACCTCGGAAGTGCCTACATGGTACGAGCTTAATGGCGGGTTGGGGGCTATTCTCAGGCGCAAGGTTGGTAAAGTCATTTGAACCATCGTTGCACATCTCCTACATCGCCTACCTATTCTGTGTGCTGCCTCCACCACACTGACCTGCAGCAAAGCCTTCACGCCGACCAGCCTCTGCAAGGCAAGAACGCGGCTCGCCTTCTGGGTGGTCAGCCTCGCGCGAAGGGGAGGCTGATCTGCAATGTGCAGTCCATCGTCAGCATTATAAGACGTTTCAACGCTCCTGTTGCCATTGAATCTGCAGACTCTCTCACCAACACCAGATAGCCACTCGTTTGAGCTACACATACTAATCCGAAGCGCTTGCTGGACACTCGCTAGCAGCAGCGGCTTCAACATGCGCTCGTTCACCGCGCTGGCCTTGGGCCTTTCTCTCATTCATCCATCGATCGCTCGCGTCGCTCACGACTCAGCGCCCGAAGTTCAGCAACGAGATGGCCATAACGACGTCGTGAATTGGTTCAACCGACTCTTCCGGAAGGAAGTTGGAGATTCAGTCGAACGTCGCCAAGACGACAACTGTTACATTGATGCCTACTACAACTTCGTCTTCAACTCGTCCTTTGGAGAGGAATATTGCCGAGCCCTCATCGGCTACCCTGCAGTCACCAATGTCGTTGATTTCACTCCCGTCAGGTAAGATATGTATCCAACTTAACTGCGAACATGGCTAATGCACTTCAAGCACGTCGAATTATCTCTACACCACAATTGTTGGTACTCAAAATGTAGTGACCACGTCAACTCCCGTCGTCACCGTTACCGTCACTCGTGCAGCAGGCAAGCGTGATGCGGAGCCAGAACCAACGCCGGCGCCCCGTGATGTCAGCAATGCCGACATTGCACGCATGTTCAACCAGTTCCGAAGACAGAATGCGGCGAATGAGACGTCCAGCGTTCCAGATCCTGTCATGTCTGCATCTTTCATCAGCGCTTGTGGATGCCAGACATACGGAGGCACGACTACAACTTCTACTTCGACCCATGCGCCACGTATTGTAACACGATCTGGATACGGACGATCGACTCAAACGATTGTAACTACTGTGACGGCAGCTACCACAACAGCAACCGTCACTGTCGGCCCATCTGGGGCAGTGGAATCATCCACTTCCGCGGCAGCTCCCCCTCCACCATCATCCGCCTCTGGCGCAGGCCCAGAGCCCACTGCGCCTGCCTTCACCTGCCCAGAGGACAACAACTCAACCGTCAGCCAGCTAATCGGCAATGATCGATACGACTACCAAGTCCTCTGCGATACGGACATTCTGGACCCAGATTCGTTCAACGATTTCACCTACGGTACATTCTCAGAATGCGCGGCTGCTTGCTCGCTTGGAAACGATCGCTTGAATTCGCCGGCCTGCCAGGGTTTCACCTACTATTCGTCTCCCAACTTCGCCGGTTACAACTGCTTCCTCAAGCCGACCGTCAACCGCACCGTCGATGCCATTGGCATTGATTCTGCTATTCTGCAGAGAATCGCCGTTGGCATTTCGAATGATGATCCGCAAGGCACCAACACCGAGGCGGGACCTTTTGCGGAACCAACCCTGGAGCTATCGGAAGTTAGCTCTGCATTCGATTCAGCTTTGGATGGAAGCTCGACTTCTATCTCGGTTATTACCCCTGGCCCAGTGATCATCCCTAGTGGCCTGCTTGTCGTTGGCCCTTACACTGCCTACTCGACTTACGTTTCTGACGGAACACCCTTCTCCTCAGGCACGGGCTTCTCGACGTACGTCAGCACGAATGGAAGCTGGTACTCCTACTACTATACGTCCTTCACCCAAGCCTGGGCGTCGGCGGCCACCGTCTATGGGTTCTCCGAGGGTGGCACTGCTGTGACGAACACCACCGATACCCAGTCGAGTCAATCGAGCAATGCGGATGGTTCGTACGTGATCACCACAACCAACACTACCACGAACTTCCTTGAAAATGGTGACGCAAACATCACCACTGCTGTGGGGAGTGCTTACTATGCTGCGAATGGCACTCAAACTTCCACTTCTGCCACAACATTCTGGACAATCCAGACAGGTGCTGCTGGAGGCGGCAGTGGAGGCGGTGCTGGCGGCTCAGGCGCCGGCGTCATCACGTCGACCCTCCCTGGCTCATCTTGGGCGTCGGTCATTGTCAGCTCTGGCGGAACTGCATTCGTGTCTAGCGGCGCTGCATCTGGACAAGCTGCTCAGACTCCAGCCCCAAGCACTACTGTTGTCTCCACCCTCGTCAGCTCTTTCGGTACTGCGTGGAGCTCTGGCTTCGCAATCTCAGGCGTCATCAGTGGCGGTGGTGCCGGGGGCGCAAGCAGCACAGAAGCATCCGGAGTTGTCTCGCCTTCTGGAAGCCTGGTCCCAATATCTTCTGGCGTCGTCTCGAATGGAATCGGTGGTGCAAGTAGTTTTTTGCTATCTGGCGCTGTTCCATCATCTGGATCTCCTGTTCCAATTTCGTCGACTCTACTCTCTACCGGGATCAGCGGCAAATTCTCGTCGTTCGGCTCTGGTGTTATTCCTTCATCTGGATCTCCTCTTCCAATCTCCTCGACACTGTTGTCCACTAGTATTGGCGGCGAGTTCTCCTCGTTCGCCTCTGGTGTCATTCCTTCGTCTGGCGCCTCTTTGACGCCGTTATCCACTTTGCTCTCCACTGGTATTGGTGGTGCCAGCTCAGGTGGAGCCTCTGGAGCGATTCCATCATCTGGTGTCATTCCTTCATCAGGCGCTTCCTTCTCGCGCATCTCTTCGACAATCACCAGCGGTGGTACCGGCTTTGCCAGTTCGACTTTCGATTCGGGTGCGATTCCATCATCTGGCAGCCCATTCACCAACACCAACGGCAACCGCTCCGCTACAGAGTCGACGACGTTCGCTAGCCCAAGCGCAAGCTTGCCTACGGGATCGCTTCCAATCGGCACCGGCAGCTCAGGTGTTCCTTTCACCAACTCACTCGACACGAGGTCGGGCAGCCTTCCGCCTTCTGGTACTGGTCCAACAGGATACTTACCCCCAGGTACGGCTCCCGTTGTCACCTCGCCGACTGGTGAGACCTTCACGCAATCTATCCCAGTCCCACCATTCACCAACTCGCTTGGCTCGAGGTCGGGATCTCTGTCTCCATCAGGTAGCCTACCAAGTGGCGCTGCTCCCACGGGACCGGCTGGCTACGTACCACCATCTGGTCCAGCTGGCTATGTACCACCAGGCACTGCACCAGCAAGCAGCGGCCCACCATCGAGCGGATTCCCTTCAAGCTCTGGCGTACCCTTCGCCAATTCTTTGGGCACGAGATCAGGAAGTCTGCCTCCATCGGGCACGGCACCTTTGAACACTGCACCCATCGGGACAGGTCCATCCAGCGGTTTCCCTCCTCTAAGTACCGGACCCAGCGGAACTGCACCTCTAGGGACTGGCAGCTCTGGTGTTCCGTTCACCAACTCGCTCGGCACGCGATCGGGCAGCCTCCCTCCTTCGGGCACTGCACCTCTGAACACCGCCCTGATCGGTACTGGTCCATCAAGTGGCTTCCCGCCTTCAGGCACTGCTCCAACATTGCCTGCTCCTCTCGGTACAGGCAGCTCTGGTGTGCCTTTCACAAACTTGCTCGGCACGCGATCCGGCACGCTACCACCATCAGGAACAGCCCCCATCGGTACAGTCCCAACCGCACCATCAAGCGGCTTCCCATCAGCATCAACAGGCTTTCCATCAGCATCAACAGGCTTCCCACCAGGCACATCACCAGTCCCGTCCTCAGGCTTCCCACCATACCCCACCGCCGCAAGCAGCTGCGTGACCAACTACCTTGGCACAACAACCATGTTCATGACCGTCACCGAATTCGGCTGCTACTCCAGCTGTCCAGCCGTCACCACGACAGAATTCGGTTGCTACTCCAACTGCGTGCCCGCCGGTGGATACGGCAACACCCCACTGACATTCGGTCCACCCGCCTTCGGTGGTGGTGTTGGCGGTCCAACCGCAAGACCGTCGTACTAAATCTGTGGGATGAAGGGAGTTAGGTTGTGCAGGAAATGTTTGGAGGCGCATCGGATACATGCTGAAGAAATGAACGAACGAGGGAAGGAAGAGGGTTTAATGAAGTCACGTCAACGATTTATAGATTTTATCCTGCTGGGTCAAGGATTTTTGTTAGTTATGAAGTTTTTTGAGAATGGCAATTTGCTTTACAGTCATTTCGAACTCATTCTTTCCGTTCTATCTTTTTGATCATGACACTTTACTGGCTCTTGCGCTTCAGCTTTTGCAATTTTTCCATCCGTGGACTTGCTGCTCTAGATTCGACAGCGGTGATCGACTGCACGGCAGCGAGCTCTGGAAGGGAGTGCGAAGGACAAGAACAGAGGTGGGCAATTAGCGTTTCCTTGAAGTGCGTGACTTGTAATTCTACTCAAGGCGAGCGTCTTCAGCAGGAGCCGCTTTGCAAACCCCCTCAAAGCTCCTCCAGGAACTTATTAATATACCTAACCGTCTCCCCCGTCTGCTCAATATACGGCCAATGCCCACTCCCATTCAGCAACACACTGCCCCGAAAATCCGTACTCGTCACATTATACCCCTCCAACGCCCCACGCACAATATACGTCTGCCAGTCATACTTCCCACCCAGAAAAAACGTCGGCACGGTGATTTTGCGGCCCGCCCAGAGCAGACCATCATTCGTGAGGGGCCCTGGCGGGGAGGTGAGCACGCGGTAGTAGTTCAGCGCGCCCTGGAAGCCCGTGCGGGAGAATTCCTGCACGTAGACGTCGACGTCGGCGTCGGGGAACCAGGTTTTCGAGACGGAGGCGTTTTGGCCGTAGTTGAGCGTCGCGAGGGTCTGCGAGACGGATTGGTTCGCGAGCATGATGTAGAAGTAGGGGACCTGGGCGAGGTCGGACGGGTCGGAAGAGGGAAGGGGGTGCGGGGGCGGGAATTGCGCGAGGTAGGCGGGGGATTTGATGAACCATTCGATGCGGAAGAAGGCGTGGAGGGAGTTGTTTAGGGCCGTGGGGGTGAGGAAGTCGTGGGCGGCGGAGGGCTGGGAGTTGTACCATTGGTAGTTTCTGCGGGGTGGGGTGAGGTGTTCGAGGGCGGATTCGACGCCGGCGTAGGTCCAGTCTGGCACGGAGAGGGTGCTGGGTGGGGAGGGGGTGGTGGGGAGGTGGAAGGGGGGTTGTTGTGGGGGGACGAAGGGGACGGACATGTGGAGGACGGATTGGAAGATGTCTGGTCTGGAATCAAGAACAATCAGCTCGACATTCATCGCTTCGAAGGGAAAAGAATAGTCATTTCAATATTCCTCACCGTGTCAAAGCCGCCCACCCCGCCGGAATCGTCCCAAAATCATGCCCAATCACACTCCTCACCTCCTTATACCCAAGCGCCCACACAAACGCGACAAGATCCCTGACGAGATTCTCAAACTTCCACTGCGTAAGGTCCACATACGCCCAGGGCCTGGTATCCCAGCCGGTCGTGCGTCCATAACCCCGTTGATCAGAGGCGACGACACAGTAGCCTTGCTTGGCGATGGGGACGAGGAGGTCTTTGAAGCCGTAGGCGATTTCGGGGTAGCCGTGGAGGATGAGCACGAGCGGTTTGGTGGTGTTGGAGGGGGTGCAGCCGGCGGAGAGGTAGTGGAAGACGAGGCCGCTGGTGTTGGTTGTGTCGACGTAAGATGCGGTCACGCCTGAGGGGAGCGGGAGGGGAGGGTATGTTGTGGTTGCGAGGGCGAAGCTACTGAAAGCCAGACAGTAGGCGAGCGAGCGCGAGAGCGGTGCCATTGAGCCGAGCGAGTTGGTGTTGAGGTCACGAAATTCCATACAGCCAAGATGAAACTATTATATATGTACACATTGCAATAACCACCATGTAAAGACTATGCATGATGGGTACTGAAACGGCTTCCTACGGATGCAATATGTCGACTTCTTCGGCGATGACAAAACACAAGGCTTGCTCAGAGACAGTCGGTGACCACTGACAAAGATGCCAGCGCAGGCGAACAGAAGGTCGAAAACCGCCGGTTCAACAGATTCTTCACACCCGCAGGTCCCAAAAACACGGCAGTGATGTTGGACGTACAAAGTTTTGTGTTGCAAGGCTGCGGCAAGGCAGACATCGTGGTATATGTGAGGCTCTGACAAAGTCCTCGTGGCGAGAACGTGGTAGAAACGGTACCCGGAAACCTTCATGCAAGAGCTGGGTATTAAGGTTTTACTTCAAGGCTACTGCATGGAGTAGATCAAATCCGACCAGCCGTCTTCTTATCCGTAAAGTGACCGCAAGGGGTATCTTAACAACCGACACATGTGTCCAAAATCGCTTGACCCGCTAGCACATATAAACAAAGATTACTGCACATTCCCCTTCTTTATAAATCCTCCTCACTCACTCGCACCACCCTGAACAGGCATCTCCCTCCTCCTCAACCCAGCGTCCCTCACTCTCCGGCTCCATCTCTTCTGCTCTTCGATGAAGTCGTTGTTGATCTCCAGGAGCTGCTCAGTCTGCACGCGGAGAGATTCCAGTGTGCCTTCTAATGTTATGCGTGGCTGCTCTGGCGCAGACGTAGCGTGGCCGTTGACTGGTGCAATGTCGAGGGCAGGTGGTACTTCAGCAGCGAAAGGGTCGACGTCGTCGTCTCTTTCCACGACCACTTCATCATCTTCCTGGAAAGCGAATGGATGTTCGCGACTGGTACCGTTGGTTTCTTGCGAGATCTGCTGCGGGTGAGGGTGGCCGTGGTGGTGATGGTCTTCAACATATGCCAGGGGCGTCTCGGCACGGTTGATGAAGACGTGCTGCAGCCCGGCTTTGCTTGGTGTCTCGAATTCCTGCTGGACCTGGAAAGTGTCCTTCGGAATATAGTCCTGGGTCGGAGGTGGCATTTCGCGGGCGATGCGGACCTCGTCATGCATTCCAGCCAGCGCCTCCTTCGCAGAAAAGGCTTCGTTCTTGGCTGCGGCCAGCGAGGAGACAAGCTCTTCAATCTGCGAGTCTTTCGTCTTGATCTCATGCGCCGCAGTATCGAACATGCCTTGCAGACGCTGCATTTCGGTTTGCAGACGAGACAGTGACTCTTCTGCGAGAGCCTTTTCCCCTTTGGCGGTCGCCAAGGACGAGACCAAATCTTCGAGTTGCTCCCTCTTGACTTGCTCCACCTGTGCCGAGCCATCTGCGTCACGTTTGATCTGCTGCAATTCTTCCTGAACAGTGGAAAGAGAAGCCTCGGCAGCGATGCGTCGCTGTTCATGATCTTTCAGCTGCGCAGACATGCTTTGGAGCTCACGTAAGGTTGCTTCATGTTTCTGCGCCTCTTCTTCGAGCTCTCGGTTATGCTGTATGTTCATGTCGCTGAGCTGTCTTGACAGACCTTTCTCCCTTGCTTCAAGATCTTGAGTGGATGCGTCAAGGGCGGTCTGCATGCGCCGGAGCTCTTCGTGGACATTGCCCAGCGACTCTTCTGCAGTGGCTTTTTCACCCTTGACAGCTGCAAGGGTGGAAAGCAGCTCCTCGATACGATGCTCCTTCTCTGCCACTTGCTCATCTCTAGCAGCGATGATAGTCTGGTGGCTTTCGTGTTGACCTTTCAGCGCCTCATGATCTTGCTGCAGCGTTCTGAGCTCGTCCACGACTTGGTCGCGAGAAGTTTGTTCCTGCTCGTACGTGGCCTGAAGCTCCAGGTGCTGCTTTTGCAAGTCGTCATGTGAAGTTTGTAAGACCTCGCTCTGCTTTGCAATACGCTCGAACGTGTCTTTGGCTACCCGCAGAGCAGTCATCTCATCTTGCACGGACGTCAAAGACGACGTCAATTCGGTAATCTTGACATCCTTGTCTGCGAGTTGCCCTTCGAGACTTTTCACGATGCTGCCGTGACCAGAAGTCTCGTCCTCAGCACGAGTCGTAGCATCGGCAAGAGCTTGTTGCTGTTCTTGCAGCTTTGACTGCAACTCCTGAATTGCTTTGCCGAGGTCACTGATCTGGACATCCTTGGAAGTCTTTTCTCCAGCATGCTGCTCGGCAGCATCTTTGGCACTTTGCAATTCCAGCTTGAGGTCTTCAAGCTCGCTCTGGAGGGACTTGGTCGACTCGTGGGCCTGTGAAGAAGACGCTTTGAAGTTCTCGAACTCCTTTCCAGACCGCTCTGCTTCATCTTTCAAAGTAGCGATCTCTCCTTGCAGACGAGTCCTCTCCTCTTCGTGTTGTCCGGTAGCGTTCTTTGCGCTTTCCAATTCCAGCTTGAGCTCTTCAAGCCCGCTCTGAAGCGACCTTGTCGATTCATCGGCTTGCGAAGAAGATGCCTTGAACTCTTCGAACTCTTTCCCAGACCGCTCTGCTCCTGTCTTCAAGCTCGCGATTTCTTCCTGTAGACGTTTGTTCGATTCAGCTTGCTGCTCAGCATTGTCTATTGCAACTTGCAGCTCATTCTTGAGTTCTTCTAGCTTGCTTTGATGAGCGTCGATCGATTCGCCGACATCTTCGAACTCCTTCCTAGATCGCTCTGCATCAGTCTTCAACGTCGCAATCTCTTCATGCAGGCGGTTGTTGGACTCCGTAACCGCTGCAGCAGTGGACCGTTCCTCTTCCAAAGCCTTTCGGTACTCATCAACCTCGCCCTGCAACTTTTGCTTTTCTTCTTGCAGACTCTGGACAGATTCGCCGTGTTGTGTCGCAAGATCTTTGGCTTCTTGCAGCTCCTTAGACGATGTCTCTCGTTCGTCATGATATTTCTGATCCGATTTTGTCGCAGCATTTGCAGATGCGTTACGTTCATTGTCCAAGGCCTGCTTGATCTCAGAGAGCTCGTCGCGAAGTGACTCAATTGTGCTGTTCAGGCCGGTCTTGTCAGACTCATGCGTCTGAAGACTGTTCTCCAACGACTCCAACTTGTTGATAGCCTCCGTTTCTGAAGCTCTGGCTTGGTCCAGCTCCTCTCGTGTTGTCTCAAGCTGGTCTTGGAGACCCTGCTTCTCAGCATCAGATGCAGAGGCAGCAGATGCTCTGACTTGATCAATTTCTTGGAACGCACGCTCGAGCTCCTCCTGCATCGATCTTCTTGAATCTTCGGCAGCGTCAGCAGCAGACTTGAGCTCTTCGGTCACATCCTGAGAACGTTCGACCTGATCTTGCAGGTTTCTGTTCGCTTTCGCGGCATCAGCTTCTGCGGCCCTGGCGTCGTCGAGATCCTGTACCAGGCGGTCTACTTCTTGCTCGAGTTGCTGGTTTGTCCGTGTCGCCGCGAGGGCAGACTCTTTTAAATCCTCAATCTCTTGCTCAAAGCGGTCAGCTTGCTCTTGAGAGTCTACATTGGACACTTCCGGGGTTCGAGCATTCTCCAAGTCTAGTCGTATTCTTTCAATCTCTGATTGAAGCTGCTCGTTAGATTCCGTGGCAGCTGCAGCGGATCTCTCAAGCTTCTCAGCCTCCATGCGAGAGAGCTCGACTTCGTCTTGAAGGGCTTTGGTTGACTGCTCAGCTGCGGCTGCCGATGCCTTTAGCTCTGCAAGTTCCTGCTGAGACCGTTCAAGTTCATCCTCTAGCCGCTTGCTGTTGTCCAGAGCAGAAGCAGCCGTAACATTCGCATCTTCAGTCTCTCGCCGAGCTCGGTCCAGATCCGCCTGTGACCGAGTCGTCAACTCCATGGTCGCAGTCGTCGCAGCTGACTTGAGTTGCTCGATTTCATCCTTCAGAGCCTGCTCCTCGTCCTTGGAGTTGGTAGCTTCCACCTGCAACGATCCAAGCTCCTCGTTCAGACGTCTATTCGCATCCATCGCAGCAGCTTCCGCAGCCTTGGCGTCCTCTGCTTCTTTTCTAAGCTGCTCAAGTTCCGTCTGTACTGTGGCTGCATCTCCAGCAGACGCTTTAAGCTCTTCCATTTCTTGCTCCAGCTGCCCTCTAGCCTCCTCGACCTCAGCAGACTTCTTGTGCGCTGCATCACGCTCCTCTTGCAGCTTTGTTGTCACTTCAATATCTTCCACGGCAGACGCCCGTAGCTGCTCAAGCTCCTTCAGTGCCTTGTCTCTCGCTTGCTTCAGCTCGTCAATCTCCTCCTGCGATGCTTGATTTGACTCAGCAGTGGCAGCAGACTGCCTAGCTTGCTCAATTTCTTCCAGTAGCTTCTCACGTGTCTGATGCAAGTCGGCCACTTCTTTCTGCGTGCGATCAAGATCTTCCTGCAAACGATTCCTTGCCTTGGTGGCTGCTTCCGCAGAACCTTTGGCCTCGTCAACCTCTTGCTGTAGTCTCTCTCGCAGCTCTTTCATCTCCCCTTCCACTGCCTCAAGTCGCTTGCTGGTGCCGTTGTCGTTCGTGTGAGCAGCACTCATTTGCTGATTCTGTCGCTCCAGTCTCGCGATCTCGGTGTTCAGATCCTTGATCTCCGCCGCCATGGTATCGCGCTTTATGCTTTCCCGTAGCAGATTTTGCATGACCTCCATCTCTCGTGCGTTTTGTTCCCGCTCGTACGCGGTGTTTGCAGGCGCAGTCAAGGGCTTCATAGCCTGGACAGACTGTGCACGCGAGTGACGGGCTATGGGTTTCGGTCTCTTGTCCCCTTCGTTATCTGACACAGCCTGCGGTTTGAGAGTGGGCGTGGAGGAGGACATGTGCCGAATCTCTAGCTTTCTCGGCGATTTGACAGGCGAGAAGGGAGGATCCAAGCTCCCTGCTGTTCTCTCGTCTATGCTTGGTGTACCCGTCAAAGTATCAGGCTCTTCTGGGATGGTATCCCGTGACAAAGGCCTTGCAGAGCTCGCCCCACTGCGAACAGATTCGGTGGCAGGAGATTTGACACCGGACTCATCGTCGCCAGCGACCGAGGCGGTGGCCGAAGAAGGAGCTTTGGGAGTCGTTGGTGTCGTTCGCGATCTCGCCGTACTCGTTGCTGTACTGGGCTTGGTAGCTAGAGTCGAGGGACGTTTAATCGCTGTACTCGAGGTGGATGTAGCGCCTCCAATCGTGGTCCTCCTACCACTGGTAGCTTCTGGCTTGGCTGTTCGTGAAGTAGTGGGGGTCTGTGTGCGCGACAAACGCCGGCTCTCGGTACTGTCCGTCGCCTTGCCATCATCGGTGGTCCTTCGCGTAGAGGAAGCAGTCGGACGGGTGGCTGCAGATGGGGCCTTTGCAGCAGTGGTCGAGGTGCGGGAGGATAAGGTGCTCGATCTGGCGGTAGATGGGGACGAGGCGGGTTTGGCGGTCGAGGAGCTCAGTCGCGAAGAAGCGGTGGCAGGCTTCTTCTTGTCATCGGCGGGTTTGGCGGCTGCTGGCGTCCTGGCGCCTGTGGTGCTCGGTTTCTTGTCCATTGCGGTCCCCTGACATTGGCAGGCCGGCTACTCGTGTGCAATCGCTAGAGGTATATTATCATGCCAGCTTTCTATTCCTCATCAATACTGGCTATGTATTCGAAGATCTTTTGGTAAATGGGTAATCAATATCGGGGTGGAAGTGCGGGTGGTTGGGGGGTGAAAGATGTTGGCAGCGAGGACGACGCGAAGGGCCCTGCACGGTGACTGCAGAACCCAGGCACAGCATCTGCATCTTGGCGTGTCCATACCACGTCTGTACCACGTTTTGGCCGGTATTTTGTATGGACGAAGTTAGTGTACTACTCTACGCGACCATGAATCTGTACACTTTGTGCACGGAAATTTGGGCGTAACAGTGGTGAGTGTGTCCCAAACAACATCCCAGGCGCTTCTTGCCGCAATCCAAGCATCGCACCTGGGTCCGGCAGAGCCAACGGCTATCTCAAGACAACACGTGCCATACATCTCAACCTCACCTCAGTATCATTTCTGGTAATAGGCGATGATATCAGGAACCCCCGCCATGCATCATGAGCCACTCGCAAAAATCGCCCGGTGACGGCACTCTCAACCCGCCCGTCGCCAACGGACAGCTAGCCACTCCCTCGCTATCCCCCATCAGCGAGCATGGCAATGGCTTCCAGTCATTCCCCGACATCAAACGGGATATCGACAGTACCGTAGTGGAAGTAGATGAAAAAGATGAAAGCAAGACGTCCGCCGATGAAGATACCAGGCTCAGACGGCGCAGCAGCGAGACCAGGGCCTTGAAATTATCGCCTCAGCAAATCCACGATTTGACCACCTCTCCGGATTCATTACCCGTGCGAGCCGTGGAAGACTTGTCGCCTCTTCACGAGGACATCGACCCCTTTGAAGAGTGGCATGAGGCTCCCGCGACGAGCTCGAACTCTCTGGGCCCCCACAGCCTGCGACAGGCCGCTTCTACATCTCCTCTGCATGGACTCCCCAGTGTTGCTTCGACCCCTGCAGGGGCTCCCAGACCTGGCAGTACTGCTCGGTCAATGTCGACGCCGCTCATCCAAAGACGGGCATCCTCATCGAAGACTTCCAAGACGAAGCCGCAGCTCCCACAACTCAAAACCGATGAGGCAGCGGCAAGTCGATCAAATGGAACTATGAGGCCGTCGCCAGGTCACGGCAGAGATCCGTCTCCCATGCCAGCAATCCTGCCAGTACCGCCTTTGTCTCTGCCAACTCATTTGCGTCTGGAACTGTCATCAGATCGCCCTTCTGCGCTTTACATCCACCGATCAGCAGCCAGCGACTTTCCCTACGAATCGTCCAAGGTCAAGTTTGAGCGACTACTGAATTTCATCCGTCTTCCGCCGCAGCTGGAACATGTCCTCATCTTTGGTGCTATTGCATGTCTTGATACGTGGCTTTACACCTTTACCATTCTACCACTGCGCTTCCTAAATGCTGTCGCCATTCTCGCCCAGTGGATTGGCAGGAATGCTACGCAAGAAGCTCACGACCTTGGGACTTTCGTTTACAATGGACTGGGACGACTTTGGCAGAGACAACGTCACGGCTCAATCTCCACCGCCGAACCACCATCTTTGCCTCCATCTGTACCAAGCAGCCGCAGAACATCGTTATCCGAGAGTGAGCCATCGCGAAAGACAACCTTGGATGCAAGCACCAAGTCCAACGGTCATGCGGTCCCACCCTCGCCCATCAGACCACGGCGAAAACACTCATCTGGATTCCGCCACCGCAGAACTCGGTCCACTCCATCAGCCCTCCTCCCCAACCACAAAGCCGATCTCCTCCAAGGCCTCCTCATCATCGCCAGCTGCACCGTCCTAATGTGGTTCGATGCCAGTCGAATGTATCACTCAATCAGAGGACAAGCCGCCATCAAACTATACGTTATCTACAACGTCCTTGAGGTTTTCGACCGCCTCTTCAGCGCCATTGGGCAGGACGTTCTGGAATGCCTCTTCTCCAAAGAGACCCTCGAGCGTGATGCTGATGGTAGGAGTAAAGTTCTCCGTCCGCTGTGGATGTTTGGGCTCGCTCTACTCTACAACGTCATCCACGCCACAGCCCTCTTCTACCAAGTTGTCACGCTCAACGTGGCTGTCAACTCGTACTCCAACGCACTGCTCACTCTCCTCATGAGCAACCAATTCGTCGAAATCAAAGGCACAGTCTTCAAGAAATTCGAAAAAGAGAACCTCTTTCAGCTCACCTGCGCCGACGTGGTCGAACGTTTCCAGCTCTGGCTCATGCTCTCCATCATCGCCCTCCGCAACATCGTCGAAGTCGGCGGTCTGAGCATGAGCTTCAGCGGCGGAGACAACACGCCCATAGACAGCTTCATCAATGCCACCTCCTCAAGCATGCCCCTCGTCTCCGGCTACGTGATCCCGCAAGCCTTCACCCTCCTCCCGAAATGGACCGGCGAAGTACTCGGCCCCTTCCTCATCGTCCTGGGCAGCGAAGCGCTCGTCGACTGGTGCAAACACGCCTACATCACCAAATTCAACAACGTCAAACCAGACATCTACACCCGCTTCCTCGACGTCTTGGCGAAAGACTACTACACCCACGCTTTTGCAGACCAAAACCTCACCAAACGACTGGGCTTACCCGTCATCCCGCTCAGCTGCCTCTTCATCCGCGCCTGCATGCAAACATACCACATGTTCCTCGCGACACACATGCCTTTACCCATCCCCTCGCCCGCAACATCCATCATCGACACGGAAACCTCCTCCTCCTCCCCAGCCACAACCGCCGCCCTCGCCCACATCGACACCCTCTTCCGCCGCGCCCTCGGCCGCTCCTCCTTCACAAACCCCTCCAACCCCAACGGCCAATGGTGGTCGTGGTCCCTGGACGACATAATCGCCTTCTTAACAACCACCTCCATCTTCCTAGCCGTCTACCTCCTCTTGCTCGCCTTCAAGCTCCTCCTTGGCATGGGCCTCCTCTCCTGGGCGCGAAGCCGCTACGTAGGGATGAAAGCTCGAGAGAACATGGACACCGTCGTGCAAGGCGGGGAGAGAGTCGGTGGATGGGGCACGGTTGAAGTCGGCGAGGAGAAGAGACGGTGGATCTATGAAGATGATCGAGACGGCTTGGAGAAATTGAGGGAGAAGGAGCGGGAGAAGGATAAAGGGAAGGGTGGTGGTGGGGGGAAGCTGGAAGGCGTGGAGAGATACAGTATGGTCGCCAAGAGGATTTGGTAGGTAATGTTCAGTTCGGGAAATGAGAAGTTTGAAAGGTCTCAGAACAGCATTTTCCCCCGTCTTGGGGTTTCTTTCTTTCTTGATTGTGTGTACTGCATCCGCTGCATGATATTGATAATGGAATTCTCTCAAGAGATGTTTCTGCATCTGCGACTGAAAGTGTCACAGTACATGAATCAACCTCGCCATTTGCTGCTCTTCAATGAGAACGGCAATCAGTGTCTGGATCTCGCTACCGCTGGCTTTTATGGATGTTCTGGTTCGCGCTACAAGTACGTTGCAAACGGAGTGGAGGATCCAGGAGTGTTCCAATAGGTGCTGAGTTGTGAGCATCGATCGGTGTACAGATGTTGATGAACAAAAAGGAACAGTGAGCAGCGCGTCGTGGGATCTGGCTCAAATTAAGCTCGACGCTAAAGCTTTCGGCTAAATCACGGATGGCCCGAGCCACGGCCAAGCATTTTCCCTCCAAACTCAGTTCCAACCTCTCCTTTCCCTGTCACCAAGTCTTCTGCACAACATCGATCCCCGGAAATGCTCGTCAGCAGCGTGACAAAACAACCACAAAGTCCTTATCTTGCAGCAGCTGCGGTGCTGCACAGCCTGCCTTGCAGTGGAACAAAGCAGCCAGAAACCATTGGCACCCAAAAATGCCTCATTGCATGCGGCATGGCGCCAGCGGAATCCTGAAGTCCGGATTGGTGCACCGAAAATGCCTCATATAAAAACACCCACCTTCTACTTCTCGACCATTCGGTTCAATCGTGGGGCTTATCTATGCCTCGCCTCGCTCGTGCAATAGATTCCAGATCTGAGACCCTTTCCGCGCTGGCTCGTCCGAGCGCGTGGCTGAACGTGTTCGACATTGTTCGCGCCAAAAGTTCACACACGTGCATCCCACATGGCGCGTTTTGCATGTGATGACTGTATTTCTTTGTCCTAGGATCGGCTAGAAGGGGCGATAAGGGCGTTTGGCTTATCTCTGTCCAAGGATGAACTGCATCCTACCTAACCACAGAGATGATATTTCCTTCTCGTCCCGCTGTCTGATCTTCTGTTTCGTATTCGTCTCTTCCGCTCCTCTCCCGTCGCAAACATGGCCGAAACTCACATCCAGTTCGGCGAAGAGGCGATTGAACGGACAAAGACGAATCAGAGTGCTTTTGGGGCATACAAGAGAAGGATATCAGTCCATGAGACCGACGCGGCCTCGATTTCTGAGACTGGTGGAAGCGTTCGCGAGAGTGATTTCAAGAAGCGGCAAGTACGTCGGTGCTGATCTGCAAGCGGGCATGGCGATCGTGCTGTGTCCGTCACCCAAGTAAAGCTCATCCAACTGTAGGTCTTCAAAGGATGGACTCTGCTATGGCTAGCGTATCAGTCTACTGGTGTCATCTACGGTGACATTGGAACGAGTGAGTCCGCACATATGGGTATTGGGGAATATCACACTGACGGATATCCCACAGGCCCTCTCTACGTCTTCTCGTCGACCTTCTCATCAGAACCCTCGCCAGACGACCTCCTAGGTGCCGTATCCCTGATCATCTGGTCCTTGACTCTAATCGTAACGCTCAAATATGTCCTCATCGTCCTCCGCGCAGACGACGAAGGTGAAGGCGGAACTTTCGCCATGTACACGCTCCTCTCCCGCTTCAGCGACATCATCAAGCGCGATCCACGAGAAGTCACACTGGTCAAGATGGAACGACACAACACGAACGATATGGGTCCCAGCAATCGCAGTATCAGGACTTGGCTGGAGAAGAGCAAGATAGCGCATGCACTCCTGAAGGTGTTGGCTGTGTTTGGTGTTGCGCTGATCCTCGCGGATGGTGTTCTCACACCGGCTCAGTCTGTGCTCGGTGCCATTCAAGGTATCACGGTCGCCGACAGCAGCATTACCACGCCCACGATTGTCGGCGTTTCTTGCGCGATCCTCGTCGTGCTGTTCGTGGCGCAACCGCTTGGAATCCACCGACTCTCGGCCTCATTCGCACCCATCGTCATTATCTGGCTCCTCTTCAACGGATGTTTTGGGATATACAACCTGGCAGTCCACGACTACAGAATCCTCAAGGCCTTCTCGCCTTACTTTGCTGGGCTCTGGTTCGTGCGCAATAAGACTCAGGGATGGATCAACCTCGGTGGTATCCTACTGTCCTTCACTGGAGTTGAATGTCTATTTGCAGACGTGGGTGCCTTCTCCCGACGAGCAGTCCAGATCTCGTGGCTCTTCCTTGCGTATCCATGTCTACTCCTGGCGTACATCGGACAAGGAGCATACATGCTGGAGACGCCATCCGCATATTCGAACCCTTTCTTTGAGACGGTTCCCCCAGGTATGTTCTACCCATCGCTGGTCTTCGCCGTCCTGGCCGCCATTGTCGCATCCCAAGCCACCATCACCGCTTGCTTCCAGCTCCTGGCGCAGATCATGAATCACAGCTACTTCCCTCAGATCGAGATGAAGTACACTTCCACCAAACACCACGGCCAGGTCTACATCCCCATCGCCAATTGGCTCCTCATGATCGGCTGCGTTATCGTCACGGCAGTCTACAACAACACCACCCGCCTCGGCCACGCCTATGGCGTCTGCGTCATCCTGGTCACATTCATCACCACCAACCTCGTCACCCTTGTCGCCATCATCGTCTGGCGCATCCACCCCGCCATCGTCTTCATCATCTGGCTCCCCTTCATCACCCTAGACGGCCTCTACCTCACCTCAGCCATGACGAAAGTCCCCGACGGCGCCTGGTTCACCCTCATGCTCGCCGTCATCATCGCCGCCTTCTTCACACTGTGGCGCTATGGCAAGGAAAAGCAATGGTCGTGGGAAGCCAAAGAGAAAAACACCCTCTCCAGCCTCGTCGTCAAATCCTCCAACCCAGACAACAACAACCGCCTCGCCCTCGCGGAGCGCTACGGCGGCGGCGAGCTCGCCGAAATCGACGGCTTCGGCATCTTCTTCGACAAATCCGGCGCCTACACCCCGAAAGTCTACGAGCAATGGCTGCGGAAATTCCGCGCGCAGATGGACGTCGTGGTGCTCATGCACATGCGCGCCCTGAGCGTGCCGCACGTCGCCGAGGAGGAGAAGTTCGAGGTCACCAAGACGGGCGTCAAGAATGTCTATCGTCTCATCATCCGTCACGGCTATTCGGATCATGTCGTCACGCCGGATCTGGCCGGGCTAGTGTATGAGGAAGTGCGCAAATCGATCCTCGCGGGCGCCGTGAGACCCTCCGCCTCAGGATCTGGAACTCCCGAAAAAGCGCCCAGTTTCGAGGATGAGGATCAAGTCACTGCTTCACGACTTCGACGCATTGATAATGCGTTCGCGGCGCAGTCGTTGTATCTGGTCGGGAAGCAGCAGATGCGGATCAACCCAAAGTATAACATCTTGAAGAAGATTGTGCTGGGGATTTTCTTGTATGTAAGGGAGGTGACGAGGAGTAAAGTGGAGAAGTTGAATGTTCCTGTGGAGAATTTGGTGGAGGTGGGGTTTGTTGGGGAGATTTGATGTCCGGACTTGTTGCATGGTTTGGGAGCGCAATGTTTGAGAGCGTGATGATTGATCGGGAAGTGGAAAAAGGGAGATCTTTCTAGCGTCTGAATGCCCGTGATACACACAGATGAAATTGAGAGCATACCGAAGGTGAATTGAAGATGAAAGTTCGAAGATCCCACAGATGAGATCAAGCGGCTTGCGCTATGGATTTCCAGTTCGTCTATTATTATTCGATCGAAAAGCCAGTGACACACGGGAACGACCTGCTGCAGCCCTGCGATTCGAAACCCGCGTCGCCCTAGGTGAAGCTTTGCCTCGCCGTTTGAATGCATCCACGTCCAGCGATAAGGACTCCGCCAAGTTGAATGATCGCTGTCGGCGTTGATTGATGATTGCAAATTTGAGCGCAGAAGGACTGGCGGCTACAAGACGGTTGATACTTTCCGTGATATCGTCGACGTTTTCCTTTTCGAGGAGATCGTCTTCGATGAGTTCCAGGTCGATGACCATGTATGTCACTGGCACGCCGAGCAGCGATTTGATCAGGACATTCTCCCAGTCCTGCGTGCTGGATGCGGTGGCGACGTTGAGGAGGTGGAAGTGGTTGGAGAACGATGCCGAGACTGCGGTGGCGTTGTGTTTGAGGGCCTGGCCTGCTAGGTATCTTAGCGCTTCTGTCCATGTGATCTTCTCTGTTGACTCTGAGGTCTTCTGCTGTAATGCCCATAGAACCATTAAGGATGGGCGGGAGCCGCTCTGTGCGAAGGTCGTGAGTTCAGTGCCGATGGTGTCTATGTCGTTCTTGCTGGGCCAGGATCCTCGTATCAGGAGGGTCTTGGAGAATGGTGCCGTACTCCATGATTTGATGATTAAGGAGGTCCAGACGTCGTTGAGCCGAATGGTCAGTCTAGCAGTGTGTCTTTTGGAGTATGCTTGTCGAAGTTGAAGGGCATCGATGGGGGACAGGATGTGCAGATTTGCCGTTTTGTCGATTGTAGTGGACACTTCCACTCTCTGCTGCGAAAGAGACATTGAGGGTAAGATTACGGTGTCATCTAAGTGTTGTCAGATGTGTGGCTTGTAAGGCAAGTAGAGTGTACAAACCCCGTATCAGATCAAGCTTCTGTAGGATGAGAGCCAACTTCGCATCCCACGACCGGATCTCATGCACAGCCATATGAAGAAGTACCTCGGCGCGCTTGTCAATCGATCTTGAGCATTCGTCAATCTCGAATCTTCTTAAAGCCTAGGCTGAAAGGCTGAACAAAGGCCCTCCAGGCGTGCTTCAAGCGTCCTTCGCGGTAGAATTTGAGTAAGTAGTGGAAGTGCTGAATGATCAAAGCGAAGAGCTGCTGGGCTTTGACTTGTAAAACAACGTCGTTGTACATATCCACGAACAGGTCGACTCTGGGAAGAGCGTCTGCGATGTCTGACAGCGACTTTGCCAGTTCGGTGACCAACTCGTCGTGGTTTTGAAAGAGCTATACACCGAATAAGTACCCTCATGGCTATCGAAACGAGTCTTGTTCAGTCGCCTACAACGAACAGGAACTTCGTCGTGCCCCATGCTAACGACACATATTCGGGATGGTGCTGAGCTACAGGCTCTGGCAAGAATGATATGAACCCCTGCTAGTGGCATTCCTTCTGCTAACTATATATAGTTGTTATTGTGGGCCTGCTTCAAAACACGCTGTACGCGTCTTGATTCCTACATTCTTCGATATAGCAATACTAAAGAGGATATTCTTAGCCTTTGAGAAGGGCTAGATATAGGCCCTTTACAAGTACGTATACTAGCTACTTTAGCGGATTGCTAAGAAACTAGATACCTTAAAACATGCTATATCTTAGGTTATTATACGCCTAGAACGCGAACTACGTATACTACCCCGACGAGGACGCCCTCCTATAATTATAACCCGCAAACGACGTCGTCTTATAAATAGACTAACTACTAATACCTATTATAGGCGGCTTAGACTAGATTAAATTACTCGCTTTAAAGACCTTTCTTATAACTTCCGGACGATTCGAGTAGTACTTATAAAAGAAGGCTATTAACGATATATAGTAAGGAAGAAGCTATAGCTTACGGACAAATATAAGGTAGTATAGCTATAATAGGTAAAAGAGTACGTTAACTAGATAGATAGGTAGTATTAGGATCGGTACGTTAATCCTAGAATCTTACTTAGTACGGGTACTAAGCTTAAGTCTTTAGTTAGAGCTCGTTAAAAGGAGAGAGTTAGTAGACTACTAAGATAATCTTAAGATAGAGGTTTAGGTATAATCGTAAACTAAATAGTAAGATTAAATAGTAAGTTAAACGCTATTATACAAACTATAATATCGTTCCTATATAATAAAGAGATTCGTCCTAATCTATATACTTAGTATACTTAGTTACTCTATTTACTCTACTACTTAGTTAGAGCGTAGATCTCGACTAAGTAGTCGAGGCGGCTAAGTTACGTAGTACTTAGTTACTAAGCCGTATACGGGTCCTAGCGTATAAG